CTCCTTTCCCAAGGTTTGGCCTGCCAGGGATTTTGGACTTCAAGTCCCAGAATTCCTACCAGTTGAGTAACACGCCCGAGGCTTCTGGGAGTTGAAGTCCCAGTGAAGGAGAGCCAGAGAGACCCGGATGTTCGCTCGAGGAGACAGCTCGAAAGAGTAAGGGCAGCACCGGAAGTGGGCGTTGCTAAGGGCCTTCTTCCTTCCCTAACGAAGCGGGGACCTTAGCAACGGGGAAGGTTTTCCCGGGAGAAGATGCAGCCGAGCGGGGAAGGAGATGCCGTGGGCCGGCAGAGCCCCGAGCCCACCATGTACCGGCACAGGCCCACCTCGGAGCTGACCCAGGTGAAGGGGAAGGGGAAGCCGTTCCTGGAGCCTCTTCTGCCTGCCTCAACTTTTCTCCCCGGCTTCTGGGCCCAGCGCCTCCTACTGGGCATGCGCAGAATGCCTTTCCTACTCAAGCACCCTTTGCCTCCATATATCATCTATCTATCTATCTATCTATCTATCTATCTATCTATCTATCTATCTATATCTCTATCTATATCTCTATCTTCTATATAAATGTTCTGTGCATAATGAGTACCTTAAAAACAAAAGAACCAACAAATGAAATCACATCAAATTTGGCAATGGGAGAGACAAAGTACATTCAAGGATGTTTGTACATACTCGCACAAGCTCACACACCTGTATATACAACATCTCACAACACAAGGAGTGACCATCACTCAAAAAATTATGGTTTTGTCATTTGGGAGTTGTAGTTGCTGGGATTTATAGTTCACCTACAATCAAAGAGCATTCTGAACTCCACCAATGGTGGAATTGAACCAAACTTGGCACACAGAACTCCCATGACCAACAGAAAATACTGGAAGGGTTTGGTGGGCATTGACCTTGAGTTTGGGAGTTGTAGTTCACCTACATCCAGAGAGCACTGTGGACTCAAACAATGATGGATCTGGACCAAATTTGGCACGAATATTCCATATGCCCAAATATGAACACAGATGGAGTTTGGAGGAAATAGACCTTGGCATTTGGGAGTTGTAGTTACTGGGATTTATAGTTCACCTACAATCAAAGACCATTCTGAATGAACCCCACAAATGACAGAACTGGGGCAAACTTCCCACACAGAACCCCCATGACCAACAGAAAATACTTAAGACCATCCAGTCCAACTCCCTTCACCAGGGCAAGAAAACGTAATCAAAGCCCTCCTGACAGAGAGCCATCCAGCCATAGATATAAATAGATATATATGATTCACACACAGAGAGATAAAGTATTATAGATTTGAAAGGGACTCCTAAAGAAGGACAATTATATGTTGCATGTTCCAGAGTAGGAAAACCAGACAATCTCCACATCAACACTGACAAAGAAACATCAAGAAATACTGTTTACCCACAAGCATAAAGACCTTACATATATTATAATTACTTTATTTTCCATATCACCAGACTGAGCCACAGCAACGCGTGGCAGGGGACCGCTAGTTATTTATAATAATATCATGATTCTATATTAGCATATTTAATAAAAAATAAATTGCAAATAATATTATTAATAATAATAATATTCTATATTTGCATATATAATAAAAATTAAATTGCAAATAACATTAATAATAGTATTCTATATTAGCATATTTAATAAATATTAAATTGTAATTAACATCATTATTTATTTATTTGAATTACACTATAGAAACAAATATTTTTATTTGCTTAATCATTTTGTCTGTTGATTATGTAGAAAAGTGAATAGTGGTAGTTAAAGAGCACATTCTAAGGATTATTTCTGCGTTTGATTTATTTATTTAAAAGTTTTATATACCGGCCTTCTCACCTCTCTTGAGGGACTCAGACCGGTTTCCAACCATAATATCACATACAGTCAATAAAACATCATAATTCATATTACAATAAAACATTAAAACAGCAATTACATTCAATAAATACAATGGTCAGTCGTCACACTAAAATCGGTGCTCATCATCCTCCATCCATATCTCAGGGTGTTGGCTCACTCGTCGAATGCCTGTCTCCATAACCAAGTCTTCACCTGTTTCCTGAATGTCAGGATAGAAGGGGCGGTTCTGATCTCCAGTGGGAGAGAGTTCCAGAGTCGAGGGGCCACCACCAAGAAGGCCCTGTCCCTCGTCCCCACCAGACGCGCTTGTGAGGCCGGTGGGACCGAGAGCAGGGCCTCTCCAGACGATCTTAATAATCTTGATGGTTCATAGGGGAGAATACGTTTGGAGAGGTAAACAGGGCCGGAGTCGTTTAGGGCTTTATAGGTTAACACCAGCACTTTGAATTGTGCTCGGAAGCTAATTGGCAGCCAGTGGAGCTGGTGTAACAGCGGAGTGGTGTGCTCCCTGTACCCAGCACCCGTTAGTAGTCTGGCTGCCGAGCGTTGGACTAACTGCAGCTTCCGGGCAGTCTTCAGAGGCAACCCCACGTAGAGAGCGTTGCATGTAACCAAAGCATGGACCACCGTGGCCAAGTCAGACTTCCCAAGGTACGGGCGCAGCTGGCACACAAGTTTTAATTGTGCAAAAGCTCCCCTGACCACCGCCGAGACCTGGGGCTCCAGGCTCAACAATGAATCTAGGAGAACTCCAATTTATTAAAATATTCCCATCCAAACCCAAGTAACGAAGGCAGAGGCATTACTTTTCATTCAACCCTCGTATTTGACAAAAAAACACTATAAATAACATTATGTATTTACTTGTTTTGTAGTTATATTTAACAGATATTAAACTATAAATCAGGGCCCCCTGAGCTCAGTGGGTTAAACCGAGCTGCTGACCTTGTGGGGAGAAGAGCGGGATATAAATATATGAAATAAATATGGGTGAGCTCCCACTGTTAGCCCCAGCTTCTGCCAACCTAGTAGTTTGAAAACAGGCAAATTTGAGTAGATCAATAAGTACTGCTCCATCAGGAAAGTAACAGCTCTCCATGCAGTCATGCTGGCCACATGACTTTGGAGGTGTCTACAAACAATGCCAGCTCCCCGTTTCACCAGCTCCACTGGCTGCCTATTAGCTTCTGGGCACAATTCAAAGTGCTGGCTTTAGCCTATAAAGCCCTAAACAGTTCCGGCACAGTTTACCTGTCTGAACGTATCTTCGTCTACAAACCACCAAGGATGTTAAGATCATCCGGGGAGGCCCTGCTCTTGGTCCCACCTCTTCTACAGTCATGGGGACAAGAGACAGGGCCTTCTCCGTGGTGGCCCCTTGGCTGTGGAACTCTCTCCCCAATGATATTAGATCTGCCTCCCTCCTGATCTTTCGAAAAAAACTCAAATCCTGGCTTTGGGATCTAGCGTTTGTGCAATAAATGGAGCAACTGGGAAGAGAATGTTTTAGTGGACCGCAATGGACTGATTGGATTATGTTTTAACTGGCGAACTGTTTTTAATTGAATTCTTATAATTGTTTTAATTGTGTTAATTGTAACTTGTGTGTTTTAATGTATTGTTTTTTGGCATCTAATGGCTGCCTGCTGTAAGCTGTCCTGAGTCCCTCTTTGGAGGTGAAAAGGGCAGGATTGAAATGCCTGAAATAAATAAGTTAACGCCGGCTCTTCAGTTTATTTATTTCACTTGTATGCCGTTTTTCTCACCCTGACGTGAGACATGCTGCATTATCACAGGATGCCTATGCCCAACACTGCTGGAAAAATTATACTGTTTAGCCTGTGTTGCACCACCTGGCATCCACTGGGAAGTAGCAGCCTGTAATGAAAGGACCAAGGCAATGACATCTCTGGCCCATCCCCTGTTCAGATATCAGTCAGCAAGCCAATGCCTTAAATCAAGAAATAGTGAGAAGGGCAGCATATAAATATCGTACATAAATAAATAAGATCTACAGAGATACTCACAGGAACACCTCAGCAAGAGAGAGTCCAAAAGTGGCAGGCTAAAATCTGGTACTGAATGAGAGACTCCCTCCTGTGCACACAGAAGACTGGGCAACTTGGAAGGTGCTGAACAGACTGTGCTCTGGCACCATGAGATGCAGAGCCAACCTTAAGAAATGGGGCCACAAAGTGGAGTCCACAACATGCGAGTGTGGAAAAGAGCAAACCACAGACCACCTATTGCAATGCAGTCTGAACCCTGTCACATGCATAATGCATTTTGAAATACAGTAATTCTCAAGAGTGCCTCTAATCATGTGCAGAGTACTTTGCTTTCTCCTGAAACTTAGTTTTGGGGGATGGTGAAGGATTTGTGTTTTATATATTACTAGCTTGGGGACCCAGCGCTGCCCAGGCTATTTGAGAAAGGAATTATGTATCAAGGTTGGTCTTTATCAGTTATTTATATGGCTCGCAGTGGTCTCAGGAAGTTAGTGAAGGTCCTGCGAGTCCCATCGTCTGTGGTCCATCCTCCTCCAAATTGCACCAGGATGGAGAGTGGGTCATACGGGCTCTGTGTGCCAAGTTTGGTCTTGATCGGTCATTGGATGAGTGTCAGTGGTCACAGAAAGTTAGTGATGGTACTGCAAATCCCTCAGGCCCTTTCATTTCCCCTGTCATCCACTTGAGAATGTTAGAATCTTGAGGCTGGCCAATCAGAAACCATATGCAAATTTCCTTTCCCCTCTCAACCACTTGAGATTGTTGGAATGTTGAGGCTAGCCAACCAGAGAACATATGCAAATAATACCACAGTGGCAACCAATCAGAAAGCTGCCACATACACTGCCGCACTTCTGCCCGCCACATACATACAAACATTCACTTTTATTATATCTATAGAAGATGGCTGTAATGCAACAAAAACCAGGGATATTCTGTGACAGCCTCTTTGTGTTGCTTGTTTTATTGGAAGTATCCCTAGAATGACTACCATTTAACAGTTACAGTAGTGCTATTGTAATTATTTGAAGGTGAAATGCATGCATTTATATGGAAGAAGAAATGTTATAATAATTACCTAATCAGAGTTACAGTCTCCATCTTCAATTCCAATTTTATATGAAGTGTTCAGATTGGCATCCCTTGTCGAAGCACACATTTTACAATGGTTATTAAATTTCTTTTCAACCAAATAGTAACAACAGAATTGTGGAAGCAAAAGAAAGAAATATGAAAAATAAAAATAATTACAAGAAACAGCTACAAGTACTCTCACACACCAAAGAATAACAAAAAGAGGACTTTTTTTTACTAGTGATGTTAATGATATATTTACTACCTCAATTTTTATGCATTTTACATCCGCTAACGCCTTAATTGTCAGCGAGTTACTTTTTAAAGCCTACAAAAGTCATTTTGTTCCTACTCGCCTTCAAATATACAAGGAATAATTCACTTAAAATTTTCTCTCTTTTGTGACTACTTTTTGGTATTTTAACCATTAATTTCATTACAAATTTATACATCTTTGGGAAAAAATGTTTTAAAAGCCTTCTACAAAGCTGGTTTTAATTTGATAACATTGAGCTTCAGAATTTAAATATTAAACAGCAACCATTTAATTCATCACTGTTAATGCCCAAGAGTTAACACATATTTATTATAAACTAGTATTTCAGGAGGAAGCCCCCAGTGGCACAGAGGGTTAAACCGTTGAGCTGCTGAATTTGCTGACTGAAAGGTCAGCAGTTCAAATCTGGGGAGTAGGGTGAGCCCCCACTGTTAGCCCCGGCTTCTGCCAACCTAACATTTTGAAAGCATGCAAATGTTAGTAGATCAATAGGTATTGCTTCTGCAGGAAGGTAACGGCTCTCCATGCAGTCAGGCTGGCCATATGACCTTGGAGGTGTTTATGGACAATGCCAGTTCTTCAGCTTTGCAATGAAGATGAGCACCACGCCCCAGAGTCGGACACGACTAGACTTAATGTCAAGGGGAAACCTTTACCTTTAGTTTTTAGATATAGTGATGTTTTTAGATATAGTGTAATGTTATGTTTTATTTTTATTGATGTATGTGTTTTATATATGGCATCGAATTGTGCCAATTGTTCGCTGCCCTGAGTCGCAATTTGGGCTGACATGGGCGGGGTAAAAATGATATAAATACATAAATATATAGTATTTCGGGGTGATGGGTCTTTATATGGTATGGCATTGTTTACGCTTAACATTCCTTTTTCTGCATCAGTGATGCTAGTGCTGATGGGGATTAGGGTTGTATTTAGTAACTTTTCCCTATTTTAAAAAAATGTATGCCTTCAAAAAATGTTTTCCTATCAGTATTGATCCTTGAGATAACTTTATCTCTCCTTCCACAGGATATTTCTCATTTGCTAGCAAGTGTCTTTAAGAACATGTATACCTCAGAGGTGATAGGAGTGGACACCGTGGAGAATATGATCAAGTCCCGTGGCGGAGACAATGTCCATCATGAGGAGTTCGTTAAAGAGTTACAAAAGGTAAAGTCTTAATTCAGTCCTATTAAAGAGAATATAAATGAATTAAACTCTATAATAAATAATTCACAAAGTCAGAAGGCTGACAGGAAAATATTATGTAAACATCTGTAATTTGAGGAGGGGAGGGAGGGTGAATGGGATAGTAAAAAATCATAAATAGTGATTTGTGAATGCATTATGATATGGTATGAAATATGCAATACTTTGTAATTATTTCTTTAAAAAATAAAAAGGAATGTCATAATTTGCACTATCAGAAAAATTGTCCCAATTAAGAAGAAAATGAACATACTTAAAGAAGAAGTGAAATAAATGTAGAAAAGGGGGAGGGATTAGAATAAGAATTTACTTACGTCTTCAGTACAGAATTGGGATTAAATTTGAAACTGCATTGCTGTGAGTTTTCCGGGCTGTATGGTCATGTTCCAGAAGCATTCTCTCCTGCTTATGGTAAAACTAATGTGTCAGGGAGTTTTCTCTGACTTCCTGAGAGGTTGAGAGTGTGTGACCTGACCAAGGCCCCTCAATGGATTTCCACAACTGAGTGAAGAAAACTGTATTGAATGATGTACAGCTGTTCTAGGAAACTTAAAGATCTAAACCAGGCATGGGCAAACTTGGGCCCCCCAGGTGTTTTGGACTTCAACTCCCACAATTCCTAACAGCCAGTACTATGAGGAATTGTGGGAGTTGAAGTCGAAAACACCTGGAGGACCAAAGTTTACCCATGCCTGATCTAGATCCATACATCAAAGAAGTAAATAGCTAATTCCACAATTGCTATTTCAGGTCAGGAAGAAATACAAAGACGAATTGGCAGAAGCAGATATGCTAGAAAGGCACATCATCCAAGCCAGGGCTCGGGCCACAGCAGAAGAGGAAAGGATCCTGAATGAATACAAAGATGACGTTCCAGAAGGTTACCGTCACATTGCGTTGCCACCGGGTGAGCAGAGCGAAAGTCTCCCATTCCCCATTTTACATTAGCAAGATTCAGACTACAGATCACTTTGATTCACAGGGAAAGTCATTACTGAATCCAGTATTCATTTGGCTTACATATCAATGGTACATAGAAGTTTAATTGTAGATTGAGACATTATTTCTTTCTCTCTAAATTAAACTACAGCATAACTTGTTTGGGGGTGTAATTTGTGATATATTTGGTCAAATTTATATGGAATGAAAACCAAAGAAATGGTTTTAATGTATAATGTTTTAAATTTGACCTGCCAGAAAAGATCCAACAGCTAAATCAGCTGTCAGAATTTTAGAAACAACTTAGGGCCTATTTTGAACTTTATTTTATCGGCAGACTTTGAACTGTATTTTAACTGTGAGTATTTGTTATGTGAATTTTAATATCAATTTGTAAGTAATAAATTATTATTATTATTTGAAACACAACAAGATGAGTCCACAGCAGACACTCTGCTGGCTGTTGTATTGGATCACACATCGGACACTTCCCAAGTGTCTAGGACTGTGTGATGTATCGGCGAATAATGCGTGCAGATCCCAGTAAGGTGGCCTTCTGCAGCTGGCAGATGGTAATTTTGTGCGCCGATTGTGTTTAAGTGCAGGCCAAGGTCTTTAGGCACTGCACCCAGTGTGCCAATCACCACTGGGACCACCTTTACTGGTTTGTGCCAGAGTCTTTGCAGTTCGATTTAAATCCTCATATCATGTCAGCTTTTCCAGTTGTTTCTCTGCAATCCTGCTGTCACCTGGGATTGCGACATCAATGATCTATATTTTGTTTTTTAACACGATTATGAGGTCAGGAGTATTATGCTCCAAAACTTTGTCTATCTGAATCCGGAAGTTCCACAGTAGCTTGACGTGTTCATTCTCTATAACTTTTTCTGGCTTGTGATCCCACCAGTTCTTTGTCGCTAGCTGATGGTGTTTGTGGCACAAGTTCCAATGAATCATTTGAGCAACGGTGTTGTGCCTCTGCTTGTAGTCTGTCTGCGCTATTTTCTTGCAGCAACTCAGGATGTGATCTATTGTTTCATCTGCTTCCTTGCAGAGTCTACATTTGGGATTTGTTGTCAAATTATTATTATTATTATTATTATTATTATTATTATTAGGTGGATGGCTGGCTTTAGACTGGTATCAAGATAGACAGAAAAGAATCGTAAGCAATACATGGTTGTGGTGCTATCCTCATTTCACCTTAGTTGCTGTTCCTTTTGAGTTCAGAAGCTGGTTCCCAGTTCGTTTTAAAAAAAATGTATTTTGCTACTATGTGCAGAAATGACAGTCTTTGTCTTAAAAAACTTACCATCTCTCTTTAAATGTGAATGTTGTAGTAAAGTCTACCTTCAGATGGTGCGTGGATGATGAACTTCTGGAAAAGCATAATTTAATCAGCCCAAAGGATTACATCACAGATCCAGAGCTCATTACTCGGGCACCAAAAGGTAACTTTTACATGAGGATTTTCATAGCTTTCAGCAATGTAATACCGAATGAGAAGAAACACATTTACATTAAAGAAGAATTATGGTTTAGTCAGAGTTAGACAGTCTTATCTTAAATTACAATTTTATGTAAATATTAAAAAACATTTAACCTACTGATGCCTCACTTAATGTAATTTTATTGGTATCTATTTTTAGTTTGAAATTTACCAGTAGCTGCTGCATTTCTCATCCTCGGCTTACACTCGAGTCAATACGTTTCCTCAGTTTTTTGTGGTAAAATTAGGTGCCTCAGCTTATATTCGGGTCAGCTTATACTTGAGTATATACAATAGTTAAAATTTCAGTGGAACTTTTAGAGACACAATTTTATTTATAATAAATAGAATAAAATAATAAATGTAATAAAATAATAAGAGTAAAATAATGTAAATGTAATAATAATAATAAATAGAGTAAAATAATAAATTTAATAATAATAATAATAATAATAATAATAAATAACTTTGACTCAAGTATAAACCATGGGGGGCTTTTTCAGCCTAAAAAAGGACTGAAAAACTTGGCTTATACCCGAGTATATATGATATATAGTATCATAAGGGAGTAGAGCAATAAAGGACAAAGATCAACCGATAGTGAGTGTGAGGCTCTTCGAACTGTCTTTGTGTATTTGTTGGTTAGTATAGTTTGTGTGTCTGTGTTAATATTGGTAAGTGTGTTCTCTGTGTGTTTGTTCTCGTTTGGTGACTTGAAGGCATGTACATTTACACATATACACACACAAACCACTTTGAGTCCCATATTTTGAGATATGTGGGATATAAATAAAATAAAATCAATAACTATCTGGAAATGCCATAGATCCCAGCAAAAACCAGGATGGCGGTCCCTCTGGATTGAAGGTGGTGCTGTTGAACGCCAGATCTGTCAATGGAAAAACAACTTTCATCCAGGATTTAATCCTGGATGAGCGGGCAGATCTGGCGTGCATTACGGAGACCTGGTTGGACGAAGCGGGAGGCGTGAATTTGACCCAGCTTTGCCCACCAGGTTTTTCCGTGCAGCACCAGCCGAGATCCGGAGGGCGGGGAGGCGGGGTTGCAGTGGTCTATAGAGATTCCATCCCTCTGACCAGGGGCCCCATCCCGCAGTCAACAAATTTTGAATGTGTCCACTTGAGGTTGGGTGACCGGGACAGAATAGGGATTCTGTTAGTGTACCGCCCACCTCGCTGCACTACAGTCTCCTTACCTGAGCTAGCGGGGGTGGTCTCAGGCCTGGCATTGGAATCCCAGCGGCTCCTTGTGCTGGGGGACTTCAATGTCCATGCAGAGGCGGCCCTTTCAGGAGCGGCTCAGGACTTCATGTCTGCCATGGCAACCATGGGGCTGTCCCAGCAAGTATCTGGCCCCACCCACAGTGCGGGACACACATTGGACTTGGTTTTCTGCCAGGGATGAGAGGAAGCTGGCGGTGTTGAGGAGTTAACCATCTCTCCGTTGCCATGGACCGACCACTTCCTGGTCAGTTTTAGGCTCACTGCACCCCCTAACCTCTGCAGAGGTGGAGGACCCATTAAGTTGGTCCGCCCCAGGAGGCTTATGGATCCGGATGGATTCCTGATGGCTCTTGGGGAGTTTCCCGCCGCCTCGGTAGGTGATCCTGTCAAGGCCCTGGTCACTCTCTGGAATGGGGAGATGACTAGGGCAATTGACACGATCGCTCCGGAACGTCCCCTCTCAAGTAGCCGAGCTAAACCAGCTCCCTGGTTCACCGAGGAGCTGGCAGCGATGAAGCGAAGGAAGAGGGAACTAGAGAGTGTGTGGCGTTCGGATCCGAGTGAGCCAAATCGAACACGGTTTGTGTCCTTTTTAAGGGCATATGCCGCGGCAATAAAAGCCGCAAAGAAGGCCTTCTTTGCGGCCACTATTGCGTCTGCAAAGAACTGTCCGGCTGAGCTGTTCCGAATTGTCAGAGGCCTTTTAAATCCCACCACTCAAGGTGGGAACCCTGACGATTCGACTTCTTGCTGTGAAGCTTTTGCTCAGTTCTTTGCAGACAAAGTCGCTTTGATCCGTTCTGGTCTGGATACCATGTTAATGGCAGTCTCTGAGGATGTAACACGAGCACCTGCTTGTCCAGTTTTGATGGATTCATTTCAATTGGTGAAACCCGAGGATGTGGACAAGATACTTGGAGGAATGAGGCCAACCACATGCATCCTGGACCCCTGCCCATCCTGGCTTCTAAAGGAGGCCAGAGGGGGATTGGCTGAGTGGGTTAAGGTGGTGGTCAATGCCTCCCTTCGGGAAGGCAAGATTCCAGCGAGCTTAAAACAAGCTATAATAAAACCGCTGTTGAAGAAACCATCACTGGACCCCACTAAATTCGACAACTATCGGCCAGTTTCCAATCTCCCCTTTTTGGGCAAAGTCTTGGAACGTGTGGTGGCCTCACAACTCCAGGTATTCTTGGTAGACACGGATTATCTAGACCCGGCACAGTCTGGCTTTAGGCCGGGACATGGAACCGAGACAGTCTTGGTCGCCTTAGTGGATGATCTGCGCCGGGAGCTCGACAGGGGGAGTGTGTCCCTGTTGGTGCTGCTGGACCTCTCAGCGGCCTTCGATACCGTCGACCACGGTATCCTTCTGGGACGCCTCGCGGGGATGGGTCTTGGAGGTACTGTTTTGCAGTGGCTCCGGTCATTCCTGGAGGGTCGGTCTCAGAAGGTGTTGTTGGGGGACACCTGTTCAACCCCACAACCATTGTCTTGTGGGGTTCCTCAAGGCTCAATATTGTCTCCCATGTTGTTTAACATCTACATGAAGCCGCTGGGGGAGATCATCCGGAGTTTCGGGGTACGATGTCATCTGTACGCGGATGATGTCCAACTCTGTCACTCCTTTCCACCTGCTACTAAGGAGGCTGTCGAGGTCCTGAACCAGTGCTTGGCCGCTGTGACGGTCTGGATGAGGGCGAACAAATTGAAATTGAATCCAGACAAGACAGAGGTACTCCTGGTCAGTCGTAAGGCCGAACAGGGTATAGGGTTACAGCCTGTGTTGGATGGGGTTGCACTCCCCCTGAAGACGCAGGTTCGCAGCTTGGGTGTGATCCTGGACTCATCGCTGAGCCTGGAACCCCAGGTTTCGGCGGTGACCAGGGGAGCATTTGCACAGCTAAAGCTTGTGCGCCAGCTGCGCCCGTACCTTGGGAAGTCTGACTTGGCCACGGTAGTCCATGCTCTGGTTACATCCCGTTTAGACTACTGCAACGCTCTCTACGTGGGGTTGCCTTTGAAGACAGCTCGGAAGCTCCAACTAGTCCAATGCTCGGCAGCCATGATTTTAACAGGAGCGGAGCGCAGGGAGCATACAACCCCCCTGTTGCGCCAACTCCACTGGCTACCGATCTGCTACCGGGCTGAATTCAAAGTGCTGGCGTTGGCCTTTAAAGCCCTAAACGGTTCCGGCCCAAGCTACCTATCTGACCGCATCTCTGCCTATGAACCCACCAGGAGTTTGAGATCTTCCGGGGAGACCCTGCTCTCGATCCTGCCTGCTTCTCAAGCTCGGCTGGCGGGGACGAGAGATAGGGCCTTCTCGGTGGTGGCTCCTCGGCTGTGGAACGCCCTTCCTACGGACATTAGACTAGCACCATCTCTAATGGTATTCCACAAAAAGGTGAAGACCTGGATGTTTGTGCAGGCGTTTGAGTAATTTAGTGCAATCTGGTAATGGAATATAGGAATGGAACAATGGACGATGAACCTGGACTGCCCTTGGATGATGAGAAGATTGGGTACAGTTGTTTTTCATAATAATTGTGCATTGTAATTGCTTATTGGTAATTTATGGATAATGTGTTAAGTCAATTGTTATATGTTGTATGGAACCACTGCTGTTTCTACTGTTTTTACTGTTTGTGAACCGCTGTGAGTCGCCTTCGGGCTTGAGATACAGTGGTATATAAGCAAAGTAAATAAATAAATAAAATGTACAGTTAGTTTTTGTGCAATCCACATTTGACCATGGGCTTTTTTTCTGTCTACTGCAGAAATATCCGAGCCTGGCTACTTGAAAGAAATCGAGAGTTTTCAACACCATATTTCTGACAATTCAATGTCTACCAAACTGAAAGAAAGTCCACACATTAAGAAACTACAAGAAAGTTTTCCAGATGTGTCTTTATCTAGCTTTACCATGGAGTCTTCAACTACTGATGTTCCAAGTCGTATTAAAAAATCATTCATTAAGGTACCTCTCTGTGCAGTCTTTCTCCCAGAATTGAAGGCAGCTAAGCTGAAACTACTGTATGTTATTCATATTCATATTGTGAGACAGCTTTGAATACATTTTAATCAGTTTTAAGGATTTTAACGGTTTGTTTTTAATTAATACCATTGAGGTGGAATTCTATTTTAATGTTTGTATATTTTTGGATTTTAAATTGTATTGAAATACTTTTATTGTAAGCTGCTTTATGGAGAGAAAAAGTGGGTTATAAATAAACATAAATAAACAGGGCCATTGGAAGACTTATATTCATCGGGTCTTCATAAATGGAAGTTGACTTAATAGTATAACAAAAAAAAATCAATGTGTCAATGCTTTTATATATAAATCCTTATATCTACTAACCTCAAAGACCATTGCTGCCATACTGTGGCCAGGTTTTCTCTTGGCCTGCAGGGATCGTTTTACTTTTGTAAGAGCAATGTTTACCTTTTGTCCTGCTTTTTATTTTTGTGAATGTTTTTGGGCTTCAAGGAACTGATAGCATTCACACTTGCTTTAAGCAGACAAGAGTCCTTTGTCTCACCCTGGTCATTCCACAGATATATAAACCCTTTTCCTAGTTCCAACAGACCTCACTGCCTCTGAGGATGCTTGCCATAGATGCAGGCGAAACGTCAGGAGAGAATGCCTCTAGACCATGGCCATATAGCCCGAAAAAACCTACAACAACCCAGCTCTCAGACTGTTTCTATGACCCCTTTCTTATTAGCCTCAGAGATTCTCACTTCTTACAGAAAAAGAAAGCAAGTCACTAATGGGTCTGGACTGAGTCTAGAGTTCTGCATCAATAAACCCAAACTCTGATCACATGGTACATTTTTCTGTGGCCAGAATAAACTGGGAATAAGGATATCTTACGAGTTACATAATATAGACCATTTTGCAATTGAACCAAGAGTGTTGTGTGTTGCAAAACAGCAGCAGCTTATCTAATATTTGAGTTTTGCAATGAGTATGTTGTGGAATGGAATGTATAGACTGTGTAATAAAATACAAAAGACATAAATGCATGATATTTGGACAACAGTGTTCTGCAAATAGGTGTGGTGAGTTAAGAAGAGGAGGTTATGAGAAAAGAATTAGTTCAGTGGGTTGTTGTGAGTTTTCCAGGCTGTATGGTCATGTTTCATAAGCATTTTTTCCTGACATTTTGCCCACATCTATGGCAGGCATCCTCAGAGGTTGTGAGGTCTGTTGGAAACTAGGCAAGTGAGGTTTATATATCTGTGGAATGTCCAGGGTGGGAGAAAGAACTCTTGTCTGCCTGAGGCAAGTGTGAATGTTGTAATTGGACAGCTTGATTAGCATTAATATTGCAGCTTCAAAGCCTGGCTGCTTGCTGCCTGGGGAATCCTTTGTTGGGAGGTGTTAGCTGGCCCTGATTGTTTCCATCTGCAATCCCGGTGTGGTGGGGGGTGGAGTGGGGCGGGGAGGGAACGGGCCTGAAGTTGAAGAGGTTTTGTAAATACGGGAGCCATGGGGGGCAGGTGCCATGGTGCCGCCGGCGTTGAAATGGGCCTCAGTTGCTTGTGATTTCAGGGTGTTCTGGGAGTCGGCTGGTGGGGGTTTAGAGTGGTCCAGCAGTTCTGGGTGCGCAAGAATAGGCGGGTTCCAGGGGGTGCGTCGGGCGCGATGGCGGCGGTTCGGGGAAAGTAGTTCAGGGCCGTTGCATGGGCCGGATTGGGGGGGCAAGGCGGCGGGGGTGGCCCCATGGAAACGGTGGCCAACGGCCGGGGAAGTGTATGCCGCAGAGTGAGAGGATCCCTCGGGCCCCGGGGCGGAACGTATATGGGGGATTTGCTGATGTCGTAAGAATTGGGGAGGGGGTGCGGGCAGCACGGCCGAGGCGTGGGACAGGGGGGACAGCCACAGAGAGAACCGCACTGGACGAGGGCCACGCCCCGCACCGCGAAGGAGCAGCCGAGAGGGGCAAGGCGGCGGAAAAGAATGCGGGGACAGACGCCAAGGAAACTGCAGCCAACCGAGGGAGTATGGCCATGAAGGGCGGGACCAGAAGGAGGCAACGGCAGGGGCACCCCCCGGGGAACAGCGTACCAAAGTACCAAGAAGAGAGGGATCGGGGGGGGTTGGCATGCGTCAGGGGGGCCGGAGGCGGACGGCAGCGCCATCCCGCAAGAGCGCCCGGCGGTGCACCACCCACGCGCAGGCAGGCCAAGGGAGTCACGGCAAGAGACCAGGCAGCGGAGAGCGAGGGGCGCGGAGGGAAAGAGGCGAAACAACGGAGCAGAACAAGCAGTGAGCGTACGCAAAAGGGGTGCTGGCCTGAGAGCGGGACCAAAAGGGCTGGGCCAGGGCGGGGTGAGCGGCAGCGAGTGGGAAAGAAGCGGTACAGAAAAGGGGAAGGCCACCACCCGGGCGAAGCCACAGGGCCGAGCCAAGAGGGGATGGGGAGGGGGGAGGGAAGAAAGCCGGGAGCCCGCAGAAAGAGGAAACAGCCGGGCGAAAAGGCAGCCGGGAAAGAGGGGGCAGGGGGGCCCGTCAAAGAACGACCCGCGCCAGAAAACCGAGGGGGGAGAGCGGCAAGAGCTAGGCAAAAAAACCGCGGACCAAGAGAGAGCCAGAAAGCGGGAAAACCCGCGCGACGGCGCCACACGCGAGCGGAGACGGCCCGTGCGCCGCAAAAGAGGGCAGCTAGGCCAGAAGAAAGAGGGGGCGGAAGGAGCAGACGAGGCGGAAAAAAAGGAAGGACAAAACGGGGAGGGGAACGGCCTGGGAGGCCGACAGGAGCGCCACCGGGCGCAAAGGGGAACCCGGAGCGGGGAAAGCGACGGGTAACCGAAAGGACGCAGGCACGCCAGCGCGCAGGCACAGAAACCGCCACAAGGGAACAGCGATCGAGCCGCGGGGGCAACGCCGGGCAGACGGCCGGGGCGCACACCAAAGGCGGCAGTGCGAAGGCGCGACTGCACAAGAAACAAACGCACAGACCGGGAAAGGGCGGGCCGGCAGGACCGAAGGAAGGGGCGACGGGAGAGCAGCCACAGGAGGGGGCCGAAGGAAAGGGGGTGAGGGAGGGCGGAAAAAAGGGAGGCCGCCCCCGGCGCAACACAAGAAGACAAAAGGCACCAAAGACCAAACAGGCGCCGGACGAAGGCTGGGAGCGACGAACAGGAAACAGTGATCAAAGATAACGACACGAGAAAACCGCCGGAGCCACCAGAGAGGGCGGAAGCGGCACAGGGGGGAGGAAGGACACAGGCCCAAAAGGGAAAACCAAGGTGGGACCAGCCGGCAAAGAAAAGACCCAGCCGAAGCGCACCAAAAGGCATGCCAGAGCCAGGCAAGCCCAAGCCGGCTCTCGCCCACCAGCGGGCCGGGCAAGGGCGGACGGAACGGCCGCCCGGGAGCGCAGCGCGCGGGGCAGAGAAGAGCGGGAGGACAGGGAGGGCCGGGCAGGGTGAGGAGGGAGAGCCAAGACCGCAAGGGGGGCGCAGAAAAAGGAAAAACGACGGGAGACAGGAGGCAGCGCCAGGAGACGGACCCACGGGGAGAACCTGCCGCCCCAGGACGAGGGAAGCGGCGAGCGCGGCAAAGGCCTCCACAGGGGCGGGCCGAAGCCTAAGGGACGAAGCGGGACCAAGGTGGCCAGCGGACGGCCCAAGCGGGGCCGGGCACACAAGGGGGAAGGTGCACCGCCGGCAAGGAGGCCAGGCTCAGGAGTCAAGACGCCAAACGGCACCGGCGCGGAGCAGCAAGTTCAAACGGCCCGCCAGGGGGTGGACGGCAACGGCAACGCCAAAGGGAGGCGGGTGGAGGGGGGGGGAACACGGGGAGCGGAGGGGCTCCCGGCCGGAGGAGGAGAAGCGGGGAGGCGCCATGCCCAAGGAATGGGAGAAGGGACCAAAAGCTTGTAAAAAAGCAGGCGGCGGGGAGGGCACGAGGCCCACCGGGGCCGAGTCCAGCAAAAACCCACCAAAGGACGGGGGCGGAGATAGGGGCAGGGGGAGAGGTGAAGCGGGGGGGCGGCAGCACAACAGAGGAACGGACGGAGCCAACAAGAGGGCGGGCCGGCGGAGACATGGCGCGGAGGAGAGCGAAGAGATGGCGCAACACGTCAGAAGGGGGGAGGGGGACGAGAGATGGCTCACGCCGGCTGGGCCCGCAGGGGAGAGCCAAGCCAGAAGGGAGGGGGCCGGCCAAAAGAAAAGGCGCGAGGCGGGACAGAAGGGAAGGACGAACGACGCACGCTCGGACAGAAGAGGCCGCCGCGAAGCACGGTCGAGGGGGGGAGGGCGCACGGATTCCAGAGGGAAGAAAGGGGGAAGGTCCGATAGGATGGGAATGGGCAGAGGGGGCGGCATGGGGCCGACCGCCAGGGAGAAAGGGGCGGAGGAAGGAGCAAACCGCCAGCCAGACCGCGGGGGGGGCCGGGACACCAGGGGTCCGGGACAACAAAGCGCAAGCCCGAGGCAACCGAAAGGGGAAGGGGGCTGAAGGGAAGGGGGAGTAAGCAGACAAGCGTGGAAGGGTCGAGCCCTCGAGGCTAGCGAGCGACAGAGCACAGCGAGCGGCGAAGCAAGGGGAAGGGCCAGAAGGGAACGAAAAGAGCAGGCGGAGACAGCCAGGGACGCGGAGGAGCGGGGGAGGCCGGAAGAAAGAGAGGAAGATAGGAGAGCCAGGGAGAGGAGAGAGCCACAGGGGGAAGCGGGGGCACGGCCGGGAACGAGGACGCGACCAAGGAGGGCAACTAAAAGAGGAAGCCAGCGGAACGAGACGGCCTGACGTGAGACCGGGCAGCAGGGAACCGCTGCCCGAGGGGGGAGGCGCGGCGGTGGAAGCGGGGACAGCGTGAGACCAGCGGGCAGGGAGTGAGCAAGAGGCCGGCGGCGGGCAGGGGGGAACGGAGCCCGGGCTCGTCCACGCGGGAGTGCATAGGGGAGATTCGAGTGCAGCGTGCCGCGCGCCGAGAAGAGGGAGGGACCAAAGCACACCAGTAAAACGGACCAGGGAACAACACGGGGTGCGAGGGAGCGACGCAGGAGCTCGCACCAACAGGCAACGGGGATCGAACCAGCAGGCGAGGGGCGGGCGGAGAAGCAACGGGAAAAGGCGGGGCCAAGAAACATAACAACCTTAGAGGCCAAATTCCACGGGAGGCCAAACCGAGAAACGAGGCCGGCGAATCAAGGGGAAGAAGGAAGGGGAAGCGGGAGCAGGGAACATAAGACCAAGGGCAACAAGGAGGACACTGGGAAGGGGAAAAACCGGAGCCAGACAGACGGGGAGGGCGAGAGCAAATTACGGCAGCCAGAATCAGAAGACGTGCCCGGCGGGGAGGACAGGACCATCGCAGAAAATAGGGAAGAGGAGAGACATCACACTGGACAAAGCCCATACGCAAGGCATGGTAGGCCCACAGACAGGGGGGGAACGACCACAGGAGGCGGAAAGGGCGTGGGACGGGGGGGTGAGGAAAGGCGGGGGGGAGGCCGGGGACCCCAGAAAGCACATCCAGACGGCAGGTAAGCACCGACGGCCAGTGTGAGAGATAGAGAACAAAGAGGAAGGACTCGTCACATCATGAGAAGAAAGGGCCGGAGAGACAGGAGGCGGGGGACAGGGAAAAAAGGAGCCACAAAGAAGAGAGGCGAAGGAAGGGAGGGAGGGAAGCTGGGGAGGGGGACGGCGACGCGCGGCATGGCGGGTCCAGGGGCGGTAGATTATTTACACACAGTTATGTAGACAGAGCCCCCGTGGCGCAGTGGGTGAAGGGCTGAGCTGCTGACTGTTGATCGAAGAGGTCGCAGGTCATCCGGGAGCGCGGAGTCCGCGAGCCCCGACCTTCTGCCACCTACAGTGCGAAACAGCAAGGGGAGTAAGTATAGGACGGCGACCGCGGGAAGGGAAGCGCCTCCAGGCAGTCAGCACCGTACGTGCGAGGGACAATGCCCGGGTCTGTGGCGTAGAAGGGAGAGGACGCCAAACCAGCAGACAGACGGGACTGGAGAGAGGGAGGGCCCCTGCAACGGGAGAGCATAGAGGGGGAACCGGGGGGGGACAGGGGGGCGGGCTGGCCCGGGGCACACGGAGGCCCCGGGAGAGGAATGGGAAAAGGGGGCGGGGTGGAACAAGGATGGAGCAACGGCAGGAACCCTCCCCACCATGAGACCTTCCAGTAAGAGCTAGGCTCAGGGGCGGGGCGGGGCGTAGGCGGAAAAAGGCGGGGGGGGGGGGAAGAACGACGAGACGCCAGCGGGAGCAACGGAAACGAAACGAGGGGGAAAGGCGCGGCGGGAAGGCGGCGGAGTCGGGGGAGGGCCAGGCGGGGCGGTGGGAGGCAGGCGGGATAGGCCGCAGGGCGGGCAAGTGGAGGGGTTGTGGGGGAGTGAAAAGAGAGAGCACAGCACAGGCACAACAGAGGGGACGGCAGAAGGCCCCCGGCCCAGGGGAGGGGGGGACGAGGGCGAGCCTGCCGCCAGGAACGAAGCGAGGGGGAGGGTGGCGGAGGGGGGGGAAGGGGCGGGGGTGGGGCCCAGGGCGAACGGGGGAAGAGCACGGGAAAGAAGGGCGAATGCGGGGAAGACGAAACGCAAAACCCCCCAAAAAACGAATCGATTTTAGAAACAATTTTTTCCGTTGTTACCCAGGCCTAATAGATACCCCTTTCTGGGATAGATTTCCTCTCACGTCCTGTTGTCTCACCCCTGTTCTTAACCTAAAACAATGCTTTAAGGGCTTTAAATCAATATAATTAAAGTCAGGGAACAGTCCAAAATAGAGCCCCTAATATTTATATATAGTGCACTCTACTGTAAACCATATTACTCAACATGGAGTGCTCCATTGATCAGTATATGTGTTTCTGCCAAAACGAGATTTGAAAAACCCTGCATTGTTGGTGGCTGTCATATTCCAGGTTCTGGAACTGGTTTGAGGTCAGCCTCTTCAGTGCATGTGAGCATCATCCAGATCTCAAGCCAGTTCCAGGATTACTAATCAAATTCTCCCCACATTGAAACAATGCTTTCTTTTATGCTGGCTCAAAGCTTACCCCAGTGGTCAGTGCAGATGTGCTCTTAGATCAGAGGTCCTCCAACTAAGGTGCGTGGTTCGGATTCGGCCCTCCAAAGTAATTTACTCAGCCCCAGCCCTAAACTTTAGACTGAGTCTGAAATGACTTGACCAGAGTTTGGGAATCACTGCTCTAAGGAGCCTGTGCTTCTTTTCCAGGAAAATTTCCAGGAGAAGGAGGACTTATTGCTCCGGGAATGAGCTGTTACCATGAAGTTCAGTTCATTCCTGAATACCTGTCGGATTATGATGATTATATCCTGGTAGAGTCGCAGGCGCCATATCCGTTCTTCATCCCTTTGAAAGGTAGAAGACCGCCTCCTGTTTTGACACGTGAGTAGACTTTTACCAACCGGAGTGATCCATAATTTGTATTTTATTAATATTCTGCATCTTTGGAATTTCAAAAACGGTTTTAGCTTCAGTGTTTTAAATTTTTTTTATTGAAAACAAAATAACATATTTGAACAGATAATAAATGTCTATTGTAGGCTTACATTATGATAACATATTTCTGTATTATGTATTCACATTCTTTACAGATTCATTCATATTACATTTTGTATTTTTTCTCCCCTCTCCTCCCACCACCCTTTCCTACCCCTCCCACCACTTTTCTCTCTATATATTTTTAACCACGAACACAACCTTTTTAACCTTTTTGTACAATATCATTGCTGGCTTCTCCTTCTATCTATTTCATATAAGTTGCCCATTTCTCTTTAATTTCTTCTGTTTTGTCCTCCTGTGAACCTTCTTGCCAATGGGATTTTGGCCTCAGTCAATGGGAGTCTAGTGTCTAGGTCCAGGGAAGTCATGCTATTTCTCTATTATGCCTTGGTTAGACCACATCTGGAATATTGTGTCCAATTCTGGGCACCACAATTGAAGAGAGATATTGACAAGCTGGAATGTGTCCAGAGGAGGGCAACTAAAATGATCAAGGGTCTGGAGAACAAGCCCTATGAGGAGTGGCTTAAAGAGCTGTGCATGTTTAGCCTGAAGAAGAGAAGGCTGAGAGGAGACATGATAGCCATGTATAAATATGTGAGAGGAAGCCACAGGGAGGAGGGAGCAAGCTTGTTTTCTGCTTCCTTGGAGACTAGGACGCGGAACAATGGCTTCAAACTACAAGAGATTCCATCTGAACACGAGGAAGAACTTCCTGTCTGTGAGAGCCGTTCAGCAGTGGAACTCTCTGCCCCGGAGTGTGGTGGAGGCTCCTTCTTTGGAAGCTTTTAAACAGAGGCTGGATGGCCATCTGTCAGGGGTGCTTTGAATGCAATATTCCTGCTTCCTGGCAGGGGGTTGGACTGGATGGCCCATGAGGTCTCTTCCAACTCTATGATTCTATGATTCTTGGGTTATACATGCAAGAATATCTGATTGGACTTGCTCAAATAAATAGTTATTCCAATTTTCCATATTCCATTTTTTCATCTCTCCATCCCTAGGCTATTACCGCCTTTCCTGCTAAGATCATTGCTTTAAATAGGTCTTGGTTCTTGGCAGCAATGTTTTTATTCCCTGTAATTGCCATTAACATAAATTCCATATTGACTTGAATTGTTATTTTGAAAAGTTTCCCCATTTTTTAAATTATCTTATCCCAAAAAGTTGTTGCATTTAAACAGCCCCACCACATATGTGCATACCAGCCTTTCTCTACTTTACAATGCCAACACATTGGGCTTAGTCCTGTTCCCATATTTGCGTTTTAGCTTCGGTGTTAATCGTGTCGTCTCACCTCCCATTTCTTAGGGGTAGGATTCATGAATGAACAGCCTTTGGAAAGTTCTTGTTAAGGAAAACTACCCTAAAATATAACAGAGCATCCACAAATCAAACTGGATACAAAAGTTGAGCAATAGCTCACAGCTAGCAAAGGATGAAGTGCCATGTGATGTGGCTGTAAAGAATTCAGAGCTTAGGAGGCAAACATGCAGAGTCCAATATTAAAAATCACAAAAGGTTTATTTACAGTAATAAGAAATAACCTCATTTCTTAATAATCAAGAACAGGGACTGAGCTACTCCAACACCCATCTCTTCTAAGGTTTCAAGAGAGGGAAAAACTCAATCACTACATCTCTCCTGACACATAAGCAGAGAGAGATCTCAAGGCACACAGCACATATTCTCCAAACTAAAGCGTAAGAAGGCCGAAATCAGATTTAAAAAAGTATGCATTTTAAACAACCAATTACAATGAGAGCATAAACACAGAGGAAAGAAGAAATTAGATACATCTCCAACTGTCATACAGGAGATAAGAGGGAAGGGAAACCCTTCATCTATGCTAAACTAACTAACTGTTCCTCATTGAAGACTTGAGACTTGGGCAGTATGAGGTTGAATTCCAATAATAGGAATGTCAGAATGAAAAACGTTCCTGCCAGATTGCTTGTTTCGATAGATCAGGCATGGGCAAACTTGGGCCCTCAAGGTGCTTTAGACTTCAGCTCCCACAATTCCTAACAGGGTGTCAGGAATTATGGGAGTTGAAGTCCTGGAGGGCCCAAGTTTGCATAGATTATCTCTACATAGATGATCTCTGATCATGATAGCTTTAGTAAAAGGGTTGCTTCTTTTGTGCCAGCCATCCTAACTTGTTCTGCTCTTTATTTATTTACGACATTTATATGCTGCCCTTCTCACCCCGAAGGGAACTCAAAGCGGTTTACAAGGTATATATTACATACAATATATTATATTACTAGCATAGTACAATATCAGCATTAAATATTGCTATATTGCACCATACAACTATATCGTAATATTATTAGTAATATTACATGTAATATAAATATATAATTATAATATCATATTATTATTATATTATTATTATATATATTATATTATATTATTAGAATAGCACAGGAGACAAGGTGGAACTGTCCCCTGGCCCCCCCCCCTTCACTCTGGCCCAGAGTGACAGTTGGTGTTGAGGGGAGGGGTCTCCAGCTGATGGCATATCCAGGAGACAGGATGCTATTTTACTTGTGTTTTGCTCTAGTGCCTTCCACCTTGGACTGTGGTGCCTGCCTCGTAGGCGGAGTAAAATTTACACAATTTCCTTGCAAAAACGAAGGTTCCAGCACTGGGAAGTTTTGCATCATGCCAAAGGGCATCTGGCCACCCCCTAACTTCCGGGTAAGAAAGCAAGTATGGTTGAATGGGAAGACTTGTGCTCTTATTCCCATGAATTGCATCAGAGATTTTGAAGGTTTTGTGGTGTTTCTTCTCTTTTTGAAGGCTGTTGCCACTTTTGGTTATGTGGAGCAAGACGTATTTGGGATTCATCCAGCAGTATTTGAGCTAGCTCCTGGCCAGTCGACAGTAATTGAGGTTAGTTCAGTACCTTTTGCCTTATCAACAGTTTGCAGGATTTTAGACGAAACAGGGATGAAAGGTGAAAATAGAAGGGACGTGGTTTTAAAAAGGGAATTTTCAGAGATGTTCCCAATGGCCCTATGTTATGATTTCTTGCCATATTGGCCTGTTTCTACAGTAGGCCTTTGTTTACAGAAAATACTGGTTGTTTGAGAAAACTGTTGCAGAGAAGAAGTTACTATTCAAGGATAACAGTACATCCAGACAAATGATTTAATTCTAATGTAATTCATTTGTGGTCCTATGAGCACTATTGTTTTCCTGATGTTGAAAACTTCTCTTCCAGGTTGTCTTCATGCCCATTTTACCCGAAACCTTTACAGTGACGTACCTCATGGTTTGTGACAATTGCCAGATCAACGAGATTACGGTGACAGGTTTGCTGCCAACATCTTTGGAAGTTTCCTATGCAAGCTGAAATTGTTTTGCGGCCAGGACAAGAGATTCTTCAGTGAAGGGTCATCAGTAGCTTCCTTTCCTTTTGCCCAGTACCCAAGGGAGATAGTTGGACATGCCAACAGAGTTTCCTGGAAAATGATGCAGATCAAGCAACAAGACATATTCAGGAGCCCAAGATTTCAATGTGGAAGTGTGCAACACGTGGCATTGTTAGTGAGGTTCTTAGATAGTTGCTGTAGGAAAGAAATTTGTCTGAAGCACCAGGGAGCTACTATGAGAGCAGACGATCCTAGGCTACTTGCAGCAGTGATATTACAGCTTCATATGTTGTTCACTCCAGTCCATGGGAATGGCCCTATTGAATTTGACCCACCATGTCATTTTATGTGGCCCTCCAGATGCTGGACTACAACTCATCTTTAGACAACATGACAAAAGCAAATGGGAGTTGTGATACAGTAACTTCTGGAAGGCTGCAGTTTATTCTGTTTAGTCAGGATAGCGGGTCTTGGATTTAGCTATTTATTTATTTTTATTTACGACATTTATATGCCGCCCTTCTCACCCTGAAGGGGACTTAGAGCAGCTTACAAGTAAAAAGTAAATACAATATAGTGTATTATTATCATAGCACAATATTAATATTATGTATTACATTGTACTATAACATTATACCGTAATATTATTAGTACTATTACATTTAATATAAAATATATAATTATAATATATTATTATTAGTAGTAGTATATTGTATTACATTCTAATATTATTAATATCATCATCATCATCATCTTTAATTACCTATTAATCGCCCTCCATCCGAGATGCTCCAGGTGATTTACATAGCAGAAATTATATAGGATAAAACACATACATATAAATATTAAAATTAAGTGCTAGGATAAAATGCCCTAAGTCACGCATGGCTCTCAAATAGGGAGGCAAGGAATTCCACAAGGCAGGGGCAGAAACAGAGAAGGCCCATCTGCGTCTGGTGCTTTCCAAGTGCATTTCCCTAGGACCCGGTATAGAGAGCAAATCGCGTTGGGATGGTTGTGGCGACCTCCGATGATGGGAGAAGGAGAGACGGTCTCTAAGATACAATGGACCCTGGCCATATAAAATTTTAAAGGTCAGGACCAGCATCTTATACAAACCACGATACTCAATTGGGAGCCAGTGTAGATGCCGCAGCACTGGTGTTATATGGCATTTCATGGGCGTTTTTGTGAGTAACCTGGCTGCAGCATTGTGTGTATGTATATATATATATATATATATATATATATATATATATATATATATATATATATAAAATAAATTATATTATGTTATATTATATTATAAGCACACACACACCCCAGCACCAACCGCTGCTCTGAGATATAAATCTTGTGAATAGGATGATGTCTGACTTTAAAATGCCCTTTAATCTTTCCCCAACCTCAGAGCCACAAAGGCTGTAGGGTTGAAATTCCCATTATCCCCATCCCACATGGTGGATAATCAAAAGTGATAAGAGTTGTCATTCCATAATATCTGGAGACCCAAACTGGGCAGAAACTAAACCACTATGTAAAATAATTATAGTTAACCATCTATCTGTGGATGATTCTCCTTCCATGGATTCAGCAGCCCTTTGAAGGCAATCATAAGGCTGATGTGGCACTCAGTGAAAAAGAGTTTGACACCCCTGCCATAGACAGCACATCAGGTGTATTTCCTGCTTTTTGTTTATTGGGTTCTTGTAGGTTTTTCAGGCTGTATGGCCATGTTCTAGAAGCATTCTCTCCTGATTTCACCTGCATCTATGGCAGGCATCCTCAGAGGTTGTGAGACCTCACAACCTCTGAGGATGCCTGCCATAGATGCAGGCGAAACGTCAGGAGAGAATGCTTCTAGAACATGGCCATACAGCCCAAAAACCTACAGCAACCCAGTGATTCCAGCCAGGAAAGCCTTTGACAATTTGTGTTTATTCTTTTGTTTCCAGGTCTAGGGCAGCTGATAGCTTTGGAACTGTTCTCTGTCACTGGTGGAGAAAGCCATCCCCTTCCTGGTGAACTTACCGATGTGACAGCTCAGCATCTCATTCGATTTGATTCTCTGAACCCCTATTCTGTAGCAGAGAAGATTCTGGTTCTTAGAAATATGACGTACGTATGATGCTCAAAGTACACAGCAAGAGTGGAGAACTTTTATTAAAAAAATCAGAACTGTGCCATGGAATAGAAAGATAAAATTACAGTTTTATTCTGTGATCTTCCATTAAAACTACAGAACTCATTCATTGCTTTTCTTTGCTCAGCCACGTAGAACTTCCCTTCTTCTGGCAAATAATGAAACCTAACTTGCAGCCATTAATGTTGGAAGGAAAAGTGGACCTTGCAAAAATAAAGTACAACTTGGAAAGGGAGTCAGCTTTCTCTCTAACTCCGTCCATGGGAAAGCTACCTGCGCATTCCGACTTCCCCTTTACTCTCACATTCGCTCCAAAAAAGGTACAGCTTTGTTTGCTGTTGACTGATGGTGACTCTCAGCTTTTTGTGGCATTATTGTGCTATACGTATGTGTTGGATATCCTGCTCAATAAAGATTAATGAGCTCCCACTGAGAGGGTTAGAACTCAAGAGTGAAATAACATATTTCCTGAGAGGATTAGTAAGAGAGACTTTCCAGTGTTTATGACCTGTTTTCCACATTAAATTCTCTATATAGATCAGTCATGCATAATTTGTGACTGGCAAGCTAGATGCAGGTCACCAGTCATGTGCTGGGTTATTGGAACCTTTCGGATTTGGTAACTGCGGCTGACAGGAAAATATTTAAGTGCTGTCATATATGCTTAATGCTCTGAGTTCAGTTTGTTGGGTAACATGAAAACACAGAAAACATACTTTCCTTTCTTCTCATGGAGCAATGAGAGAGTTGGATTCTGGCCTTGGAATTTTACAAGGAATGTCCTTTCTAAATACAGTGTACCCTCCATTATTGCAGGGGTTTATATATCTGTGGAATCAGGACAGTAAAGAAAAAGCAACACTAAAAAACGGGAATTCCAAACAAGAATCAATCAGGTCCAGTTAACATCTCCCAACAAAGGATCCCCCAGCAGCAACCAACCAGATTTTGAAGCTGCAAGGCTATTCAGTGCTAATCAAGGTGGCCAATTGCTACAATAACACTTGCTTCAAACACACTTGCTACCCTGGACATTCCACAGATACATAAACCTCACTTGCCTAGTTTCCAATCGACCTCACAACCTCTGAGGATGCCTCCCATAGATATGGGCAAAATGTCAGAAGGAAATGCTTCTGGAATATGGCCATACAGCCCAGAAAACTCACAGCAACCCAGTGATTCTGGCCATGAAAGCCTTCAACAATACATCCATGATCGGGTTGAAAGAGTCAGGAAGTCCTCTTATGTGTACACCAAATGTCTAAAGCCATTCATGCAAGTTATCGGATAGAAATCAATACAAAAGTTGTGATCCACAGATATTTCTGCACAACAAAGTGTGATGAGAACTCAGATAAATCTTTTCTGGGAATGCTGAATTAGTGGGAGCGAGCCTGTTCTCAGGAAGTGATGTCTTTGTGAGTGCGGAGTAGTAAGACAAACTAAGTGTGAGTCTTCTGGGTTTCCTTTTTCCTTACAGTTGAGAGACTACCACAGTGTGCTTCAGATTGTACTAGAGGATATCCCAGAACTACCTAAGTAAGTGGTGGTTCAGACACATGTTGTGTGCCATTTGCATTAGTATAGTTGTTATGTTGATGCTAGAGAAGGTTTTGCCTGGATGCCGGATTTTCTCTTGACATTGTCGATCTCCGTTATTTTTGTGTAGTACCCAAGATGTTTTGGATAATGCATTTTTAATTATGCTGTTGCGAAGGTGTCGAGTCCCACATTTGTTGAGGGGAACCAATGTATCATGCTAGGTAAAGGTAAAGGTTTCCCCTGACATTAAGTCCAGTTATGTCCAATTCTGGGGGTTGATGCTCATCTCCATTTCTAAGCCGAAGAGCCAGCGTTGTCCATAGACACCTCCAAGGTCATGTGGCCGGCATGACTGCATGGAGCATCTTACCTTCCTGCCAGAGCGGTACCTATTGATCTACTCACATTTGCATGTTTTCGAAGTGCTAGGTTGGCAGAAGTTGGGGCTAACAGCTGGAGCTCACCCCACTCCCCGGATTCGAATCTGTGACCTTTTGGTTAACAAGTTCAGTAGCTCAGCGGTTTAACCCACTGAGCCACCGGGGGCTCCAATGTATCATACTATTCTATACCAAATGTGCAAAATAACTGATTTTAAACGTGTTCCTCGTGCAGCCCTCAAAAACCGTGGTTATATGAAGTTGGAGAAAACCGACAAGAAGATGTTATCGCCCTGGAAATAGATGTTAAAGGCCATACAGAACCCTTGCAGCTCCTTTTAGAACCATACGCCATTATAATCCCTGGAGAAAACTATATTGGTGTAAATATTCGAAGACTGTTTAAGGTACATCATTAATGCTATTTACAGCATATCTCTCCTTATGAACCATCTAGGACTTTAAGATCGTCTGGGGAGGCCCTGCTCTTGATCCCGCCTTCCTCGCAGATGCGTTTGGCGGGGACAAGAGACAGGGCCTTCTCAGTGGTGGCCCCTCAGCTATGGAATGCATTCCCCGGGGATATAAGATCTGCTCCCTCCCTTCTAACATTCCGCAAAATGGTTAAGACCTGGCTCTTCGAGCAAGCTTTTTCTACCAGAGCATAATTACCTAGGCAATCCCTTGCTGTCCGAGTAGGATAATCCTCCGGGATGGGTGCGTAGGTGACTATGGAGCCCAATTCTTGATCTGCATCGTCTCCCGCAGTGAGGGTATTGGTTTCCAAGTGGAAGGTGGTCCCAGTCGGGGTTAGCTTGATGCGCCTTCCTCTTGGCACGCGTCTCTCACTTTCACCTTCCATTCATGCCTCTTCAAATTCTGCAGCACTGTTGGTCACAGCTGACCTCCAACTGGAGCGTTCACAGGCCAGGGCTTCCCAGTTCTCAGTGTCTATGCCATAGTTTTTAAGGTTGGCTTTGAGCATAATTACATGTAAACAAATATATGGAATGACTGACCATGTAACTGGACAACTATTTAATAAGTAGACGCCGAGGATCTTGTTTTTACAGATATATTTGCTTTTTATATTACATTTTAAATGTTGAATTGTCTTTATAATTGTCTTAACTGTAATTTGATATTTGTTATGTCATTGCATCGCTGCCGACTGTGAACCGCCTTGAGTCACCTCTGGCTGAGAAAGGCAGTATATACAAATGCGGTAATTAATTAATTAAGAAAGAAAGAAAGAAAGGGCATGTCACTTCTGTCTATTCAACATTTGTTGTGTTAGGCAGGAGCTCAAGTTTCAAGCCTCATCTCACAGAGAGAAAACTTGATAAGAGGCCTGAAATTTCTTTTTTATCATTCACATCAGCAAATTCCTGGTAATGGGCACTCTTTGATTTGAAGACACACTACAACAAAAAAACCTACTGAGTTGGAGGCATAATTTGGCCACGAAGAATCAGCCTTTTGTGCCCCTCCAGAAAGACCTTCAGAGTCGAGACTAGAAAGAGTCAACACATTGCATAAATGGGGTGAAAATGCTGAAACATATTTGAGGGTGGAAGCTAGGGAAATGTTATTAAGCATTAATGGGATTGATATTTCCTCCCAATAGCATCACCATCATTGAATTGTTGTAGGTTTTTCGGGCTATAGGGCATGTTCTAGAAGCATTCTCCCCTGATGTTTTGCCTGCATCTATGGCAAGCATCCTCAGAGGTTGTGAGACCTCGCAACCTCTGAGGATGCTTGCCATAGATGCAGGCAAAACGTCAGGAGAGAATGCTTCTAGAACATGGCCATATAGCCCGAAAAACCTACAACAACCCAGTGATTCCAGCCATGAAAGCCTTCGACAATACATCACCATCCTTTATTGATTTATTTCCCATCTTTTCCAAGCCTGGGACTCAAGGAAGTTTGCAAAAGTTAGATAGAGGTAAATATGTCTCTTAGCATATGTTTATGGCAATTTTTTCACTGCCTCTTCATTTCCAATTTTTCAGATGTATAACAATAGCAAATCCCCAGTCGTGTTTGCCTGGGAGAAAATCAGTGACTGTGACATATTGGAAGTCGAACCTTCTACTGGAAAGTTGGGTAAATCGTTTTTCTGTCCCTGTGACAGATATATTTGTGTTTCATTAATCACTAGGCTCCTATGTAATAAAAAAGGCAGATATTAGGGGTTGGCTGGAGTCAAGCTTGGGGAAATTTTGGGGGTTTTCTTTTTTTAAAATAATCTCTTCATTTTCCACATAAGTAATGTATTTTTTTTCTGTAGGAGAAAACGAGTTCTGTGAGTTTGAGTTCACAATTACCGGAGGCAACCCTGGACATTCCTGTCATAAGATGGAATGCAAGATCGCCAAGTGTACAGAACCGGTTGTGTTGCATGTGGAAGCTGATTTTAAGGTGGGAAGATCTAAACTGAAACAGTTTTATAACTGATTCCAATGGTTTATTTTATTTATTTATTTATTTAATAAGTATACCACCCTGAGTTGCCTTCGGGCTGATATGGGCGGGATAGAAATAGTATAATTAAATAAATAATACAATTGAAGAGAGATATTGACAAACTGGAATGTGTCCAGAGGAGGGCGACTAAAATGATCAAGGGTCTGGAGAACAAGCCCTATGAGGAGTGGCTTAAAGAGCTGGGCATGTTTAGCCTGAAGAAGAGAAGGCTGAGAGGACATGATAGCCATGTATAAGTATGTGAGAGGAAGTCACAGGGAGGAGGGAGCGAACTTGTTTTCTGCTTGGAGGGCCGTATCCGGCCCCCGGGCCTTAGTTTGAGGACCCCTGCTTTAGAGTGCATTGTTTTGATATGTTTCTACTCACCTGAGGCATTTAATGCTTGCCTCTTTTTGTCTGTAAACCACTCTCTCTTCGGGGAGAGAGAGCGGTCTAGAAATAAAGTTTATTATTATTTGAAACACAACAAGATGAGTCCACAGCAAACAAGATCACTCTGCTGGCTGTTGAATTGGATCACACGTCGGATACTTCCCAAGTGTCTAGGACTGTGTGATGTATCGGCAAATAATGCATGCAGATCCCAGTAAGGTGGCCTTTTGCAGCTGGCAGATGGTAATTTTGTCAGTGCCGATTGTGTTTAAGTGCAGGCCAAGGTCTTTAGGCACTGCACCCAGTGTGCCGATCACCACTGGGACCACCTTTACTGGCTTGTGCCAGAGTCTTTGCAGTTCCATCTTTAAATCCTATTATTATTATTATTATTATTATTATTATTATTATTATTGACACAAAAACACAGTATGTCACAGCAAATGAGATATATATGCTGGATTTCTTATCACAAAATCACAAGTCAAACACTTCCCAAGTGTTTAGGATTGTGTGATGTATTTTCGAATGATGCGCGCAGATCCAAGTAAGGAGGCCTTTTGCAGTTGACAGATCATGATTTTGTCAATGTTTGTTGTTTCAAAATGTCGGCTGAGATCTATTATTATTATTATTATTATTATTATTATTATTATTAGAAACACAACAAGATGTGTCCACAGCAGACACTCTGCTGGCTGTTGTATTGGATCACACGTCGGACACTTCCCAAGTGTCTAGGACTGTGTGACGTATCGGCAAATAATGTGTGCAGATCCCAGTAAGGTGGCCTTCTGCAGCTGGCAGAAGGTAATTTTGTCAGTGCCAATTGTGTTTAAGTGCAGGCCAAGGTCTTTAGGCACTGCACCCAGTGTGCCGATCACCACTGGGACCACCTTTACTGGCTTGTAGTCTTTTATTTATTTATTTTTATTTATTTACAGCTTTTATATTCCGCCCTTCTCACCCCGCAGGGGACTCAGGGCGGATTACAGTGTACACATATATGGCAAACATTCAATGCCAATTTTTGACATACAAACATATACAGACATACACAGAGGCTATTTAACTTTTTCTGGCCGCCAGGGGAGCTGTCGCTTTCATCGTCCATCTGCGACGCTGATGAAGCACTTCCGCATTCCCGCATGCTTCCCCGCTGGAATGCTTTGCTGGAGTCTTCTTTATGGCCTCATAAATCAGTTAATTTAGCCTCCCCACACTTTAAGGTGGTACCTAATTTTCCTACTTGACAGATGCAACTGTCTTTTGGGTTGCAAAGGTCGACAACAGGCTACACACAATTGGTTGGAAACCCAGTCCAACCCAGGCTGGCTTCGAACTCATGACCTTTTGGTTAGAGTGATCTTAATGCAGCTGACACTCAACCAGCTGCGTCACAATTTATTGTTGTTGTTGTTATTATTATCCATTTGACCTGGTTTTCTGTGGAAGAGAATTCCCAAGTTTCCATTTCACGCCTTCCCTCGTGTTGTACTGTTAAATAAATGTAAACAAACAGAATAATCTTACCTCTTGGATATCTTCCATGAGGCCCACTGAGGAAATGATTTGTTTTATTTGCTTTTCCTAGGGTCCCCTTCTTTCCGTTAGTGCGCCCTCACTTGATTTGGGTCTCCTTAAACTGGGTGAAAAAGTGTCCAGTACTTTTCAGATACAAAACGTAAGTCAACTGCCAGGAAGATGGAAAATGCAGGAAAGTCCTGTTTGCATAGCTGAAAGGGAAGAAGAGGTAAGTTCCACTGGAAGATTCTCCCTCGTAGCTGTTGATATCCAGATTATAACCTGAAGTTCCCCCTTGCAGCACCTTCTCCAAAGATACTCTTGATAGTGAACCTGAGCATGGAGTTTGAAAATGAGGAGGCAGTCTGGCTGGGAGACCCACCCACCATATTCTGTGCAGACTGGGGAAGATGGGAAGTTGTAGTTCAATACTAAGCTACCAAGTGGAAGAAGTTTGATCTCTTGCAAGTAATTTCATTTGTTTGTATTTTTTCTCCTTGCAGACTTCTCCTTTTACCATTGAGCCTTCTAGTGGGGAATTAGGTCCTCTAGACGTGTGCAGTGTCTCAGTTTTATTTTCATCATATATGTGTCAGCGTCTCCAAACAGTGCTAGTGATGGAAGTGGAAAATGGAACTGGAAGGTGAGGAACCGATACACGACTTTTTGTGTTGTATCACACATGGGCCGTTTGTTTTAGAGGGTTGGGTTGCTGTGAGTTTTCCAGCTGTCTGGCCATGTTCCAGAAGCATTCTCTCCTGACGTTTGCACAATGGAAGACCTTCTTATAGCAACACGAGAGACGCTCCAAGTGGCCAGCTACTGGTCAAAGGGCATTTAATAGAAGGCCAAGTTTTTAAACTTTGTGTTTTCTCAAATACATCACAATTGTACCCTTGGTTCACTCCTGATACATTAAGTATGAGGTATATTGGAAACTAGGCAAGTGGGGTTTATATATCTGTGGAATGTCCAGGGTGGGAGGAATAACTCTTGGTTCTGGCCCTGCTTATCTGTCCGAACGTATCTCTCCTTATGAACCATCCAGGAATTTAAGATCTTCTGGAGAGGCCCTGCTCTCTGTCCCGCCTTCTTCACAGGTTCGGTTGGTGGGGACAAGAGATAGAGCCTTTTCAGTGGTGGCCCCTCAGCTATGGAACGCCCTCCCCAGAGATATTAGATTGGCTCCCACTCTCCTAACATTCCGAAAAAAAGTCAAAACCTGGCTTTGTGACCAGGTTTTCTCAAATTATGTAGTAAATAATTACTTGACCTCGGAACGACTGGCCAATTGCAATGGGAGAAAGATTCTGGAAATTAGATATGGAGGATTTATGTTTTATGTTTTATTGATTTTTATGGAATTTTAAGGATGTTTATGTGCTTTTAACTGTTTATATTATTGTGGCATCGAGTTGTGCCGGTTTTGTAAACTGCCCTGAATCGCCCTCGGACTGAGAAGAGTGGTATAAAAATATAGTAAATAAATAAATAAATCTTGTCTTTTTGAGGAAAGTGTGAATGTTGCAATTGATCACCTGGATTAGCATTGAATAGCCTCGCAGCTTCAAAACTTCGCTGCTTCCTGCCTGGGGAATCCTTTGTTGGGAGGTGATTCAATGGCCTGATTATTTCTTGTCTGGAATTCCCCTGTTTTTGAGTGTTGTTCTTTATTTATTGTCCAGATTTTAGAGTTTTTAAATACTGGTAGCCAGATTTTGTTCAGACATCTGAACTGGGGTACTGCGTTCGCACTGAAAGGGCCGGGCTTTTGCACAGCTGGTTTATCACCAGCAGCCATAGGTCACACCAATCGAAAGTGGCAGTTCGAAGCCTGAGTCAGGGTGAGCACCCAACCTTCAGCCCAGCTCACTGTGTACCTAATCAGTTTGAAAACAGCTGTGATCTGTGAGTAAAGAAATTAGGCACCGCGTAAGCGGGGAGGTATTTTATGGCACCATAAAAAGGAAATACCAGTAAATGCCAGCAATCAAAGAAAGGAGGATGTCTGTAATCAAGGGCTCTTTGTCATCGGGAATGGAATGACAGCACCCCTTGTGGCCAGAATCGAGCACAACCTCCAGGATGCTGAAGTTGGGAAAAATGCCGACATATACCTCTATCTGTTGTCTGTCCTGTCTTTTTAACAACATTGAATGTTTGCCATGTATGTGTTCTGTGATCTGCCCTGAGTCCCCTTCAGGGTGAGAAGGGCGGAATATAAATGCTGTAAATAAATAAATAGATTTGTCCTCACTCTCTGTCCCCCACTTCTGTTTCTGCCTCCAGCCATATCCTCGTCAATGTGGAAGTTCAGAGTCCTCAGGTGTGCCTTCTCTCAAGCCACTTGCATTTTGATCTTTCGGTCGGGATTCCTGCAGAAGCAACTATCAAGCTGTTTAACCAGACATTGCTCCCAACCCGCTTTAAGTGGGGAGAGGTCAGTGTTTGGGAGTTGTTGACTGGTGGAAGGGCTAGGGGCTGCATAAATTGATACTGCAAAAGTTTCGGTTTTAATGAATATATTTGTTCAACAGCCCTTTGGAAGGCAGGCTTCTTCATACACAGTTAGCATCACCCCTGAAAGTGGCATTTTGGGTCCGAATGAAGAAAAGGAATTGCGTGTGGGGATACTGACTCATTCTAAGGTCAGTTTTTTGGTGGACTTGCTCAAGTTATGAAAATGTAGAGGAAATTGCCATTGTTATGCTCTAAGGTTAGGAACAAAGAGAATGAAACAGAACATCTCTCTAAGACAGCGTTTCTCAATCTGGGGGTCGGGACCCCTGGGGGGGGTCACAAGGGGGTGTCAGAGGGGTCACCAAACACCACCAGAAAACACATATTTTGGATAATCTTAGGAACCTCTTTAGCAGAGGAGGCTGAGGATTTCTCTGCCTGCCCTTCTCTTACTTTTTGGAAGCATTTTCTGTTGGTCACAGTTCTGTGTGGGAAGTTTGGCCCAATTCTATCATTGGAGGGGTTCAGAATGCTCTTTGCTTGTAGGCAAACTATAAATCCCAGAAACTACAACTCCCAAATGTCAAGGTCTATTTTCCCCCAAACTCCACCAGTGCTCACATTTGAGCATATGGAGTATTCGTGCCAAGTTTGGTCCAGATCCATCATTGATTGAGTCCACAGTGTTCTCTGGATGTAGGTGAACTACAACTCCAAAACTCAAAGTCAATGCCCACCAAATCCTTCGAGTATTTTCTGTTGGTCATGGAAGTTCTGTGTGCCAAGTTTAGTTCAATTCCATTGTTGGTGGAGTTCAGAATGCTCTGATTGTAGGTGAGCTATAAATCCCAGCAACTACAATTCCCAAATGACAAAATCAATCCCTGCCCCAACTCCATCTGTATTCAAATTTGGGCATATCAGATATTTGTGCCAAATTTAGTGAATGAAGATACACCCTGTATATCAGATATTTACATTACAATTCATAACAGCAGCAAAATTACAGTTATGAAGTAGTTATGAAGTGGGGGTCATCATGACATGAGGAACTCTATTAAGGGGTCGCAGCATTAAGTAGTTTGAGAACCTCTGCTCTAGGAAGCTCTAGATCAGGCCTGTACAAGCTGTGGCCCTCCAGGTGTTTTGGACTTCAGCTTCAACTTGCCCAATGGACAGACTTCCTGTCCATTGAGCAAGTCGACTAGGACTTCTGGGAGTTGGAGGCCCAAACAACTGGAGGGCCGCAGGTTGTGCAGGCCTGGTCTAAATCCTCCATTGTGACTCTACAGCAAACTTCTGCTTGATGTTGTCCATTGAATTGCACTGGAGGACCTATAAATGCTTAGAGAAGTGATCCCTTTAGGAATCTTTAGGACTAGGTCCTCCAGTGTGGTTATTATTATTGTTGTTGTTCATTCGTTCAGTCGTCTCCGACACTTCGTGACCTCATGGACCAGCCCACGCCAGAGCTCCCTGTCGGTTATTATTATTACTATTATTATTATTGTATTGTCAAAGGCTTTCATGGCCAGAATCACTGGGTTGTTGTAGGTTTTTTTCGGGCTATATGGCCATGTGCTGGAAGCATTCTCTCTTGACGTTTCGTATTCAGCTATGGCAGGCATCCTCAGAGGTTGTGAGGTCTAAACTCGCAACCTCTGAGGATGCCTGCCATAGATGCAGATAAAATGTTAGGAGAGAATGCTACTAGAACATGGCCATTGAGCCTGAAAAACCTACAACAACCTATTATTATTATTATTATTATTATTATTATTATTATTATTATTATTTTACTGACACAAAAACACAGTATGACACAGCAAATGAGATCTATATGCTGGATTTCTTATCACAAAATCACAAGTCAAACACTTCCAAATTTTTTAGGATTGTGTGATGTATTTTCGAATGATGCGTGCAGATCCAAGTAAGGTAGCCTTTTGCAGTTGACAGATCATCATTTTGTCAATGTTTATTGTATTATCGAAGGCTTTCATGGCCGGAATCACTGGGTTGTTGTAGGTTTTTTCGGGCTATATGACCATGTTCTAGAGGCATTCTCTCCTGACGTTTCGCCTGCATCTATGGCAAGCATCCTCAGAGGTAGTGAGGGCCTCACAACCTCTGAAGATGCTTGCCATACATGCAGGCGAAATGTCAGGACAGAATGCCTCTAGAACATGGCCATATAGCCAGAAAAAACCTACAACAACTCAATGTTTGTTGTTTTCAAATACCAACTGAGATTATTATTATTAATGTTTTTATTATTATGTTTATGTATATCCTGTTTTTTCTCTCCATGAGGAGACAGCATTTCTGGACACAGTATATTATTTGAGAACACAGAAATGCTGGACCACTCTAACAACCACCATGTCAGACTACACAGAGAAGCCATTGAACTCCACAAGCATGTGGACAATTTCAACAGAAAGTAGAAAACCATGAAAATGAACAAAATCTGGCTACCAGTATTTAAAAACTCTAAAATTACAACAGCAAAACAACAGAGGGAAACAATCAGGGACATCTAATCACCTCTCAACAAAAGATTGCCCCAGGCACTGCCAGGCCATCAAATGCTAATCAAGGTGGTCAGTTGAAGAATTCACACCTAGCTCCAGCAGACAAGAGTCCTTTGTCCTACCCTGGTCATTCCACAGATATATAAACCCTTTTTCCTAGTTCTAACAGACCTCACTGCCTCCAAGGATGCTAGAAGCATTCTCTCCTGATGTTTCGCCTGCATCTATGGCAAGCCTCCTCAGAGGTTGTGAGGCCTCACTACCTCTGAGGATGCTTGCCATAGATGCAGGAGAAACATCAGGAGAAAATGCCTCTAGAACATGACCATATAGCCCGAAAAAACCTACCACAACCCAGTGATTCCGGCCATGAAAGCCTTCAACAAAACCTCCTGCTGTTGCCAGTTTCTCCTTTTGTGTTCTCAGAAGACGTTCTGTCTAATTATGTGTCTTGTAGGATGAGCTGAAGGACCTCACCTTGTGCTGTAGCATTGAAGACATGCTGGATCCCATCTTTCTGGCTATTTCTGGTGAAGTGAAGGGTCTGCATGTCACATATTCTGTACCCTCTGACAGGTAAAGGGAGACAACAGCTAATCACTCCTTTAACTTTGTGGACCTGGACCAAGACATGATAATATTGCCTAGGCCAGGCCTGGGACAACTTGGACCCTCCAGGTGTTTTGGACTCCAACTCCCACAATTCCTAACAGCCGGTAGGCTGTTAGGAATTGTGGGAGTTGGAGTCAAAACACCTGGAGGGCTGAAGTTGGCCCAGGCCTAGCCTAGATTATAAAGATGCCTCTTTCGTTCTTATCTCCCTATTAAAATGTACAGAAATTTACTTTTCTTTGGCGTAGTAAGAAAGTGTTACACCATCTGTTGCTTCTTTGCAGTGATGAGAAAGAAAAATCAGAGGATTCTCAAGAGCTGAAATTAGACTTTGGTTCTGAAGTGGCATTGAAGAGCGTGGTGAAACGTCACCTCATAATCACCAATCATTCTGAATTAGCTGCTTTTTTCACAATCGAGGTTGACTATTTTAGTTCACCATCTTCAGAGGAACATGATAAGCATGCGTAAGTCTAATTTTCTTTGTTTCCGCCCACTCAGAGACAGGAACAAATAACACTTATGTAACACAATTTTTGTTCCTGGGTTATAAATGTCATTTCCTAATTGGTTCTATCATAGAAACAGGGAAAAGGTTTATTAAACTGCCAGAAATTTGTATTGTTGAAGGCTTTCATGGCTGGAATCACTGGGTTGTTGTAGGTTTTTCGGACTCTATGTTCCCGAAGCATTCTCTTCTGACATTTCGCCTGCATCTATGGCAAGCTACCTCAGGTTGTGAGGTCTGTTGGAAACTAGGAAAATGTCCAGGTTGGAAGAAAGAATTTGTTGTCTGTTGGAGTTAGGTGTGAATGTTTCAATTGGCCACCTTGATTAGCATTTGATGGCCTGACAGTTTTTAGGTGTGACTTGTTACTGCTTGGGAAATTCCTTTGTTGAGAGGTGATTAGCTCTCCCTGATTGTTTCCTCTCTGGAGTTTCCCTGTATTTGAATGTTGTTTTACTGTTATATGTCTGAACATAACAACAAAATCTGGCTACCAGTATAAAAAAAACTTTAAAATTACAACAGCAAAACAACAGAGAGGAAACAATCAGGGACATCTAATCACCTCTCAACAAAAGATTCCCCCAGGCACTAACAAGCCACACCAAACAACTGCCAGGCCATCAAATGCTAATCAAGGTAGTCAGTTGAAGAATTCACTCCTAGCTCCAACAGACAAGAATTCTTTGTCCCACCCTGGTCATTCCACAGATATATACACAGATATATATATATATATGTACTCAAGTATATAAAGTAGTTAATTTAAATACTGGACACTCTCCAGATGCATTGGATTGAACTTCCCATGACTAGGTCTTCAGGTTGATTGGGAATGCTGGTGTGTAATCTCACATATCTAGATAGCACCAGAACAGGGATGATTGTTGTGTGGTTTGCTTATTACTCTGTGAAATGAAAAAGGTGTATATTCACTTTGGAGAAAAAGGAATGTAGTCTGAATGACAGCTAGCTGTTCTGAGTCCCCTTTGGGGTGAGAAGAGCGGCATATAAATGCTGTAAATAAATAAATAGTTATTGAAAAGTACCTCGGTAAAGCTTGATGAATTAACATATTCAGTTGGAGATTATGAAAGAGCAATTATGGATATACATTCATTAGCAAAATTTATGTGCGTGTTAGAATTAGGCAATAAATTCTCAAGAAGTTCTCACTGTAACGTTTCCACTTCCCACACCCTAGCGATATAGCCGTGGAAAAAACAAGACGGATAACCAGACAGACTGAAAAGAGACAACAGTCAGGTAGGCAGAGTATGGCATTGTTATAATCCTATGTCTAGGAAACTGGCAAAGGGTCACAGATAAGCCAAAAGATATAGAAAGGGCAGCTGGGCACAACCCAGGGGGAGATTCTCTGCCCAGAAATCCTTTATTTCATTTGGATTTGCTATCACGCACAGCTTTGTGTATCCCCTGTGGAAATGGGGATCCTGCTGAAGTAGTAGTACTACTGTTATTAGTATTGCTACCACTGTTCACACTCTGTTCTACTCTTCTAGCTTTCAAAGCTGCAATGTTGTCTCATGGGAAAGGAGCGACTTTCCACGTATGTCCTTCCACGGGAACCCTGAAGGCCTTTGAAGAGCTTTCTGTAGAAATAACAGCCTATAACAACATGTGGGGACATTACGAGGACACTCTCAGCTGCAAAGTAGGAGGCTTTCTTGTTCTAACTAATAGATCCAGTGATCGAGGCTTTGATCCGGACATTGGGAAGGCAACAGAGGCTTATGACACTTATCTTCTATATAAATAAAAATGTAATGTTCGTTTGTGGGATTAACATAATTCAAAAACCACTGGACGAATTGACACCAAATTTGGACACAATACACGTGTCAGGCCAACAAGGTGACCATCACTCATAAAAACACTGAAAAACACAGCAGAAGAGACTTAAAAAGTCAAAAAGAATGCATTACAATGCATGCACAAAACCACATATGTATACACTAACACACGTATATACACATATACACAAATATATTTTTATTTATTATTTATTTACAGCTTTTATATTCCGCCCTTCTCACCCCGCAGGGGATTCAGGGCGGATTACAGTGTACACATATATGGCAAACATTCATTACCAATTTTGACATACAACATATACAGACATACACAGAGGCTATTTAACTTTTTCTGGCCACCGGGGAGCTGTGGCTTTCATCATCCATCTGCGACGCTGATGAAGCACTTCTGTATTCCCGCATGCTTCCCCGCTGGAATGCTTTGCTGGAGTCTTCTTTATGGCCTCATAAATCAGTTAATTTAGCCTCCCAACACTTTTTTAAGGTGGTACCTTGTTTTCCTACTTGACAGATGCAACTGTCTTTCGGGTTGCAAAGGTCAACAATAGACTACACATAATTGGTTGGAAACCCACTCCAACCCGGGCTGGCTTCGAACTCATGATCTTTTGGTCAGAGTGATCTTAATGCAGCTGACACTCAGCCTGCTGCACCACAATCCCGGTGCAATTTACTGTGATGTTTTTTATTTTATTGTAATTTGTTGTTTAGGCTTGGCCTCATGTAAGCTGCCCTGAGTCCCCGTTGGGGGTGATGGTGGTGGGGTACAAATAAAGTTTATTATTATTATTATTATTATTATTATTATTATTATATACACATATAAACACCTAAAACACATATACACAGATTGGGCCACAGCAACGTGTGACAGGGGATGGCTAGTCTTGTAATAAAGCCCCTTGAATACAGTGGGTAGGGTTTACTTCAAGTAATAATGCATTATTAGAATAATAATGCATTATTAGAATCATAGAGTTGAAAGTGACCCCAAAGGTAATCCAGCCCAACCCTATTCTGCCATGCAAGAAAACCACAATCAAAGCACCCCTGACAGATGGTCATCCAGACTCTGCTTAAAAGCCTCCAAAGAAGGAGCCTTCACCACCTTCCAATGCAGTGAGTTCCACTGTTGAACAACTCTCATGGTGGGTTGTGTGGCTTATCTGTACCCACAAAATCTGCAGAATTTCTGTCAAGGCTTGTATACATCAATACAGACCTTGACAGAAAATGCCCTTACCGCACTACATTGTTATATGAACACACAGCGAGTCATTGGTATCCACTGACATTGGTTCCAGAATTTGCTATGGAAATCAAAATTCATGGGTGCTCAAGTCCCCTTATAATAACAACAACAACAACAACAACAACAACAACAACAACAACAACAACAACATTTATATTCAGCCCTATCTCTTTGAAGTGACTCAGGGTGGATTCCAATCACAAAAAAAGGTAAACATTCATTGACTGAACATAACAACTAATAGACACATAATAAGAAAAATTAAACTGCACAGCATATAAAAACAAATTAGCAAATTAGAATAAAATTTAAGCAACCTATTATATCAGACATAAAACAATCAACTTATATCCCCATACCAAAAAAGGGAAATGCGAAAGACTGCTCAAACTTCTGTACAGTGGCCCTTATTTCTCATGCCAGTAAGATAATGCTCAAGATCCTGCAAGGAAGACTCCAGCAATACATGGAGCGAGAGTTGCCAGATGTTCAAGCTGGGTTTAGAAAAGGCAGAGGAACGAGAGACCAGATTGCCAATATCCGCTGGATAATGGAGAAATGCAGGGAGTTTCAGAAAAACATCTACTTCTGCTTCATTGACTATTCTAAAGCCTTTGACTGTGTGGATCATAATAAATTGTGGCAAGTTCTTGGTGGGATGGGCATCCCAAGCCACCTTGTCTCTCTCCTGAGGAATCTGTACAAGGACCAAGTAGCAACAGTCAGAACTGACCACGGAACAACAGACTGGTTCAAGATTGGGAAAGGCGTACGGCAAGGCTGCATACTCTCACCCAACCTTTTTAAACGTGTATGCAGAACACATCATGCGATGTGCGGGGCTTGATGAATGCAAAGCTGGGGTGAAAATTGCTGGAAGAAACATTAACAACCTCAGATATTCAGATGACACCACTCTGATGGCCGAAAGCGAGGAGGAGCTGAGGAGCCTTCTAATCAAGGTGAAAGAAGAAAGCGCAAAAGCCGGGTTGCAGCTAAATCAAAAAAACCAAGATTATGGCAACAAGAATGATAGACAACTGGAAAATAGAGGGAGAAACCGTGGAGGCCGTGACAGACTTTGTATTTCTAGGTGCAAAGATTACTGCAGATGCAGACTGTGGCCAGGAAATCAGAAGACGCTTACTTCTTGGGAGGAGAGCAATGTCCAGTCTCGATAAAATAGTAAAGAGTAGAGACATCAGACTGGCAACAAAGATCCGCCTAGTCAAAGCCATGGTATTCCCTGTAGTAACCTACGGATGTGAGAGCTGGACCTTAGGAAAGGCTGAGCGAAGGAAGATTGATGCTTTTGAGCTGTGGTGTTGGAGGAAAGTTCTGAGAGTGCCTTGGACTGCGAGAAGATCCAACCAGTCCATCCTCCAGGAAATAAAGCCCGACTGCTCACTGGAGGAAAGATACTAGAGACAAAGTTGAAGTACTTTGGCCACATCATGAGGAGACAGGAAAGCCTAGAGAAGACAATTATGCTGGGGAAAGTGGAAGGCAAAAGGAAGAGGGGCCGACCAAGGGCAAGATGGATGGATGGCATCCTTGAAGTGACTGGACTGACCTTGAAGGAGCTGGGGGTGGAGACGGCCGACAGGGAGCTCTGGCGTGGGCTGGTCCATGAGGTCACGAAGAGTCGGAGACGACTGAACGAATGAACAACAAAAAACGAATGAACAACCAACCTAAACCAAACATAAAATATAAAAAACAAAAGCATCAATTTCCCAGAGTCAACAGAGTTCCTTGGGTGCATATAAATTGATCACTGCTCAAGATGTCAACTGAGCTAGCGGGGCAGTACGGATTGCAGATGTTACTCAGAGATATAACAATGTTATTATCTATATATACCGTAGTTTGGGGAAATTGTTGTCCCTTATCAAGTGGTATCTATCTATCTATCTATCTATCTATCTATCTATCTATCTATCTATCTATCTATCTATCCTATCTATCTATCTATCTATCTATCTATCTATCTATCTATCTATCTATCTATCTATCCATGGGCAGTGGAACTGTGGATGGAGAATCTGTGAATGCATACAGTCATCTGTATATTTTAATTGTCATGATATTATGGGATTTGCAGTGTAGGCATTCACAATACTTAGCAGAGAATTCTTGGGCTTCATTAAGACTACAAACCCCAAAATTGCATGGGAAGTTGCTGTGACGCAATGGAATATAGTGCTGTAAATGTGTATGGTGATCAAGAGAAAAGAACAAAAGAATACTTGCAAATTCATTTTGTTCCTAAACCATCTCAGTATTTAGCACCTGGAATTGCAGCTTGTTCAACAATCTTCTTTGCGTAGGTTGGAGAATCAGACCCTGTGTGGATTCCCATCCAAATGACCGTGAAAGGCTGCCCGATCTACTTGCAAGTGACAGGACCGAATCATCCAATGGCAACACCTGTCATCAGGTAGAAGCCACTTGTTCTTCAGCAAGGCTTTGAGGTTAAGCTTGCATGAAATAAGAATCAAAGGATTTACTGTGTATCACAAGTGAGGAACGCCTAGATTGTGCAGGGTTTTTTGTTTGTTTTTTTTTTTTTTGAAAATGCAAATCTCCATAACCTTTTGGAGACTTTATTGGAGAGGCATGACCTTGTTAGAAGTCATAGCCTTTTGAAAAATGATGCCATAACCTCTTGGTAAAAGCATGATCTGTTAGAGTCATAACTTTTTGGGAAATGATATTCGTGCAAGGCAATTAGGTTTCTCAGCTGTTAAACCGATATACCTAGGTATGTCTTTGAACTATTAGGATCAGAGATATGCCAATGCACAAACATATATATTCAGCAGAGTTTCAGAAGTGTTATTTTTAGTTGCCCCAAAACATTTACTCTCCCTTAAAATATATTTGCTTTTAAATCATGCTCTCAAAAGACAAAAATAAACAGAAAGGAAGAAACCATGAAAATGAACAAAATCTGGCTACCAGTATTAAAAAACTCTAAAATTGCAACCTGTTCCAATAATTAGACCTGTTTGTCTTTTTCCTCCCAAATTGGAAGGAAAAGCTCCCTTGTTTAACCTTAAGTTGCACTAATATGAAACCAAGTCTTTTGTATTTCCAGGTTTGGAGCCCACATCTCAGGCGGAGACACAGTCTCCCGTTATCTGCGTCTCAATAATCCCACTCCTTTTGGTAAGTGTTTGTGCTGCGTGAGATATTGCAGGAAGGCCTTTCCTGAAGATAACCATGGCTCCATAGCAGACAGAGCGAGCAGCTTTTGATCTTTTGCAGCAAGTTGCTTGCCAGAGAACAGTGAAAGAGCCTGAGAAAATGATGCCAACTAGTTCGGAATACAGATGGAAATTGCCCATTTTGGCATAAGAGGCCTTAGATACGAGGGTTGGAACTTTAATAGTGGCAACTATTTATCTGTATAAATAAAAATGTAATGTTCGTTTGTGGGATTAACATAACTCAAAAACCACTGGATGAATTGACACCAAATTTGGACACAATACACCTATCAGGATGAGTGGCCATCACTCATAAAAACACTGAATAACACAGCAGAAAAGACTTTAAAAGCCAAAAACAAAACAAAAAATTACAGCGCAAGCACAAAACCACATATATACACAAACATATACACATATACACAAATATATAGACACACATATTTGCATATATATACACACAAACACATATACACAGATTGGGCCACAGCAGTGCGTGGTAGGGGACGAATAGTCTACATAAATAAAAATGTAATGTTCGTTTGAGGGATTAACATAACTCAAAAAGGCACTAATGATTGTTATACGGATGTTTAATGATTTATGTTACAATTGTTTTTAATTGCCCATACTTGTCTCGTAATGTTTTGTATTGATGTTGTTCACCGCTTTGAGTTGCCTGAGGGCTGAGAAAAGCGGTATATAAATAAAGTAAATAAATAAATAAAAATCACTGTACGAATTGACACAAAATTTGGACACTACACCTCTGACAGACCAGCGAGTGACTCATAAACCCCTCCCAAAAAACAGCAAAAAGGACTTAAAAACCCAAAAATGCTAAATGACAGTACTGTGCATGCGCAAAAACAACAACTCCCAGCATCCCCTAGACCAGGCCCTTTAGGGAGGAGGATGCTCCAAATGCACTGCTTCCAAGCTGCAAGCTTGCTTCTCCTTGGATTTCTTTGAGAGCATCCCAGTCTGTACATATTTCCTATTCTTGGACTGCAACTCCCAGCAATCCTCCAGATACATAAGATATATAGATTAGATAGAGATAGATAGTAGGCAAAAGGAAGACGGGCCGACCAAGGGCAAGATGGATGGATGGCATCCTTGAAACGACTGGACTGACCTTGAAGGAGCTGAGGGTGGTGACGGCCGACAGGGAGCTCTGGCGTGGACTGGTCCATGAGGTCACGAAGAGTCGGAGACGACTGAACGAATGAACAACAACAACGAGATAGTAGGTAGATAGATCAATCAGGAGGACTGCTGGGAGTTACAGTCCAAGAATAGATAGAGAAGGAAGAAAGGAGAGAAAGAGGGAGGGAAGGTTGGCCACAGCAACGTGTGGCGGATACAGCTAGTTTACATATAATACAAAAGTGATGCATGCTACCAAGCTTTACAGTCCTTCAATATAGTCGCCAGCATTGTGTACAACCCGTTTCCAACAATGTGGAAGTCATAGGACACCTGTTGCAGCGCCTGTTCTGTTGATAGTTCAAATGGAGCAGTCTCCGGACGCAAGAATCTCTGGAGCAGTTCTGAAGCAAATGCCACAAAGTGGTTCCTTCATCTTAGACTTTTACCCACCTTGCCACTGTTCTGTAAAGCAATGCAGATTCCCCACAAGCCTCTTGAAGACACTGTTGTGCTGTACGACCTCTGGCACATTCAATCTTTATCCAACTATGTTGTTCTTGTTTCGAAAACATTATGATAACACTTACTTTACGCAAGCTAATACGAGGCTCAGTTCTTCACGTCACTCCACATGCGCGTGACGTAGGAAGGGTGTGTCTTTTTGCTCAGAGGTATGGTAGGTATGTAACTAACGTGTGGTATACACGATATTCTTTGCTTTCGTTGCGTGGCATCTTTACAGCAGTGTTGCCACTATTAAAGTTCCAAACCTCTTATATTGAGTGCACAAGCTACATTTCCTTTATCTGTTATTTTTCCAACATACTATTTCAACATTCACAACCTGGAAGATAATTATGACTTTAATGTTTTAATTAATTTTATAACAACACAAAAACATATACACTTTTGGAAGCATAGGCTAGTGTTCCATTAAGCTGTTATGAGAGCATAAGCTGGACTTGCAGCTTGTCACTTTTGGATTCATGTTTACCTTTGCCAAGAACCAACCTTGACCTAATTTTGTAAGAGAAACATGTGTAAACCCTTAAAGGCACTGTTTCTCAACCTGGGGGTCAGGACCCCTGAGAGGGCCGTGGGGGAGTTTCAGAGGGGTCACCAAAGACTATCAGAAAACATATTTCTGATGGTTTTAGGAACCCCCTTGGAAGAGAAGGCTGAAGATCTGTCCTCCTGTCCTTCTCTTCTTTTTTTGGAAACAGACAGCAAATCCTCCCACCAAAAATCCTCCTCTGCTGTGATTGCCTCTCAGGCAAGGGGAGGGCTGCTTCTGAGCCCCCAAGTGGGGAGGGGGCGGCGCATGGCAGTGTGATGCACATGTGCGGCCGAGGGAAAGTGCACAAGACTGGAGGGAGTCCAGCGTTTCTCAACATGGGGGTCGGGACCCCTGGGGGGTTGTGAGGGGGGTGTCAGAGGGGTCATCAAAGACCATCAGAAAACACAGTATTTTCTGTTGGTCATGGGGGTTCTGTGTGGGAAGTTTGGCCCAATTCCCATCTATTGTTGGTGGGGTTCAGAATGCTCTTTGATTTTAGGTGAACTATAAACCCTGAAAGCTCTCAAATGTCAAGCTCTATTTTCCCCAAACTCCACCAGTGTTTCCATTTGGGCATATTGAGTATTCGTGCCAAGTATCATTGTTTGAGTCCACAGTGCTCTCTGGATATAGGTGAACTACAACTCCCAAACTCAAAATCACTGCCCACCAAACCCTTCCAGTATTTTCTCTTGGTCATAGGAGTTCTGTGTGCCAAGTTTGGTTCAATTCCATTATTGGTGGGGTTCAGAATGCTCTTTGATTGTAGGTGAACTATAAATCCCAGCAACTACAACTCCCAAATTACAAAATCAGTCTCCCTCCAACCCCACCAATATTCAAATTTGGGAGTATGGAGTATTTGTGCCCAATTTGGTCCAGTGAATGAAAATACACCTTGCATATCAGATATTTACATGGCAATTCTTAACAGGAGCAAAATTACAGTTGCAATGTAGCAACAAAAATAATGTTATGGTTGGGGGTCACCACAACATTAGGGATTGTATTAAGGGGTCGTGGCATTAAGACGGTTAAGAAACACTGCTTTAAGGCATCTCTGTCCACCTTTGGGGTTTGGCTTCCTTTCCCACTCCTCTGTGTAATGCAGACATTCGGATGGACTGGGAAACTTACAACCAGGATAAAGACGACGACAAGTTGGTGGACCTCTTGGTGTTCTATGGCGCTCCTTTCCCAATTAAAGACTTAGATGGCAACGAGATTGAAGTCATCTGGGAATCTGAGCCATCCCGGCCTAAGATCTCTTTCGCCTCTACTTTCACGTCGTCGCTTGACTCTACCAGGGCGGATACAGTAAGTAAATAAATAAATAGCCCATAAGCCTTTCAACACTTTATTGAAGGCAAAACAGCAGGAAGGCACTATTTTGTACAGTTCTCATGAACATTCCCAGGTGTCCCAGATGCCTCCATTCTGCCATAAATATAATGCCACTGTTTAGGTTCTTTCTTCAGAATCCTTCATATCTCATATATATTTCATTCTGGCAGAGCCTGGGAACAATTTTGGAGGATGATGAAGGAGGAAGTGATGATGATGATACAGTGTGTCATACTCCCACCCCAAAGCAAATCATTTCTGTTGTCATCAGAGCTCACGAGGGGGTGCCTTCAGACTATCCTTTCTGCATAACTCCCAAGCAAGTCGTAAGTTCTGTTTCTGGTTTTGGGGAGCTTCCAGTTTAAGAGGTGCACTTTCATGCTTCCGTAAAAGGAGAATTATATCAACCTGGTTAAGATTTTCTCCTATTATTATTATTATTATTATTATTATTATTATTATTATTATTATTTGAAACACAAGATGAGTCCACAGTAGACAAGATCATCATCATTATTATTATTATTATTATTATTATTATTATTATTGACACAAAAGCACATTATGTCACAGCAAACAAGATCTATATGCTGGTTTTCGTATCACAAAAGTCAAACACTTCCCAAGCGTCTAGGACTCTGATGTATTTTCGAATGATGTGTGCAGATCCAAGTAAGATGGCCTTTTGCAGTTGACAGATGATGATTTTGTCAATGTTTATTGTTTCCAAATGCTGGCTGAGATCTTTTGGCATGGCACCGACTGCGCCAATGACCACTGGGGCCACCTGTACTGGTTGATGCCCGAGCCTTTGCAGTTCAATTTTGAGGTCTTGATAGCGGATGAGTATTTCTTGTTGTTTTTCCTCAATGTGACTGTCATCTGGAATGGCAACATCAATAATCCTGACTTTTTTCTTTTCCACAATCGTGATGTCTGGTGTATTGTGTTCCAAAACTTTGTCATTCTGGATTTGAAAGTCCCACAGTATTTTTGCATGTTCATTTTCCACTACCATTGCGGGTTTATGATCCCACCAATTCTTTGCTGCTGGCAGGTGGTACTTGTGACATACGTTCCAGTGAATCATCTGGGCCACAGAGTTGTGCCTCTGTATGTAGTCCGTCTGTGCGATTTTCTTGCAACAGCTGATGATATGATCGATGGTTTCATCAGCTTCCTTTCACAGTCTGCATTTTGGGTCATCCGTTGATTTTTCAATCCTGGCCTTAATGGCATTGGTTCTGATGGCTTGCTCCTGGGCTGCAAGAATCAGGCCTTCTGTCTCCTTCTTCAGGGTTCCATTCATAACCAGGTCATCAACTTTTCATTCAATCTTCTCAAGGAACTGCCCATGCAAGACTTTGTTGTGCCAACTGTCAGCTCTGGTTTGGAGTGCAGTTTTCTTGTACTGACTCTTTGTCTGCTGTGCTTTGAGAAGTGTCCGATTATTGACTTTAATTAAAGCAGGTTCTTGGCTTTCCTTGACATATTCTGCGAGGGCATCGTGATTTTCTTCTTCAACTGCTTGTTTGACTTGTAAAAGTCCTCTGCCCCCAGACTTTTTAGGCAGATAGAACCAGTCAACATCACTGTGAGGATGCATTATTATTATTATTATTATTATTATTATTATTATTATTATTAATTGCTAGTGAACCGTTTGATTCCAGGTTGTTCCTGCAGAGGGCAATGTTGCCATCCACATTTCCTTCACTCCGCTGATGCTCCCTGAGATCATTAATAAGTTCGAATGCGAAGGCTTTGCTCTTGGCTTCATGAGTTTGGACAGCCCGGTATGTAAAAGATATTTTAAAATATAGCCTTTTAGAAATATTATCCTTCCAATTTTCCCAAAATATGGTTGGTGAGCTGTATGCTGGCCTTAATTCCCACCCAGAAGTGCCTGGAAGATCTTTTTTTTATTAATCAGGCAAACATTTGGATGATTATAAGACCTCCCAATCAGTTGAAATCTGTAAAAATCTCAAAGTAATACAACCAAGTAAAACAGCAAACAAACAAACAAACAAACAAACAAAAACAGAATCCAAAATGGGTTGTTGTGAATTTTCTGGGCTATCTGGCCATGTTCCATAAGCATTCTCTCCTGACGTTTCACCCACATCTATGGCAGGCATCTTCAGAGATTGTGAGGTTTGTTGGAAACAAAGCAAGTGGAGTTTACATATCTGTGGAATGTCAAGGGTGGAAGAAAAAACTCTTGTCTGTTTGAGGCAAGTGTGAGTGCTGCAATTTATCATCTTGATTAGAATTGAATGGCTTTGCAGCTTCAAGGCTTGGCTGCTTCCTGCCTGGGGGAATCCTTTCTTGGGAGGTGATGTGCTGGCCCTGATTGTTTCTTGTTTGAAATTCCCCTGTTTTCCAGTGTTATTATTTGTTTACTGTCCTACTTTTAGAGTTTTTTAATATTGGTAGCCAGGTTTTGTTCATTTTCATGGTTTCCCCCTTTCTGTTCAAATTGTCCATGGGCTTGTGGATTTCAGTGTGTTCTCTATGTATCCTGACATGGTAGTTGTGAGAGTGGTCCAGCATTTCTATGTTCACAAATAATATGCTGTGTCCAGATTGGTTCATCAAGTGCTCTGCTATGGCTGACTTCTGTGGTGGAATTAGTCTGCAGTGCCTTGCATGTTCGTTGATTCGTGTCTGGGCGCTGCATTTTCAAGCAAGAAACAATCAGAGCCAGATATATTTATTTATCGTGTCAGGGGCAACCAGACCATTGTATTACATTTCTAATAGAACAAAACAAACAAACATGTTAAAAAAACACAAAGTTTGCAAACTTGGTAGTTGATTAAATGTCCTTTGACCAGTATCTGGCCACTTGGAGTGCCTCTGGTGTTGCCACAAGAAGGTCCTCCATTGTGCATGTAGCAGGGCTCAGGTTGCATTGCAGCAGGTGGTCAGTGGTTTGCTCTTCTCCACACTCGCATGTCGTGGATTCAACTTTGTCCCCATTTCTTAAGGTTGGCTCTGCATCTCGTGGTGCCAGAGCGCAGTCTGTTCAGTGCCTTCCAAGTCGCCCAGTTTTCTGTGTGCCCAGGGGGGAGTCTCTCATTTGGTATCAGCCATTGATTGAGGTTCTGGGTTTGAGCCTGCCACTTTTGGACTCTCGCTTGCTGAGGTGTTTCAGCGAGTGTCTCTGTAGATCTTAGAAAACTATTTCTAGATTTAAGTCGTTGACGTGCTGGCTGATACCCAAACAAGGGATGAGCTGGAGATGTCACTGCCTTGGTCCTTTCACTATTGGCTGCTACTTCCCGGCGGATGTCAGGTGGTGCAATACCAGCTAAACAGTGTAATTTCTCCAGTGGTGTAGGGCACAGACACCCCGTGATAATGGGCATGTCTCATTAAGAGCCACATCCACTGTTTTAGCGTGGTGAGATGTGTTCCACACTGGGCATGCGTACTCAGCAGCAGAGTAGCACAGCGTAAGGGCAGATGTCTTCACTGTGTCTGGTTGTGATCCCCAGGTTGTGCCAGTCAGCTTTCGTATGATATTGTTTCTAGCACCCACTTTTTGCTTGATATTCAGGCAGTGCTTCTTGTAGGTCAGAGCACGGTCCAGAGTGACTCCCAGGTATTTGGGTGTGCTGCAATGCCAGTTAATCACCTCCCAACAAAGGATCCCCCCAGGCAGAAAGCAGCCAAACCTTGAAGCAAGGCTATTCAATGGTGATCAAGATGATCAATTGCAGCATTCACACTTGCCTCAAACAGACAGGAGTTATTTCTCCCACCCTGGACATTATTCCGCAGATATATGAAGCCTGTTTGTCTTGGTGATGGCATCATTTGGTGGTTGTTGTGAGGCTGCCCTTAGTCCCCCCCCCCAGGGGTTGATAAGGGCAGGGTACAAATATAGGAAATCAATCAATCAATCAATCAACCCAAAACCTCTGAGGATGCCTTCCATAGATGTGGGTGAAACATCAGGAGATAATGCTTCTGGAACATGACCATTCAGCCCGGAAAACTCACAGCAAGCCAGTAATTCCGGCCATGAAAGCCTTTGACAACAGAATCCAAAATGATGATCAGAGGGGATGTTCTGTCGCTTTGGGGTGCGTTGAAATATGGAGCATGCACAAGGCCAAATGATCCCTTCCGCAGTTGCCCAGACCTAACCTATTGGGCCTTGGGTTTGATCATGAATTGGGCCTCGGGTTTGATCATGACCCATTTCTCCTCCTTCTTCAGGTAGTTCAGGAGATCCCAGGAAAAGTAATTCGTGGAGACGGTCATGCCGTAGCACCTCTCAGAATTGACCTGCAAGCTTTTGTCAAACCCGCCTTGTAAGTGGTTCATGAATCGCAGCAGCATAGGATGTAAACAAAAAATTTATAAAGAAACAACATGTATTTGGGACAGTGATCTAAACCAGGCATGGGCAAACTTGGGTCCTCCAGGTGTTTTGGACTTCAACTCCCACAATTCCTAACAGCCTATCGGCTGTTAGGAATTGTGGGAGTTGAAGTCCAATACACCTGGAGGACCCAAGTTTGCCTATGCTTGTTGTAGAATAGAAGAGCTATTCAATGTGTACAATATTGGGTACTTCCACTAGGTTTTTAAAATAATTATACGTCTTTTTCTCCTTGTAGATTAACCATTGAAATGGATCACGAGAGTGGCTTGGAGTTTCATGCATTAGCCAGTGGACTCATCCCAGATATGCCCTTAAAGGGTGTAAGTAGTATCTTTCAACGCTTTCTTGGTTTTGAGATCACTGGAGACAAAATATTTCTATCTTGCCTTCGGCCTAGAGTTGTTTACTCTAGAGCAGTGTTTCTCAACCAGTGGGTCCCCAGGCATGTTGGCCTACAACTCACAAAAATCCCAACCAGTTTACCAGCTGTTTGGATTTCTGGGAGTTGAAGGACAAAACATCTGGGGACCCACAGATTGAGAACCATTGCACTAGACATTGTAGCATAACTTATTACATCCAAAGTTGAGAGTGTGTAGAACCTTTTCTTGCCTTTACTGAGCGATAAGGCTGCATCAGGACTCAAAATCAAACCACTTGCTACCCAAGTTTCCCATTTCCGCTACCTTGGTAGCCACCTCTCCACAAAAGTCGACATTGATAATGAAATACATCACACTGGCAACGAAGATTTGCATTGTTAAAGCAATGATATTCCAAAACCAAGGTTACAACAACATGTTATAGAACTCCAATATGCTGATGACAACATCGTCTGTGTGCACTCAGAAGAAGACCTACAAGCAACTCTAAACACCTTTGCAGAAGCATACGAGAAGCTCAGCCTCTCATTGAACATTGAGAAAACTAAAGTGCTCTTCCAGCAGTCACTAGCCAAACCCTCTCCAATGCTAGAAATACAGCTTAATGGTGTAACATTAGAAATTGTTGACCATTTCCGCTACCTTGGCAGCCACCTCTCCACAAAAGTCAACATTGACACTGAAATACAACACCGCCTGAGCTCTGCGAGTGCAGCATTTTTCCGAACGAAGCAGAGAGTGTTTGAGGACCGGGACATCCGTAGGGATACCAAGGTGCTTGTTTATAAAGCTATTGTCCTCCCAACCCTGCTATACGTATGCTTGCAATATGTGGACTATCTAAGCTGTCACATGCAACTCCTGGAACGATTACATCAGTGTTGCCTCCAAAAAATCCTGTAAATCTCTTGGGACAAATGTCAGCGTGCTGGAAGAAGCAAAGACCACCAGCATTGAAGCGATGGTCCTCCGCCATCAACTCTGCTGGACCGGCCACGTTGTCCGGATGCCCGACCACCAACTCCCAAAGCAGTTGCTCTACTCTGAACTTAAGAACGGAAAACGAAATGTTGGTGGGCATGAAAAGAGATTCAAAGATGGGCTCAAAGCCAACCTTGAAAACTCTGGCATAGACACTGACAACTGGGAAGCCCTGGCCCTTGAGTGCTCCAGCTGGAGGTCAGCTATGACCAGCAGTGTTGTAGAATTTGAAGAGGCTCAAATGGAGGGTGAAAGAGAGAAACGTGCCAAGAGGAAGGCGCATCAAGCCAACCCCGACTGGGACTGTCTTCCACCTGGAAACCAATGCCCTCGCTGTGGGAGAACATGCAGGTCTTCAATAGGGCTCCACAGTCGCCTACAGACCCACCGCCAGGATACTACACTTGGAGGACCATCATCCTCAGACTACGAGGGATCGCCTAACAACTAACTTAATGGCACATTGTTTGTTTTATAGCTGTCTTGTTCCCTCTCTTCAAAACTCTGACCTTTTAGATCCGTAATCCCTGATCATTGATCAAAGCAGCAATGCTTCTTTGAGTTGGAGTCCAAACACCTAGTTGGGGAATCACTCATCTAAATTAACTTTTAACATTGAGCAATTTATTCAGTCCTATGTACTACATAATAACAATGTTAGCATCATCTAACATTGTTATTATAGAGCCCCCGGTGGCGCAGTGGGTGCTGGCAGGACTGAAGACCGACATGTCGCAGGTTCGAATCCGGGGAGAGGCGGATGAGCTCCCTCTATCAGCTCCAGCTCCTCATGTGGGGACATGAGAGAAGCCTCCCACAAGGATGATAAAACATCAAAATCATCCGGGCATCCCCTGGGCAACGTCCTTGCAGATGGCCAATTCTCTCACAACAGGATGCTCCTGACATAACAAAAAAAAAACCATATTCATTGTTATTACTGGATTTATTTATTTTCCTGAAGGCAGCTAGTTATCTAAATCCTAACTATAGTCTCTGCAGCTAAAAAAACGCCTACCTTGGGAATGAACAAAGGGACGCAGAATCTGCAGGCCTGGAAAACCATTGATACCTCTTCTATATGTTCTTCTTTAGGTTTTGATAGACTCCCCCACCACTCTCAATGTGAAGCTCACCAACAACACCGAGACGCCTTTGTCCTTTAAGCTCATTCTAACAATGCCCTTCTCTATCTCTGGAGTGGACCCCAAGAAGAGCCTGCAAATATGTCACAGTGAGAGAGAAGAAGATAGACATTGCTTCCTCCTCTATGCACTGGAAAATATGTTGGTAAGTTGGGGTTTTAAACCACAACTTGCTATTTGCGTCCATAGGGGACTGGACCCATAGGAAGCGAGCCAAATGTTGTATTTATGTATTATTTTTACTATTATTATCATTATTTCGATTATATTTTACTATTTGTATTTTATGTTGCATATTTGCTTTGCTGTAGTATTGGGCTTGGCCTCATGTAAGTCGCCCCGCGTCCCCTTGTGGAGATGGAGGCGGGGTATAAATAAACTATTATTGTTATTATTATTATTATTAAGCCCCACTATTTGTAATTGGACCTACTTTCTGCTATGCTCTTTAAACACACATCGTGTTGTTTTCAGTGAAGCTTGAGTTCAACTGAATTGTTATTCTGTATGTTTGTATGTGTGTTTGTTTGTGAGTGTGTATAGATATAGATATATATTAGGGTTGAGTTGCTCCAGGGAGAGAGGGCAGGTTATAAACTATTATTATTATTATTATTATTATTATTATTATTATTATTATTATTATTATTATTATTCAGAGGTCTGTTTCAAAATTTAGAGATTTGTATGCTTCAGTAATACAAATCTTCAAATTACTAATCAGAACGGACCCCTCCGAAGCATTAAGAAGCGAAACGGAAGCCTCTGAAACATTTTGGATAGATTAGGAAAGATTTGTTGTTTCGGAGCATTTTAAATTGTGATGTTTTCAATGTAACATTGTCTGTAATTGTCTGAAGTGGGAGGTAGCAAGGTGGCTGATGTGATTGACATTGGCAGCTACATGCTTGGGTTGCTGTGAGTTTTCCAGTCTGTATGGCCATGTTCCAGGATGCTTCTGGAACTTGGCCATATAGCCCGGAAAACTCACAGCAACTCAGAGATTCCAGTCATGAAAGCCTTTGACAACACAGCTGCATGCTTCCCCCCCCCCCTCTCCATTGTCAGCCAATCACATGGCTTTCTGCAAAGCTGGTCTCCTCCCCTAAGCATCTGAGTTCCTTTGTGGAGTTAGTAGGATAAATCAATGATTTTGGCCACTCACTATTTTGTCTCAAAGGCAAATTCCAAAGCCAGGATATTTCGATACCAACATAAATTGACCTGGTGAAAGATAAGCCCCGTTGCCTGTTCTTATCCACTGTGTGACCTACAAACAGGATTCTCTTGTTTACCTTTTGGGATTGGTCTTCCTTCCAGTTGAAGGTGTCCTTCCACACAACCCTGGAATTGCTAACCTACCAGCATCTTCCAGAAGACCAGATACCTCCTGGACTTCAAGTGCTCAATCGTGAAAATGGAGACAAAATACTAGAGTTTAAGCAAGATCTAGTGATTGAGTACAGCAACAAAGCAACCCAGGTATGTGGATGGAGAGGAACAAGAAGCCTGCTGTGTTTCCACCAGCAACCAAATAGCTTTTTCTTCTGGCAGACCTTTTAGCAACTGGTTTCATTGCTGAAGAGGGATCTTTCTCCCAATGTTTTGTTGTGTTTTGATATTATAACTTGTTTTAAAATGCCTGTATGCTGAATGAATACATGAAGTTTTGTGAGTAAACCAACTCTGTTACTTTTAAAGAAGACTGTTTATTTTGTCTCTTGAGAGCATGATTTAAAGGCAAATATATTTAAAGGGAGAGTAGATGTTTTGGGGCAACTAAAAGAACACTTCTGAAACTCTGCTGAATGTATATGTTTTTGTGCATTGGCACGTCTTTGTCCCTGGAAGTTCAAAGACATAATTTTAACAGCTGAGGCCTAGTTGTCTTGCATGAATGCTGGTGTCATTTTTTTCAAAACAGGTTATGACTTCTAACAAGGTCGTGTCTTTCCTAAAAGATTATGAATACCATTTCCCAAATGGTTATAGACTCAAGGGGTCAGGGTTCACAGCTGGGCCTATGATAAGAGATAGTTCCATATACACTTCTGGTGTTGATGGAAAGCTTAACCACTCTTAGTGAGGATTAGAGCAAGCATCCTGGGCTGCAACTACATTGTAGAGTTAATGCAGTTTGGCACCACTTTAACTGCCATGGCTCATGGGATGATAAGAGTTGTAATTTCATGAGGTCTTCAGCCTTCTCTCCACTCCCCCCAAAAATGTTGGTGTCTCACTATACTACAACCACCAGGATCCCATAGCATAGTGATAAAAATGGTGTCAAACCATATTAAATCTACAGCAGGAGTCCTCAAACTAAGGCCCGGGGGCTGGATATGGCCCTCCAAGGTCATTTACCTGGCCCTCACTCAGGATCAACCTAAGTCTGAAACGACTTGAAAGCACACAACAACAGTCCTATCTCATCAGCCACAAGCAGGCCCACACTGCCCACTGAAATACTATTAAGTTTATATTTGTTAAAATATAAACTTAAACTGTTCAGACCTTGAACCGGTGTTTAGCTGCTGTGTCGGACTGGATGAGAGCTAACAAATTGAAATTGAATCCAGACAAGACAGAGGTCCTACTGGTCAGTCGTAAGGCCGAACAGGGTATAGGGTTACAGCCTGTGTTAGACGGGGTTACACTCCCCCTGAAGACGCAGGTTCGCAGCTTGGGAGTGATCCTGGACTCATCGCTGAGCCTGGAACCCCAGGTCTCAGCGGTGGCCGGGAGAGCTTTCGCACAATTAAAACTTGTGCGCCAGCTGCGCCCGTACCTTGGGAAGTCGGATCTGGCCACGGTGGTCCACGCTCTTGTCACATCCCGGCTGGATTACTGCAACGCACTCTACGTGGGGTTGCCTTTAAAGACTGCTCGGAAACTCCAACTAGTTCAGCGAGAAGCAGCCAGATTGCTCACCGGAGCGGCGTACAGGGAGCACACCACCCCCCTGTTGCGTCAGCTCCACTGGCTGCCGATCCAAGTCCGAGCACAATTTAAAGTGCTGGTTTTGACCTATAAAACCCTATACGGTTCCGGCCCAGTGTACTTGTCCGAACGGATCTCCCTCTACGTCCCACCTCGAAGTTTAAGATCTTCTGGGGAGGCCCTGCTCTCGACCCCGCCAGTGTCACAAGTGAGGCTGGCGGGGACGAGGAGCAGGGCCTTCTCAGTGGCGGCCCCCCGCCTGTGGAACGCCCTCCCCGGGGAGATTAGATCGGCGACCTCCCTCCTAGCATTTAGGAAAAAACTAAAGACCTGGATGTGGGACCAAGCCTTTGGTCACTCTGATAATTAAATCAAGGACCGGTGACAGACAAGGACAAATGGAATAGAACGGATGTATGGACTCTGACATATGGACTCTGACATGAGATTGTTTTTAGGATTATGTTTTATTATGTATTGTTGTTTTTAACTTAACTGCTGAATTTTATATTTTTTGGATTACTTGTTGTGTGATTTGGGCATCTAATTGTGCCCTTTATGTAAGCCGCCCTGAGTCCCCCTAGGGGTGAGAAGGGCGGGGTATAAGTGAATGAAATAAATAAAATAAATAAATAAATAAAATCGTTCTTCATTTTAATTATTATATTGTTTTTAAGTGTTTTTTGCAGTACAAATAAAATATGTGTGGCTGCATAAGAATTCATTCATATTTTTTCATATTCTAATCCAGCCCTCCAGGAGTTTGAGGGACTCTGACCTGGTCCTCTGTTTAAAAAGTTTGAGGACCCCTGATCTACAGTATAGACACACCCCTGGGAAATGTGTCTATATTTAATACAATTTGGAAGTGTGTCTATATTTAATACAATCCCAGGGGAAGTGTGTCTGTATTGTAAGTGTGTCTGTAAAATACAATATCTTACAACCCCGATAGTTCTCACCCAGTATCTTGTATGTGGTTTCAAAAGATGCCCAACGCGAGTTGCTACTGGCACGTTTACTTCTTCCATTAGAAACATGTTAATATGTTCACACCGGACTGGACGCCCATGTACTACACATTGTTGATGCATTACAAGTCTACCCCTTAGGAATCTTTCTTTTATCACCATGGCATAAAATAAGGACAGGGTATCATCCTATTTTGTATCATTGCAGGTGCTGCCCATGACAGCCTACCTGACTGTCCCCCTGCTTGAACTTTCTTGTGATGCAATTGATTTTGGGACCTGCCTGGTGAACCAAAAGAGGACTGAAGCTATCCTTGTGATGAACAAGAGCGGATGCAGGAGTTACTGGGCTGCATTGCTGAGTAAGAGGAATTGCAAAATTGATTGCCGTAACTCGCCGATTCTAGTTTTTTATTGACAATAGTTGCGTCAGGTATGTGTCCCTCTAGAGCAGGCATGGGCAAAGTTTAGCCCTCCAGGTGTTTTGGACTTCAACTCCCACAATTCCTAACAGCCTCAGGCCCTTTTCTTTTCCCCCTCAGCTGCTTAAGCAGCTGCCCATGCCTGCTCTAATTGATCACTGTGAAACCATCATGGAGACAGAGAGAAATGACTGCAATGGGGTGCAGGTTATTCTAAAGAGCTTGAATTAGACAGTATTACACCCTTTTTGGAAATTACATGTTCAGTTCCTTCTGAATAAAGTACTAGCCACTGTGATGACACCTCCTCACAGTTAAGAGCCATAAGCTTTCTGTTACAGACGAAGAAGAGCGGCACAAGGACCCAGAAGTGTTTTCCATCTCCCCAAATAACGGCATCCTCGAAGCACACGTATGCAGCGTGCCTACCAAAGAAATCCTGGTGGTCCGCTTCACAGCAAGGTAAGGGTTATGGAGTTATGTTCTGCTTTCCTTTATGTGGAAAAGGACCCTCCACACTTCCACCCTACTGCTGTGTGTAAGGGTTAGGAGAGACGTAGTGTTTCCCCAGCTCCCAAGATCATATTCATGGTCAACTTCTGCCTGAGCATTAGGAAAAACTTCCTGACTGTGAGAGCTGCTCAACAGTGGAACTCTCTGCCTCGGAATGGGGCAGAGACTGAATGGTCATCTGTCGAGAGGGTAAAAGATAAAGGTTTCCCCTGACGTTAAGCCTAGTCGTGCTTTTTCTGCATGGCAGGGGGTGTGGGCTAAGTAGCCCATGTGGTCTCTTCCATCTCTATGATTCTAAGAATTTAGCATTGCTAACATGAATCCTCTTCAGGGCTATACAGTAGTAGTCTATTTTCCATTTGCACCGGGACTGTGGTGCAGCTGGCTGCGAGTCAGCTGTATTAAGATCGCTACTGACCAAAAGGTCATGAGTTCGAAGCCAGCCCGGGCCAGAGTGAGCTTCCAACCAATTTGTGTAGCTTGCTGTTGACCTTTGCAGCCTGAAAGATATGTTGCATCTGTCAAGTAGGAAATTTCGGTACCGCTTAAGCGGGAAGGCTAATTTACGACACCATAAAAATCTCCAGCAAGCATGCAAAGAATGAGGAAGTACTTCATCAATGTCACAAATGGACAGTGAAGTGACAGCTCCCCTGATGGACAGAATACCCTCATGAAAAAGCTGGAATGTTAAATAGCTTCTGTGTGTCTGTCTATATATGTTGTGTATCTATGACATTGAATGTCACACCTGTGGGGTGAGAAGGGCGAAATATAAATACTGTAAATAAATAAAAATGCTTTTGAAATGGAGCCAGAGGACAAATGGTGGTGCCTGCCCCTTTGTTGTTATCTTTTGCATCCTTTAACAGGGAGGACAAAGAGTACGAGACCATTGTGACCATTGTTGGGATGCTGGGAGAGAAGCCCTGCCTGCTCTATGTCCGAGGAAAAGGCTCTTACGATGAGAAGTACGAAGAGAGGCTCAAAACCTAAACGCTCATCCACTTTCACAGCAGGAAAAGATGCCAGTAAGTGTGGCTGCAAGTAAGTCCATCTAGGTTTTTTTTTTTTTTCTAATATGAGGCAATAATTTCTTGGCATGAATAAACTGCATGGTCTTACATCAGAAACCATTATGCACAGGCATGGGCAAACTTGGGCCCTGCAGGTGTTTTGGACTTCAATTCCCACAATTCCTAACAGCCTGAGGCCCTTTCCTTTTCCCCCCTCAGCCGCTTAAGCGGCTGAGGGGGGAAAGGAAGGGGCCTCAGGCTTTTAGGAATTGTGGGAGTTGAAGTCCAAAACACCTGCAGGACCCAAGTTTGCCCATGCCTGCATTAATCCATGCTCTGTTTTACATGCTCCAGAATCTAGCCTGGCAATAGGGCAACAACGACAAGGAATCATTGCCATTACTGTTTAGATAACCTTTTATTTAAAGTGTGCCTTCAGATATTCTGAGGTATAATTAATGTAGTTTAAAATGATCAAGGGCCTGGAGAACAAGCCCTATGAGGAGCAGCTTAAAGAGCTGGGCATGTTTAGGCTGAAGAAGAGAAGGCTGAGAGGAGACATGATAGTCATGTATAAATACTTGAGAGGAAGCCACAGGGAGGAGGGAGCAAGCTTGTTTTCTGCTGCCCTGGAGACTAGGACGCGGAACAATGGCTTCAAACTACAAGAAAGGAGATTCCATCTGAACCATTAAGAAAGAACTTCCTGACTGTGAGAGCCGTTCAGCAGTGGAACTCTCTGCCCCGGAGTGTGGTAGAGGCTCCTTCTTTGGAAGCTTTTAAACGGAGGCTGGATGGCCATCTGTCAGGGGTGCTTCCTGCTTCTAGGCAGGGGGTTGGACTGGATGGCCCATGAGGTCTCTTCCAACTCTATGAATCTATGAATCCACTGACAGAAGCAAAAAAGATCAGTTAAAAATATTTTTATTTGATCATTACAGCATCTTAATTGAAGCAGTAAAGCACTTGTGACCTTCTTCCTCATAGCTGGAATGTTATTATTATTATTATTATTATTATTATTATTATTATTATTATTATTCAACGTATCTGCTCTGAAGTGCAAAAGTGGGGCCAAAGCAGAGCTAATCCTTAAGGGTTCAACTGCATTTGCTCCTTGAGCTCTTAATAGACAAAAACATGTCTTCCACTTTTGCCTCCTTTTGTATCTAAGTGTGCGCAGTAGTGTATTTTTAAAGGCCTTGTCCAGTGTGATTTCTTAATTTCCCTAACAAGAAAGAAATACAATCATTAGCAACTTTTTCCCCACTAAGCAGCTCCTAGGTTTTTTTTTTAATCTGGAAACATGTTCAGATAAGTTTCTGAATGCAGATGCATCAAATTTTCAGTGATTCCACAAAAGTTCCTTTTATAAGCAAAGCAGCCTACCAGAACCTCTGCCATGTTTTCATTTATGTGTTTTAGTGAGTCTTGAGAGTTGGTGTGTCTTCTTGCCCTGAGTTAGTCTGGTCAGCCAAAGTAGCTCTTACATTCACCGTACTTTCACTCTCAATACAGTTAGTCTCTTTTGGACGGGAAATGAGCCAAGTGTAGCCCTGCCCCATGTGTTGTCCTTTCTGACAAAAGAAAGAAGTGTGCATTGCTTTTGTCCTGGAAGTCTGGGTGGTTCTAACTGTATAACAAAGTACACTTGCATTTTCCAAACTCGAACTGAACTTCATTATCTTGGGGAACAGTCTGTGAGGCTTCTGAAGGACCCCATGGACAAAATACACCACCACCCAGCCCTTGGGTGCTGATGCCGAGATGGCCTCCCTTTGGGACAAGATCCATGGTATTTAAGAGTTATTTCAAGCCATTCCATTGTGGCAAGCATGCCGTGTCTTGGAGCCCATAGCTGAAGCCAGCAGCTCATGTTGAGGCAGGGACTAAGGCTGAATAAAGGGCTGGAATTGGCAAAAGGTGACAAGATGGTCGAGGATGTGTCCTAGATGAAGGACGGTTGGACATCTGATGCCATTCCTGTTCCAATCACATTTTCTGGAGAAGTCCAGGGGTTAAGACACTGGGTTGGTTCTTAGAAGACGAGGATTTAGTTCCCTGGGTATTCAAACACAGCAGCAGCTCCCATCCCTGTTCCGATGCACATGGACACAACGCCATAGCCTCTGCAATGAGAATGCAAGTTAGTACAGGGCTCCACTTGCATCCAGTTAACTCACATCCAGTTTGGGTATTATACTGACTTTCCAGTTAACGACAAGTACCAAAGCTAAGAGATAATTCCCCAAAAGTTTCAGCTTTTTTCTCACTAGTGCATTCAAAATGCCTGCTGAATAATTAGCATAAGAGCAGCCAATAATTCATTAGCATAATTAGCAATAATTAGCATAAGAGCACCCACATGGGATGCCCAAACATATGAAAATAAAATGCATACTCTGAAAGTTGCATTTAATTTAGATGCCCCCATTAGCAGTAAGAAACTATTAAAAGAGGCATCTTTCAAAGAGGTGTTTTACTACCAAACACCTCTTTTGTGGCTTAGAAACACCCCCCTCCAAATATAAGTTTGTTCTCTTTGGGTAAAAATAGATCAAACCCACCTGCCAATGTGGCAGTTTACCTCGCCACCTGCAAGACGCATGCAAAACCCTTTTCAAATAGCCGAATTTGAGGAGATAGCCGGGGGAGATAGCCGCTAGAATTGACATCACACCACTTCTGGTGTGTCTGTGATGTGCAGGAATAAAAATGGGCCCCTGGTCCTGTTAAGGGTTTTCTTTAGGAGAGCAACAGATCTAAAGGCAGCACAGGCGATAGGGATTCTCATGCCATGGACTGAGTGTCAAGTTTAGAGTAAAAGATTGTCTCAGCTACAAGAAATTAATGAACTGTAGTCTACAATCCAGTACAGCAGCCATGGGCAAACTTAAGCTCCCCAGGTGCTTTGGACTTCAACTCCCACAATACCCAACAGCCTACTGGCTGCTAGGAATTGCAGGAGTTGGGGTCCAAAAACACCTGGAGAGCCGGTTTGCCCATGCCTGCAAGGCAGTGTTAAGGGCCTGGAGCAGTGGTCCCCAGGTGTCTTGGACTTCAACTCCCAGAAACCCCATCCAGCTTACCAGTTGTTAGGAACTGTGGGAACTAAAGTCCAAAACACCTGGAGGCCCAAAGGTTCGGAACCTCTAGAGCAGTGGTTCTCAACCTGTGTGTCCCCAGAGGTTTTGGCCTTCAACTCCCAGAAATCCTAACAGCTAGTAAACTGGCTGGGATTTCTGAGAGTTGTAGGCGAAAACACCTGGAGACCCACAGGTTGAGAACCACTGCTCTAGAGCAGCGTTTCTCAACCTGGGGGTCGGGACCCCTGGGGGGGTCGCAAGGGGGTTTCAGAGGGGTCGCCAAAGACCATCAGAAAATACAGGATTTTCTGTTGGTTATGGGGATCTCTGTGCAGGAAGTTTGGCCCAATTCTGTTGGTGGGGTTCAGAATGCTCTTTGATTGTAGGTGAACTATAAATCCCAGTAAGTACAACTCCCAAATGTCAAATCTATTTTCCCCAAACTCCACCAGTGTACACATTTGGGCATATGGAATATTAGTGCCAAATTTGGTCCAGATCCATCATTGTTTGAATCCACAGTGCTCTCTGGATGTAGGTGAACTACAACTCCCAAACTCAAGGTCAATGCCCACCAAATCATTCTAGTATCTATCCGTTGGTCATGGGAGTTCTGTGTGCCAAGTTTGGTTCAATTCCATCATTGGTGGAGTTCAGAATGCTCTTTGAGTGTTAGTGAACTATAAATCCCAGCAACTATAACTCCCAAATGACAAAATCAATCCCCCTTCCAACCCCACCAGTATTCAAATGTGGGCATATTGGGTATTTGTGCCAAACTTGGTCCAGTGAATGAAGATACATCCTGCGTTTCAGATATTTACATTACAATTCAAAACAGTAGCAAAATTACAGTTATGAAATAGCACTGAAAATAATGTGATGGTTGGGGGTCACCACAACATGAGGAACTGTATTAAGGGGTCGCGGCATTAGGAAGGTTGAGAAACACTGCTCTAGAGGAAGCAATAGGTAGTAACTGCAAAACTTACAGCTGGCATGGAGACCAAAATAAAGAGTCCTTTCCTAAGTGGCACTTGCAAATCACGACATTTGGAGTTGCTGTTGGCCAGGTGAAACATGCAAACGATCCAGTTTGGGGACAGTCAACCTCCTGAACAGGTTTGTCCAGGGATTCCAGCCAAGCAACTCATGCAAAGCTTTCTGGGGTTGGACAGACATTTAAAGTCATGCTATTGCAATGTTTATCAAAGCTGTTTATGCCAACTGCTCCGGACTCACCTCTTCCCCCTGCGCTTTAGTTCGTTGAGCAGTGTGACCACCTGCCGAGCCCCGGTGCAGCCCAGAGGGTGACCCAGAGCAATGGCGCCACCGAGAGGGTTGACCTTCTCCAGAGGGATGCCCAGCTTCTCCACGCAGTAGACGGCCTGGAAGGACACCACAATCAAGGCACCTGGGCCAGCAGACTGGCCCCAACTGGGCTGCGTTTATAACTAGCCTCTCCCCTGGCTCTTCCAAATATTGTTATTAAGAAGATTCCACATTTTAAAATAGTTAAGTGCAATTACTGAAGTTCTCTTTTCTCATTCCAGTTGCATTCAGTAGGAAGGCCTTACTTTTCTAAGACATTTAAATTCTACATTTCTAACTTTAAACTTATTACAAAAGATTATGAAAAAGGCTCTTTGGCTTCTCTCAAAGCCTGTATTCATTCATTGATGCTTCTATTTGTAACAAATAAAACACAAAACAAAACCAGTCCGCCATTCTCAGGGCAGCCATGAGACAAACTCCAATGGGAAGGCAAATCTCACCTGACTGGCAAAGGCCTCATTGATTTCAAACACATCGATATCTTTCACTGTTAACCCTGCATGATAGAGAGGCAAGAAGGTAAAAATACATTTTTCCATTAGTACATAACAAGAAAGTAGACTGCCCAGTTTGCAAGGCTAATGCAGCTTGCAGACCTTTACAATATGGCTCACTAATAGCCATATTAGTTTTACTAATATCCTGATAATTTTAAAACTTTGGCCCCATCTACACATAGTCAAATTATTAAGGTGCACACTTTTCAGGTACATATTAGCTGAGGAAGGAATTGAATTGAATTGCACAGCAGGTACCATTTCTTAAATTGCAACACACTTTAAAAAATCATGAGTACTGAGTGCACCTTTTAGTGTCACTAACTGGCCAACATGTTCCAAAATTTCAACCAGTTCACCAGATTACTGGCATTAAGACCCAGCCTCACTTGCATTTGAGACTAATCATCATAATTATCATCATCATTTCTAGACAGCCCTCTCTCCCCAGAAGGACTCTGGGCAGTTTACACATAAAAAAGGCAAACATTCAGTGCCTTAAAATAGATACAGACGCATAAAAATAATACAAAATAATGGAGAGTAACAATAGAAAACTTACAACAAAGGAATTAAGTATAAAAAATAAAATAAAAATAAGAACAATAATTAAGACATGAAAACTGAAACATAAACATTACAATGCAGCGTTTCTCAACCTGGGGGTCGGGACCCCTTGGGGGGTCATGGGGGGGGGGGTCAGAGGGGTCACCAAGGACCATCAGAAAACACAATGTTTTCTGTTGGTCCTGGGGGTTCTGTGTGAGAAATCTGGGGCAATTCTATCATTTGTGGGGTGGAGGATGCTCTTTGATTATAAGTGAACTATAAATCCCAGCAACTACAACTCCCAAATGTCAAGGTCTGTTTGCCCCAGTGTTCACATTTGGGCATATTGCATATTCATGCCAAGTTTGGTCCAGATCCATTATTGTCTGAGGTAAGTGAACTTCAACTCCAAAACTCAAAGTCAATGCCCACCAACCCCTTCCATAATGTTCTGTTGGTCGTGCTTTAAACTGCTTCTACAGATTGAAATTCATTTCTGCTAGCTGTCCCTCAGATCAGTCAACACACACACAGATCTTTAGGGATCCTACAGATGTGTTATATTTAGCCCAAGTTTCTATTTGGAGGTGCGTTTTGAAAAAGAGACAGCGTTAGGGGAGAGCTGAGTTCTACCGAACAGAAGGCACAGCAATAATGGCATCTACTCTAGAGCTGTCGTGCAATGGGTTAAACCCTTGTGCCAGCAGGACTGAAGACTTACAGGTCACAGGTTCGAATCTAGGGAAAGCGCGGATGAGCTCCCTTTGTCAGCTCCGGCTCCCCATGCGGGGACATGAGAGAAGCCTCCCACAAGGATGGTAAACATCAGAACATCCTGGCGTCCCCTGGGCAACGTCATTGCAGACAGCCAATTCTCTCACACCAGAAGTGACTTGCAATTTCTCAAGTTGCTCCTGACACAAACACACACACACACACACACACAAAGTATGGCCATTGTGCCCCCTGCCTTCTCTTAACTTTCTCTTCAAGCTCCCTAAACCGCTTTTCATAGGGCGTGGCTTCATTCAGATCAAACCCACCAAGATGTTGACATTGAACTAATTGAGAATGGGTGGAGATAGCTGCCCAAAAGCATTAATGCCAGCTGATACACCAAACCTTCTCCTCCTTCAGTGCCATTCATCCTGAAATGTTGTATCCCTCCCATCTAAATAATTGAGGGAGCAAAGCAGTTTCTCAAGTCACTCCTGACACAGAAAAAAAATCTTGCGTACTCTATTGGTAGTTATGCCAGCAGCGCAGGAAAACAGACAAGTATCTCTTTCACATAAGTAAGCAGCATTTGCTTCCTCTACTATCCTTAAAATGCCAATCCAGCTCAACAGTTCACACTTTTTTTCACAACAAATGGAAAGTTCAGATGGAGTTTGACCTGATGTAAGATACAGTTATCCTGAAAGCTAGAAGTCAGTTCTTACCAGCTTTTTCCAATGCCGCTGGAATGGCGTAGGCTGGCCCAATGCCCATGACGTCAGGCGGGACTCCAACGACGGCATACGATCGCAAAACCCCCAATACAGGGAGACCCAACTGCGATGCTTTGGAGCGCTTGGCCAGGAGAACCGCAGCTGCTCCATCACTGACTTGGCTGGCATTACCTGTGGAAAGAAAGGCCACACAGGTGACTATTTTGATCACCTGGGCAAACTTCAGTATTCTAATTTTGCATGAATGCAGGAAAGACGACACACTATTGACAAGATATTGACAAGCTAGAATGTGTCCAGAGGAGGGCAACTAAAATGATCAAGGGTCTGGAGAACAAGTCCTATGAAGAGCGGCTTAAGGAGCTGGGCATGTTTAGCCTGGAGAAGGCTGAGAGGAGACATGATAGCCATGTATAAATATGTGAGAGGAAGCCACAGGGAGGAGGGAGCAAGCTTGTTTTCTGCTTCCCTGGAGACTAGGACATGGAAAAATGGCTTCAAACTACAAGAAAGGAGATTCCATCTGAACATTAGGAAGAACTTCCTGACTGTGAGAGCTGTTCAGCAGAGGAACTCTCTGCCCTGGAGTGTGGTGGAGGCTCCTTCTTTGGAAGCTTTTAAACAGAGACTGGATGGCCATCTGTCAGGGGTGCTTTGAATGCAATATTCCTGCTTCTTGGCAGGGGGTCGGACTGGATGGCCCATGAGGTCTCTATGATTCTAAACTAATATTGTCTGGAACAGACATGGGCAATCTTGGGCCCTCCAGGTGTTTGGACTTCAACTCCCACAATTCCTAACAGCCGTTGCTGTTAGGAATTGTGGGAGTTGAAGTCCAAACACCTGGAGGGCCCAAGATTGCCCATGTCTGCTCTACTTATGGTTGTTTGCAATGGAGATGGCAAGGATCTGCCATAGGATCCTCTTCATACAAGTCACTGGGCTTTAACCAATCCAAACCTAAGTCATAGTTGGTTTCATTATATTTTCTTGCTTAATGTGTAGATGTCACATGCTTTAAGGTCACATTATGAAGTCAGCAACTGCATGACGAATTGTTTTCAGTTGTACGGACTGACAAAATTTCCGGAACATGAGCTTTCTTGCCACTGAGTCCTAACATCCCTGATCAACTAAAATGTCCCACTATTAATCCGGTAGTCCTTGCTTCCGATGTTTACCAGCAGTAGTGGATCCATCCTGCTTGAAGGCCGGCTTCAGCTTGGCCAACCCCTCCAGCGTGGTGCTGGCCCTGACCCCTTCGTCCTTGAGCACAGTGATGGTCTTCTCATTTCCCTGGTCGTCGGTGAACTTGGTCGTCACAGGAACAATCTCGTTTTTGAACAACCCCAACTGCTGGGCCCGAGCTGCTCTAGAAGGATGCACAGATATTACTTTGATAGATCTTTAAAAATGTACACTAAGCATCGGGCAAGATCTCAAAGCAAAGAGAGGGGTGGGTTGCAGAAGTCTTTTACTATATAAGTCACCCAAACATGATGGAAACATGGCAGAAAACCATCCCACCAAGCTGCTTCTGTGTTCACCATTTCCATTCCCTTTAGTAAACAATATGCACACAGCGGCATTTCAAAGTGGTTAAGTGGGGAAGAAAGAGTGACATTTGTTGGGCAAGTGGGCTTATTAACAAAAGACCTTCCCCATGAATGTATAGCAGAGTACTGTATATACTCGAGTATAAACCTAGTTTTTCAGTATTTTTTTTAGGCTGAAAAAGTCTCCCGCGGCTTATACTTGAGTCAAGGTTATTTATTATTCTACTTTTTTGTTGTTTTTGTTGTTTTACTTTATTATTGTTGTTATTACATTTATTATTTTACTTTATTTATTATTGTTATTGTTACATTTATTATTTTACTCTATTATTATCACTACTATTATTATTATTTTACTCTATTATTATTGGAAGGATACGTAAGCATATTTATATTGAAGGTTAGAATAATGGTTGAATCAGAGTTGGACAGTGTTATGTTGAATTACAGTTTTATGTAAATATTCAAAAACATTTAACCAACGGATGCCTCAATTAATGTAACTTTATTGGTGTCTATTTTTATTTTGAAATTGACCCATAAATGCTGCATTTCCCACCCTCGGCTTATATCCCAGTTGTAGTGAAATCTACCTTTAAGGCGACTAGGCCGAAGCCTGTAGGCCAGTAGCTATCAACTTGGAAGACAGGCAGAAGCAGGATGAGTCAAGCCGACTCCTGATTGGTGGGAGCAATTAGGGGACGAGTCGGTTGAGAGAGGGAAAGAGGCTGTCAGCTTTTGACAGAGAGAGAAGTGTCTTGACATCAGACACAGAAGGAAGGGATTTTTAGGAGAGGAAGCTAGATAGCGTTCTGACAGGAAAGAAAGCTTTAAAGTGAGCCTTAAGGATAGGGAATAAGGTTGAGACAAAGGCTAGGGTTTTACTGTGTTGAGAGGACCAGTAAAAGAGAGCTTTGTCTGCTTAGACTTAGGAGAAGTTTAAGTGAGCTTATTGCCCTGTGTGTGAGAGACAGATAGGAGTCTGTTCTCTAAGTGATACTGTTTCTAAGAATAGAACAGTGTGTTTAGGGAAACTCACAGTTTTAAGAGCTTTATTGTCAGCGAAACTACTTGTTTAAAATATCTAAGTCTCTACAACTGAATCAAGTCTCTGTACCACTCATTCTATGGGTCGAAATACTTTTAAAATTTAATAAACCTTTTCTAGTTCACTTTTAACTATTGTCAGCCTCAGTCTGTCAAACCCATTTAAAGTCCAGTCATCCAGTGAAGAAGCATCAGAAGAACCAAGGGCAAACACACCTTACCTACAACACATTCACACCTTTGGTTCCTCACACCAATAAAGCTGAGGTGGTGGCAGCTAATTCTACCAGAAACATCGGTCGTTAATAGCTTTATAGCATTGGTAGCCAGTATCTTCCTTACAGTGGTGGCAGCGGTGGGATTCTTTGTTCCCCCCTGCCTCAGATATTCTTTGAATTTCGTTATACCAATTAATCCATTTCCCCAGTTTTTTGTGGTAATATTAGGTGCCTCGGCTTATATTCGGGTAGGCTTACATTCAAGTATATACAGTAACTTATTAGCAGCAGCGTGACCCAGCACCAGTAACCCAACGGTATAAAAAGAACAAAAAATACACAGACCAATGTTATCTCTTCCATAGGAGGCTTTTCTTTGTAGTAAAATAATATAGCTGCACTATTTACAATAGAAAGGTTTCCATAACACAAATAAACAAATACATAGTAGCTTTACACACAGCAACCTTCACACTGGAGCTTTCTCACACAAGGCTTCTCTCACACAGAGGTTTGCCTCACATTCCTCAGGACGACACTAGTTTTGGCCCACTAATTCTAAAGGCTTTGGCCTACTCACTCTCCTCAGGACGACACTAGCTTTGGCCCACTGACTCTACCAGGCTTAGGCCTACTAACTCTTTCAGTGCTTGACTCACAATTTGTAATTAAAAATACCCAGTTAATTTTTCATATTTCTGACAACATTCCACTCCCCCCCCCCCCCCCCCACCTCTACAACTGTCAATCACTTACTTTTGTTGAGAAACCAGGGCAAAGGCATCTTGTTTTTCTCGGGTGACGCCAAATCTTTCAGCCACATTCTCAGAGGTTATTCTGAAAAAGTAATACATGAAGCAATCCACAGATTTCAGTCTTTTCCCTTTCCATACCAATTATGAAAAACCAACCCCCATATTCCAGTGGAGTTAACCTTAGCAATCATCTCAAAAATACATGTATTGTTTCAAAAATCTTCAAGCCTTGCATGGTCTCATCTGACATTGAAAGTATCACAAAATTCATTATATAACATTTAAAAAGCAAATTTCAAATAAAGAGAACATAAACCTAGTTACACAAAACTACTCTACTTCAACGTCCATCATTACTTATAGGTCAGGCATGGGCAAACTTTGGCCCTCCAGGTGTTTTGGACTTCAACTCCCACAATTCCTAACAGCCTACCGGCTGTTAGGAATTGTGGGAATTGAAGTCCAAAACACCTGGAGAGCCAAAGTTTGCCCTTGCCTGATTTAGATGCTTGGCTGAATGAAAATACTCACCCCATTGGGATCAAACAGTCTCTGGCGTTGGCATTGTCCATCATACGGGAGCTGACATCCCCAGGCTCCGAAGCGCTGCGTAGGGACATGCTCTCCACTCTAAAGGGGGAACGGAAAGACAGTGAGGCCATAGTAATTAACATTCACACAAAGGAACCACACAATAATTTCTATAACGAGACAACGAAGCACGTTGCAAATCGTTTTGCTAAAAACAACTACACAAAGCCTAAAAATTACATTAATAAATGCCTAATTTAGCCTGTTGTGCTACTTAGAAAAATCCAAAAGCTTGAAATCCTATATTCATCTACCTAGGAGTGAGCCACACTGGAATTACTTCTTAATAAAAAGATAGAAGACTGAGTCACCAATTACCTTTTATAATCAGAAGATATGTGAAGAGCTCAAATACACTGCCAACTGAATCAGCATCCGAACTTGGCCTCCTAGGTGAACCGAACTAAAATGATGTGTGCTATTTTCCCAGGTCTTATGTCAGGTGAAGTCTCTGAACAGAAGCATTCATCTCAGTAATATATACATAAAGGTAAAGGTTTCCCCTTGACATTAAGTCTAATTGAGTCCGACCCTGAGAATTGGAGCTCATCTCTATTTCCAAGCTGAAGAGCCGCCGTTGTCCATAGACACCTCCAAGGTCATGTGGCTGGCATGACTGCATGGAGCGCTGTTACCCTCCCGCAGAAGCGGTTTCTATTGATCTACTCATATTTGTATGTTTTTGAACTGCTAAGGTGGCAGAAGCTGGGGCTAACAGGGGGAACTCAACCCCGCTCCCCAGATTCGAACTGCTGACCTTTCAGTCAGCAAGTTCATCAGCTCAGCAGTTTAACCTGGTGCACCACCTGGAGCTCCAGGGGCATAATATATAATAATCATCATCATCAACTTTATTTGTACCCCGCTACCATCTCCCCAAGGGACTCGGTGCGGCTTACATGAGGCCAAGCCCAAAGTACATCAAACAAAACATAAATAAACACAACATCAATAAACAATAAAATACAGATCATATAAATCACATAAACAAAAAAACTATCAATAGTGACATAAACAATTTTAAAAATGGCCGGGCCAAATGTAATAGATTAAAATTGAAAATATGCTAACGTGAACAAGGTCAAATATAACTAGGATAGGATTTTTCGGAGAGAAATGGGGGAGCACAGTCCACTCTAAGTCAGTATTAAAGTGCATTCTGAGGACATATTGCTGAGAGTTCTCCTTATTCTGGGAAGGCACACTGGAACAACCACGTTTTCAGGCTCCTCCTAAAGACAGCCAACGTTGGGGCATGTCTAATGTATGTATTAAACCCGAGACACTGGAATCAATGGCTTTTGCTCCTTTGTGTAGGAGCAAAGCAACAGCAAGTAAGCAGCATAACAAGACAAACAGATTTGAGGTTTCGTTCTGTGTTTCAAGACCTTCAGAAACTGCTCTACATTATCTGGGGCACTGCAACTAAGTGTGGTACTACTTCTTTTTGCTTGGTATATTTCTTTAAAAAACATTCAAACAGTAATAGGTTGTGCAACTTCATACCGGAAGAGACAAAAGGGCTCCCGCTATTCAGGAAAGAGATACTACTTGTGTATCTGCCAAGTCAGCAGTTCTTAATTTTACACAATTGTTGGCTGTACAATAAGCACTCTAGCCTAAGATTCACTATAGTATTCCTCTGCCTATCTTTGAAAAGTGAACCTGGTTTTTCCTAGGGCAAGCAACACAAGGCTCCCCGCAAGTAGCAGCATTCAGCTTGCATTGCATAACAGGAACTTGGGGTCAAAGTGCTCTGGTCAGGAATTCCAGAATATTCAGCCTTTGCCCTACATTATTCTTGCAGAGGATTTGCAAGTCAGGGCACAGCCAGATGATTAACAAAGCTACATTAACACATAGCTTGATTTCAAAACTCTACACACCACTGAACCCTCTTCCTCAAGGACTGAATTAGACATAGTAATGGATTTTGAACTCATTATTTGAGAAGATAAGTGCAACACTGCTATACTTTCTAAATGCCGTGTGAAATTAGGGACTGAAAAGCAAGACTAAGCGATGACATCGGGGACTTGTGGCTAGTTTAGAACTTCAGCCCAGAACCAAGTTTGGCATGGAACAAGCCTTCAAAGTAAAAAATTGACTCTAGGTAATAAGAAAACATTGGAGGACTAAGTTCAAAGAGCAGGTGCTTACAGCCACCTAACTAATTATTATTTACCAAGTCTTGCAATTGCTTTTTATCTGGATGATATTGCACAAGACAGCTGAGAAACTTCACCTGCCCCATCTATAAAATGACTGATAAGCTCAAGCACATCTTGTTGAGCTTGAAAACAAATCAAGAAATAGTTTTCTAAGATCTACAGAGACACTCGCTGGAACACCCCAGCAAGCAAGAGTCCAAAAGTGGCAGGCTCAAACCCAGAACCTCAATCAATGGCTGATACTAAATGAGTGACTCCCCCCTGGGCACACAGAAGACTGGGCAACTTGGAAGGCGCTGAACAGACTGCACTCTGGCACCACGAGATGCAGAGCCAGCCTTAAGAAATGGGGCTACAAAGTGGAATCCACGACATGCGAGTATGGAGAAGAGCAAACCACTGACCACCTGCTGCAATGCAACCTGAGCCCTGCTACATGCACAATGGAGGACCTCCAGAGGCACCACCTCCAGAGGCAACACCAGAGGCACTCCAAGTGGCCAGCTACTGGTCAAAGGACATTTAATCAACTACCAAGCTTGCAAACTTTGTGTTTTGTCTGTTTATTTTGTTAAAAATGTAATACAACTGTCTGGTTGCTCCTGACATGATAAATAAATATCTTGTTGTTGTGTGACTTCAAGTTATTCCTGATTTAGGAAGGCCCTAAAGCAGTGGTTCCCAACCTGAGGTCTGTGGACCACCAGTGGTCTGCAAGAACTAAAATACAGTCTGTAGCCTCATTGCTACACCGTTGCAACAAGGACTAGTCTCTCAAAACCCTCTTATAGTGCCTCTTAAGACGTATTAAATATGGTTTTCTGTGGGCAAGCAGATAGCAACTACTGGATGGCATGTGTTCTGTATCAGAAACTAGAGCTGATGTAGTCTATCCAATGCAATTTTCTGAATCAGCCCCCCAAATAACCAAAACGAATCTAAAGTTGACCAAACTGATTCCTTTTTGGGAGGAGAGCAATATCTTAAATAGTGAAGAGTAGAGACATCACACTGGCAACAAAGATCCGCATATAAAGCAATGGTATTCCCCATAGCAACCTATGGATGTGAGAGCTGGACCATAGGGAACGCTGAGCGAAGGAAGAGCGATGCTTTTGACCTGTGGTGTTGGAGGAAAGTTCTGAGAGTGCCTTGGACCCCAGAAGATCCAACCAGTCCATACTTCAGGAAATAAAGCCCGACTGCTCATTGGAGGGAAGAATAGTAGAGGCCAAGATGAAGTACTTTAGCCACATCATGAGAAGAAAGGAAAGCTAGAGAAGACAATGATGCTGGGGAAAATGGAAGGAAAAAGGAAGAGGGGCTGACCAAGGGCAAGATGGATGGATGACATCCTTGAAGTGACTGGATTGACCTTGAAGGAGCTGGGGGTGGTGACGGCTGACAGGGAGCTCTGGCGTGGACTGGTCCATGAGGTCACGAAGAGTCGGAAGTGACTGAACAAATGAACAACAACAATCCTTTTGGGACTAATGTTGGAGAATGGTCCCTGGTAAAAAAAATCAAACCTAAATCAAACCCTATTACAGTTTTCTGGGGCTGGGAGTGTGTGCCTTGCCCAGGTTTGCAAAAGTGGGTTTTCAAGCTAGTATTTGAACCCTGGTCTCCAGAGATGTAGTCCAAAACTCAAACCACTGCTCCAGGCATGGGCAAACTTAGACCCTCTAGATATTTTGGACTTCAACTCCCACCACAATTCCTAACAGCCAGTAGTTCCAAAACACCTGGAGGGCTGAAGTTTGCCCATGCCTGGTCTAAGGCATCTGCATTATTGACTAATGTATGAATTTTTATGGGGTGCACATTGTCGAATGGAGTCGAATGCAAATCCTAGTGACACATTTTCAGCCTATTCAAAAGTGTATCTGCACAATAGAATTGTGTTAGGGATTGTGGCGCAGCTGGCTGAGTGTCAGCTGCATTAAGATCACTCTGACCAAAAGGTCATGAGTTCGAAGCCAGCCCGGGTTGGAGTGGGTTTCCAACCAATTGTGTGTAGCCTGTTGTCGACCTTTGCAACCCGAAAGACAGTTGCATCTGTCAAGTAGGAAAATAAGGTACCACCTTAAAGTGTGGGGAGGCTAAATTAACTGATTTATGAGGCCATAAAGAAGACTCCAGCAAAGCATTCCAGCGGGGAAGCATGCGGGGAATGCAGAAGTGCTTCATCAGTGTCGCAGATGGACGATGAAAGCGACAGCTCCCCTGGCGGCCAGAAAAAGTTAAATAGGTCTGTATATGTTTGTTTGTCAAAATTGGCATTGAATGTTTGCCATATATGTGTACACTGTAATCCGCCCTGAGTCCCCTGCAGGGTGAGAAGGGTGAAATATAAAAACTGTAAATAAATAAATAAATAAAGATAATACTCTGAGATCACAACTTAAATGAAAAGGAGTCTTTTCTGTTTTGCATCAATACCCAGTACAGTTTGGTCATGGATCTTGCCACCTCCAGGAGGTAAAGTGTCAAGGGTTGGTTAAGCCTTATTAATTCTTGCAAAATACCAGCACCAATATGATCCATATCAGCTAATTCAAAACATTAGAGACTCATTTGTGTGATTTCACAGAGACCACACTGAAGAACACCAGAAAAGGCAGGCACAGAATTGTTAAGACAAAGACCAGGGTGTGAGAATGCAAAAATGTTCTTACCCACAGGCCAAACCAATGTCATAAGATCCGTTCCTGATGCCACCTGCAAATAGAATAAATCGGCAGCTAAATGGCTATACTAAGAAAAAGCTGATGGTGCCAACATATGATTACCACCTCTTAATCACCTAGATGGATTCCATACACTCTTCATGCCAAACTGCCCCACAGGAGTAGACATTGAGGGGCATGATTTCTACCAAAAGTAAAGGTATTAAAGAAGGACTAAATCTGACCTCACAACTTCTGAGGATGCCTAATATACATGCAGGTGAAACGTCAGGAGAGAATGCTTCTGGAACATGGCCATACAGCCTGAAAAAACTTACAACAACCCATTCACATAGTAGCTTTACACACAAGACCTTTAACATGAGGCTTCTTTCACCAAAGGTTCTCACACCAGGCCTTCTCACACGAGGCCTTCTCACACCAGGCCTTCTCACACTCGGCCTTCTTGTAGACAAAGGCCTACCTCACACTGTGAGGCCTTCTCACAGACTGAGACCTTTCTCCCACTGAGGTTTACCTCAGATTGACAGCTACTAAGCTACAGGCATACCTGCTTATCTAGAACTACAGCTTTTGCCGAGCCATTGCATTCATTTAACCCATTCAGTGCTTGACTCATATTTTTGTAATTAAAATTACCTAGATTTTTTTTTATATTTTTGACAGTTTATATTTCCATCGTTTGATCAGGACTTACAAGACAACATTCCTGATCAGCTAAATAGGTGAGATTTTAGAGAGTGCAGACATCTCCTTATAAAAAAAAAAGCTTCAGGACACAATTTGGGATTTAAAAGCAAACAGGTAATGTCTGCAAACGTTCCAAATTATGATGAAACTACTCCACTACCTGAGCATGCCCCTCAACATCCCATACATCCTTTTTAATGTTTTTTAATGTTTGTTTACTGAATTTCTAAATGTATTCAGAAGTGAAATTTAGGGCTTCTTGCCTTGAAATAGCCTGGTCATCATCATCTTACCAGCTATATTGATCACTGCTTGCAGTCCAGATGAACACTGCCTGTTAACGCACGATAAGGGCACAGTCTCTGGAATCTCACTGAAAGAAGGCACAAATTTATTATTATTATTTATTTACTTCATTTATATACCGCTTTTCTCAGCCCTTGGGCGACTCAAAGCGGTTAACAATAGCAAAATTCAATGCTCAACATCATAAAAAGAGTTTAAAAAAACAGTTAAAAACAATGATATATAAACAATCAGTTAAATATAACTATAACATCTCATTAGCATCTCATAGGTAGAATCAAGATCCAATCTCATAATCCGTTGTTCCACGGAAAATTGGTCACAAAGGGCAAGGCCAGTTACAGAAATTAAAAGTTTAATGTTTAAAAACATTGGATGAGAAAGCAATGTAATATATTTGGACAGGAGATCCGAGGGACCAAGTAGGCTTAGATTACACTAACAGGTGAAATAAAGTGCTTCTGAGGGCATTTTATTAAGGGTTTGGTCAATTCAGCAAGAAAAAAAAAGTTACATCCACAATGAAGCCTGGTAAGTTACTCTGATGATAGTGGGAAGAAAGCCCTGACAATAATAGTGTAAACATCTTGGATAACCCTTGATTTAGAAGAAAAGCATTTAGAGATATATCATCACACTTTGAGTCCTTGGTGGTGCAATGGGTTAAACCCTTGTACTGGCAGAACTGAAGACCAACAGGTCGGAGGTTCGAATCCAGGCAGACCACAGGTGAGCTCCCTCTATCAGCTCCAGCTCCCGATGCAAGGACATGAGAGAAGCCTCCCACAAGGATGGTAAAATATCAAAACATCCGAGCACCCCCTGGGCAACGTCCTTGCAGACGACCAATTCTCTCACACCAGAAGTGACTTGCAGTTTCTCAAGTCGCTCCCGACACGAAAAAAAAAATAACACCATTGAGACAATACCAGTAAAACTCAATTGAAGTCAACATAGCCCTGAACCATGGGAGTGTGAGAATAATATTCAGGGGAGGCCTCTGTGTGGGAACAGTGCCAGCCAAGATATAGGTATTACCCAACTTTTTACCCGCCCCACAATGTGTGCCTAAGTTCACAGCACACAGGATAAGCTTGAACTGAGAATCTAGCTTCAGCACAAATCAAATGCCTCCACCTTGCGCAACTCAGAGCCAGGGAACTAGTGCTAAGTTCTCAAGTCTTAAATAACAAAAGTTCACCTTAGAAACTGTCCAACTCTTGCGGTTAAAGCGCCGGCACCGGGTTGAAGAACGTTTCCTAAATGCAAAGAGACGACTCCATGTTTGTTACATGCTAAACCAAATGCTACCCGCATTAAAGATTTTGTCGGCGTGAAAGAGGGGAGAAAGATTCCCAGCATTGCAATTTCAAAGTGAAATATTACTCACCGACACAGATATCCCCCAGTTTGTCAGGGCTTAGATTGAGGTCTTTAAGGACTGCTGTCATGACTGCAGCAAGGAGTTCATCAGGTGTCGTTTCCTGGAACAACACAAGTAGTCTTACATCTTCTGACACTTTTATGATTGTGTTTATTATTATATTATACTTTCTACTGTTTCACCAGACTCCATGGCCTTAAACGTCCTGACTGCAAATATGTCTTATGTTATGAGGAAAAGTGAATATCCAATATCTAAGGAATATCCATTATTCCAGGCATGGGCCAACTTCAACCCTCTAGGTGTTTTGGACTTCAACTCCCACAATTCCCACAATTCCTAACACAATTCCCATGCCTGCACTATTCAATGTCAATGGGAATATCCAATACTCAAAAGAATATCCAGTCTTCAAGAGAATATCCAATATTCAATACCAAGAGAATATTCAATATTGATTGTCATTATTATTAATAATCATTACAATTAATATCCTGTATTGAGTATCGAATATCCAAGACAATATCAAATATCCCATCTCCATGGAAAATATTCATTCAGTAACTCAAATAAATATGTTTAATCTGTTTTGTGCTATTTTAATATGTATTTTATAGAAATATGATCTAATATGCATCTTTTTATAGACATAGAATCAGAGTTGGAAGAGATCTTGTGTGCCATCCAGTCCAACCCCTGCCAAGAAGCAGGAAAATAGCATTCAAACACACATATATTTTAATGTGTATTTGTGCTATTTTTTACAATACAGAAAATTAAATTATTTCTGTAAATTTTATAAGAAGTAAAATAATAGTAATAATAATAATAATCCAATATGGGAAGGAATCTCCAACATTCAATTTCAAACAGAATATCGAATATTATATACACTGAAGTAAAATTATTATTCTCCAATCTAATATAAAACTATTATTATTACTATTATTATCCAATATTGAAAGGACTATCCAACATTGAACTTTCCAGGGAATATCTAAAATTTAATATACATGTACATTTCATAAGAATTAAAATTATTATTATTATTATCTAAACTAATAAAATATCATTATTATCACTATCCAATATGGAAAGGAATATCCAACACTCGGTTTCTAATAGAATATCTAATATTGTGTGTGTATATATATGTGTGTGTGTATTATAAGAAGTAAAATTATTATTCTCCAATCTAATGGAAATAAATTATTACTATTATTGTTATTATCCAATATGGAAAGGAATATCCAACATTTGATTTCTAATAGAATATCTAATATTTTATGGTTCTAAATGGTTTTAAAGTACTTACAAAACTAAAGTTCTGGTGGTGAAAATTTCAGAACTCTTTCAAAATTTAATTATTATTAATTATTATTTCATTATTGTTGATTTTAATGACAGAACCAATTAGGAACTGCCATTTATTATGAAATTTTGAGAGTTTTGTTAGAGTTCTGAAATTTTCACCACCAGAACTTTAGTTTTGTAAGTACTTTAGAACCATTTAGAACCATGGATTGCCCAAGCCTAATATATATATATATATATATATATATATGAAGGAAAATTATTATTCTCCAATATAATATAAATAAATTATTATTATTATCCAATATGGAAAGGAATATCCAACATTCAATTTCTAATATACATATACATATGAAGTAAAATTATTATTCTCTAATCTAATATAAATAAAAGTATTGTTGTTGTTATCCAATATGGAAAGGAATATCCAACATTCAATTTCTAATAGAATATCTGTTAATATATAGATAGATATAGATAGATATACACACATACTTGAAGAAAAATTATTATTCTCCAATCTAATGTAAATTATTATTATTATTATTATTAATAATATCCAATATCATAGAATCATAGAATCAAAGAGTTGGAAGAGACCTCATGGGCCATCCAGTCCAACCCCATCCTGCCAAGAAGCAGGAATATTGCATTCAAATCACCCCTGACAGATGGCCATCCGGCCTCTGTTTAAAAGCTTCCAAAGAAGGAGCCTCCACCACACTCCGGGCAGAGAGTTCCACTGCTGAACGGCTCTCACAGTCAGGAAGTTCTTCCTCATGTTCAGATGGAATCTCCTTTCTTGTAGTTTGAAGCCATTGTTCCATTGCGTCCTAGTCTCCAGGGAAGCAGAAAACAAGCTTGCTCCCTCCTCCCTGTGGCTTCCTCTCACATATTTATACATCTGGGAAGGAGAAGGAGAAAATGTGGAGGCCGTGACAGACTTTGTATTTCTAGGTGCCAAGATTACTGCAGATGCAGACTGTGGCCAGGAAATCAGAAGACGCTTACTTCTTGGGAGGAGAGCAATGTCCAATCTCGATAAAATAGTAAAGAGTAGAAACATCAGACTGGCAACAAAGATCCGCCTAGTCAAAGCCATGGTATTCCCTGTAGTAACCTACGGATGTGAGAGCTGGACCTTAGGGAAGGCTGAGCGAAGGAAGATAGATGCTTTTGAACTGTGGTGTTGGAGGAAAGTTCTGAGAGTGCCTTGGACTGCGAGAAGATCCAACCAGTCCATCCTCCAGGAAATAAAGCCCGACTGCTCATTGGAGGGAAGGATAGTAGAAAGATGAAGTACTTTGGCCACATCATGAGAAGAAAGGAAAGCTTAGAGAAGACAATTATGCTGGCGAAAATGGAAGGAAAAAGGAAGAGGGGCCGACCAAGGGCAAGATGGATGGATGGCATCCTTGAAGTGACTGGACTGACCTTGAAGGAGCTGGGGGTGGTGACGGCCGATAGGGAGCTCTGGCATGGGCTGGTCCATGAGGTCACGAAGAGTCGGAGACGACTGAACGAATGAACAACAACAATCATATTCCTCTCTCAGCCTTCTCTTCTTCAGGCTAAACATGCCCAGCTCTTTAAGCCGCTCCTCATAGGGCTTGTTCCCCAGACCCTTGATCATTTTAGTCGCCCTCCTCTGGACACATTCCAGCTTGTCAATATCTCTCTTGAATTGTGGTGCCCAGAATTGGACACAATATTCCAGGTGTGGTCTAACCAAAGCAGAATAGAGGGGTAGCATGACTTCCCTGGACCTAGACACTAGGCTCCTCTTGATGCAGGCCAAAATCCCATTTCTTGTCTGGGATTCCCCTATTTCTGAGTGTTGCCCTATATTGACTGCTATGATGTTAGAGTTGTGTGACTCCCAGAATGCCTCGCTGCCAGAGAGAATTCTGGGAGTGGTAGTCCAAGGAGAGTGGGGCCTGCGCCTACCTTGAAGCCTCCCCGCTTGGCTTTGGCGATGGGGGTCCTCCTCCCGTGGACCACCACCACGTCATCCGGGCCCACAGTCGGGCGGGAGGAGAATCCCAGGCAGGGCCTGGCCTTGGGCTGCCCGGAGGCGGAGAGGTGGCCCAGCACCACCTTCATGCGATGCATCTTCGCCTCTGACTGACTGACTGACTGACTGACTGCCAGAGAGACAGGAAGAGGAAGAGAGAAGCAGGCTGAGGCGCGGGGGATGCCGGGAAACGAGCTCAAGGCCACGCCCCTCTCGCCTCAGCCTCCGAGGGCGCCATCTTGCCAGAGGCAGAAAAAAGAAGGGAGAAAAGTCAGCCAAGCGCGCGGGGGATGTTGGGTAGCCACCTCAGAGCCACGCCCCCTTGGTCTCTTGCTAAAGGCAAACACAAGTAGACTATAGAGCAATGAAAATATAGAGATATATTTTGTTGTTGTTGTCTATTCGTTCAGTCGCTTCCAAATCTTCATGACCTCATGAGCCAGCCCACGTCAGAGCTCCTTGTCGGTGGATATGCAGCATATGTGCTGGTACAACTGCACCAGGAGCTCCAATTCTGTATGTTTGTTTGCAATCCCACGCTTGGGATTTTGCAGCAGGGTGGCTTCCTGTTATAGGCTGCAATCATAGGGCAATCCACCTGTCAATTATCGTTAGGTTCCCTGGTCCTGCCCCTTTTTGAGTTTTGGAGGGAACAGAAGCCGGCGCAATGGGTTAAAGCACTGAGCTGCTGAGCTTGTTGATCGAAAGGTCGCAGGTTCGATTCCGAGGAGCAGCGTGAGCTTCCGCTGTCAGCCCTAGCTTCTGTCAACCTAGCAGTTCGAAAACATGCAAATGTGAGTAGATCAATAGGTACTGCTCCGGCGGGAAGGTAACGGCACTCCACGCAGTCATGCCGGCCACATAACCTTGGAGGTGTCTACGGACAACGCTGGCTCTTCGGCTTAGAAATGGAGATGAGCACCACACCCCAGAGTCAGACATGACTGGACTTAATGTCAGGGGACTACCTTTACCTTTTAGGAGCCTTTTTGAGTCAGTTCTCACAGAGAGGCTTTCGCACAGGACATAAAACCAAGAGCTCCTGTAGAAAGCTTTGTCTTCTACAGCTTGGCCGGGGAGATATTCAGCCTACAGCTTGGCCAGGGAGAAAAGGCCCCACAGCTTGGCTGAGGGACTTCAGCTGGCCATCACAGCAACTGAACTCCTCCTTTTTCCTTGGAAGTCTACAAAGCTCTGCTTGGTAAGGGTCGCTCGCAGAAGCCAGGCGCAGTTGGTACCGGGTGCAGGGCTCCACGCCAACAGAGGCAAAGACAGACTGCCCAGATTAGAAGTTAAGGATTTCCCCATTAGTTAAAATACCAGTCATGAAGATAGTGCCTGCTCCCAGTGAACAAGATTGAGAGAGCCAATAGACTGTTAAGAAAGCTTGAAAGTACCTGTTTGTTTTCATCAATAAAGAACTTCGTTGGATTTACTTTAAGCATTCTAAAGACTCTGTTTGGGGGAATCCAAGGGCCTTTAATCTGAGGCAGCCCCGGCGTCCCGTTGGGCACACAGAATTTATGTCCTGTCTACAGTCTTATGCACAGGCCCAGCGTGCGACAGCACAGCGTATCATTATGGAATTAATAGAAAAAAGCATGCTGGGGAAAAAACTTCAAAACCACGCCCCTCTGGTCTCAAGCTCAAGGGCGCCATCTTGCCAGAGGCAGAGAGGCTGGTTGGGGTTAGTAGACTGTAGAGCTATGAAAAAGAAGTAATAGAGGACTATAGGCAGCGTCTAATGTATGAATATGGAGAGTATGCTGATTTTGTAGGGAAATGCAGAGCTAAGTTAACTTGGTGACATCTTTGTTCTCTGATGTTAAAGTGTCACAAAATGTTATGCATAAATTTCTTTAAAATATTGTATAAAGTCTTAAGGCATATATGAATATATATATATACACACACACTCTAGCCATCCTTTGCCATGCGTTGCTGTGGCCTAGTCTGTGTATATGTGTTTGTGTTTGTATGTGTGTTTATGTGTGTGTGTGTATTTGTGTATATGTGTATATATGTGTGTTTGCATATATACACACACATACACAATTTACATACACATAAACACACGGATACACAAATATATACATATACACTCACATATATATACATATATATATATATATATAGAGAGAGAGAGAGAGAGAGGGGTATATGTGTGTGTATGTGTATATATTTGTGTATCCGTGTGTTTATGTGTATGTAAATTSTGTATGTGTGTGAATGGATATAGACAAGTACACACACACAATTTACATACACATAAACACAGATACACAAATATATACACATACACACACATATACCTATATGTATATATATATATATATATATAGGTATATGTGCGTGTATGTGTATATATTTGTGTATCTGTGTGTTTGTAATGTGTATGTAAATTGTGTGTGTGCTTGTCTATATCCATATTTGTGCGTATATATGTGTGTATGTATGTGTATATGTGCGTGCACGTGTATATGTATGCATGCATTTATGTGTGTATGTATGTGTGCATGTGTCTATATATGTGTGTGTGCATATATATACATGTGTGTGTGTGTGTGTGTGTGTATGTATATATATATATATATATATATATATATATATATATATATATGCATGCGTATGAATGTGTGCATGTGTATATGTATATATGGTGTATTTTTGGACACTCGTTGGATCATTGGATTGTTAGGTGTATTGTGTCAAAATTTCATGTYAATTCATCCAGAGGTTTCTGAGTTGTTTCTCCCACAAACTAACATTACATTTATATATATATATATATATATATATATACACACACACACACACACACACACACACACACACTAGCCGCCCCCTGCCATGCGTTGCTGTGGCCCAGTCTGTGTATATGTGCATTGTGTGTGTATATACTTGTGTATATGTGTATATATGTGTGTTTGCATTTATATATGTGGTTTTGTGCATGCGTTGTAATGTGTGTTTTTTTTTATTTTTTAGCTTTTAAAATCTCTTCCATTGTGTTTTTCATTATTTTTATGAGTGATCGGTGTCTTGTGTCCAAATTTGGTGTCAATCCATCCAGTGGTTTTTGAGTTCTGTTAATCCCACTAACGAACATTACATTTTTATTTATATAGATACACACACACAATATATGTAATTATTCATACACACACACACACATAGTTATTGTTTGGTTTCAAAAATGCTAACCCCTCCATGGAAAAATAGCTTAGAAAGAAGAAAAAGTTTGGTTTTGAAATCCAGGAAAAAAATCAAATTATGTTTGCAATAACACATTAGAAATATACAACCTGCTTCTTGTATTACCACAAAATTTAAAAAATACTTTATTTCATGCACCTCGAAAGAAGAAAGAATGAAGCATTTTTACAGCTTTGGAACAAAGTACATTCAACGGTTTGTTTCTCTCTTTTTTCCTTGTTTTTCCTATGGACAAAAAGTATTTCCAGAGCTGTAATAATATAATACAATAGTATTTAACCCTTTCCAAAAGGCAAAGGCCTTCCACAGTGGCATGGCTATGGGACTGGAAATGTTGTGATACATTCCTGGCATTAAAACCCATGTTACGATTTGGCACAGTGCGTTATTTCTAGATGCAAATGGTTTCAGTTGTTGTAGTTCAGCCAGAGGCTGGAGACAAAGGGATTGTTTTCTCAGAGCCTGGGAGAGCTGATGGGTCTTGCAATGCGGGAAATGAGGGGATTTTAGACCAGGATTCACCTGAAAACACACCTGCCGTCAGTAGGAAGGTCAGGCTTAATCTTAAGGAGGAAGGAGCGAAATTACGGAGGTCACAGCGGCTTAGTGAGAAACAACTGGGTGAGAAATCTCACAAGCAAGGGAGTAAAGGTCACAGACATGACTTCATGGCTTGTGGTCCTCAAATCAGATAATTGTTTCCTTTACAATCAGATCAGGCAACACTGCTGTAACAGTGAGGATCTTAAGTCTTGCTTCATGTTCATGTTTTGGCCTAGGATCTTGACAGTTCATGGATTCATGCTTTTAAGAAGTTCTTGTATTCTTGGCTTTGGATTTACACTCATGTTTTGATTATAGTTTTGGATTTATGTCAATGTTTTGATGCTTGGATTTTCTATACCAGTGTTTCTCAACCTTCCTAATGCCACAACCCCTTAGTACAGTTCCTCATGTTGTGGTGACCCCCAACCATAAAATAATTTTGTTACTGTTGTGAACTTCAATGTAAATATCTGATATGCAGGATGTATTTTCATTCACTGGGCCAAATTTGGCACAAATACCCTATACGCCCAAATTTGAATACTGGTAGGGTGGGATGGGGGGTTGATATTGTCATTTGGGAGTTGTAGTTGCTGGGCTTTATTGTTAACTTACACTCAAAAGAACATTCTGAACTTCACCAATAATGTAATTGAACCAAAGTTGGCACACCGAACTCCCATGAGCAACAGAAAATACTGGAAGGGTCTGGTACACATTGACCTTGAGTTTTGGAGTTGTAGTTCACCTACATCCAGAGAGCACTGTAGACTCAAACAATGATGGATCTGGACCAAACTTGGCATGAATACTCAATATGCCCGCATGTGAACACTGGTGGAGTTTGGGGGAAATAGACCTTGACATTTGAGAGTTGTATTTGCTGGGATTTATTCTGAACTCCACCAACAATAGAATTGGGCCAAGCTTGGCACACAGAACCCCCATGACCAACAGAAAATACTGTGTTTTCTAATGGACTTTGGTGACCCCTCTGACCCCCACTCCTTGCGACCCCCCAAGTTGAGAAGCGCTTTTACTGAATAGAATTGGGACAGTTTGGATTACTACCTTTGGAACACTTTTTCTCATTACTTGTTTGATCTGAACTATTACTTTTTGAATGCTTTTCTCCTTTACCTCTTGGATATTGCTTTTCTTATTTCCTATGGGGATTTGCCTTTCTTTTATTCGATTCATAGAATCATAGAGTTGGAAGAGACCTGGTGGGCCATCCAGTCCAACCCCATTCTGCCAAGAAGCAGGAAAATTGCATTCAAAGCACCCCCGACAGATGGCCATCCAGCCTCTGTTTAAAAGCTTCCAAAGAAGGAGCCTCAGCCACACTCCGGGGCAGAGAGTTCCACTGTTGAACAGCTCTCACAGCCAGGAAGTTCTTCCTGATGTTCCGATGGAATCTCCTTTCTTGTGGTCATTGTTCCGCGTCCTAGTCTCCAGGTCAGAAGAAAACAAGTTTGTTCCCTCCTTCCTGTAACAAGTTTATTCTTTCAACAAACTGTTTTATTATTACTCTTGGAATTCTGGAAAGTATTGAGTGCAAGGTGAATTCTGACTGAGGTGCAACATAAATCTCAAACCAAGTATTCTTGGGTTGTTGTAGGTTTTTTGGGCTATATGGCCATGTTCTAGAAGCATTCTCTCCTGACGTTTCACCTGCATCTATGGCAAGCATCCTCAGAGGTTGTGAGGTCTGTATTCTTGGCTAAGTGTTTACATCAGGTCCCATTCATTCATCTCTTAGGGCGCATCTACACTAGATTTAACACTGCTTTATTGTGGCTGAATGCTATGGAAGTCTGGGATTTGTCATTTTGACAAGGTATGTCATTTCCTAATTGGTCCTATAATTAAAAACATAGGGTAAAACATAAAAACGAGTCTCAACCAATTCAACATAGTTTGTGGCACAAAAATGAAGTTTCTGCAGGATGACAACTACTTTCAAAGTGAGGACCACACAATCAAACAGGAAATAATACTTTCAAACTAGGAACAGAGCTTTTTCTCCCTAAATTTTTGTTTAATGGTGTAATAGCACAGACTGCATGGTGATCGGTGCATGACCCAAAGGGTTGTGTGGCTCTGAATTGGATGCACCATCTCTGTAAACAAGTCTTTCCCAAAATAAAAGAAGGTCAAGCGACAGCCTGGCCCAATGCAAAAGCCCCAGCAGGCTGACATTTCCATCTTGGCAAAACTATTAATTTCTACAGAATTCACATTTTCTTTCCCTATGGACCAAGAATGGAATCCAGATGGCAAAACGTTCTTATTTACAATCAAATTAATTGGGGCCGGTTGGTGGATGAGGAGATGGTAAGTTGATGCTCTTCAACAAATCCAGAAATGTTCACACCTCAATTAAATACTGTCTTCGTCATCTTTCAGTCCATTCTAATAGTGTGTTTACACCAGGTGTAGGCAAACCTGGGTCTTCCAGGTGTTTTGGACTTCAACTCCCACAATTCCTAACAGCCAGTAGGCTGTTAGGAATTGTGGGAGTTGAAGTCCAAAACACCTGGAGGGCCCAAGTTTGCCTATGCTTGGTCTACACCATAGGATTAATGCAGTTTGACACTAATTTAAGGGTTTTGGTCCATAGGTGACATCAATGGTATAGTTCTGATCCATGGGAATGAATGCGACCTGACCTAAATGCTTAGCCAGGACTGTCTGGATGCTATTTAAGTTGAAATGCATTGCATTAGATACAAAAGCAAAACAACAACAACATTGGTATCTGGCTCCAAACACAATATTCAGGTATATCTTCATTTATTTAATGCATTACGGTTGGAAAGATGCTCCAACAATGTGCTTAGTGACACATGTAGCTGCATGCCATCCAACGTATGGTGACCCTAAGGCAGTGGTTCTCAACCTTCCTAATGTTGTGACCCCTTCCTAATGTGGTGACCCCCAACCATGAAATTATTTTTGTTGCTACTTCATAACTAATTTTGCTACTGTTTTGAATCGTAATATAAATATCTGATATGCAGGAGGTACTGGACCAAATTTGGCACAAATACCCGATACACCCAAATTTGAATACTGGTGGGGTTGGGAGGGATTGATTTTGTTATTTCGGAGTTGTAGTTGCTGGGATTTATAGTTCACCTAAAATCAAAGAGCATTCTGAACTCCACCAACGATGGAATCGAACCAAACTTGGCACACAGGACTCCCACGACCAACAGAAAATACTGGAAGGGTTTGGTTTGCATTGACCTCGAGTTTTGGAGTTGTAGTTCACCTACATCCAGAGAGCTCTGTGGACTCAAACAGTGATGGATCTGGACCAAACTTGGCACAAATACTCAATAGACCTAAATGTGAACACTGATGGAGTTTGGGGAAAATAGACTTTGACATTTGGGAGTTTTCATTGCTGGGATTTATAGTTCACCTACAATCAAAGAGTATTCTGAACTCCACGAACGATAGAATTGGGCCAAACTTGGTACACAGAACCCACATGACCAACAGAAAATACTGTATTTTCTGATGGTCTTTGGAGACCCCTCTGACACCCCCTCATGACTCCCCCCAGGGGTCCCAACCCCCAGGTTGAGAAACGCTGATATAAACTGAGCCAAGTATATTATAAAACATTCCCATTTGCTCAAAATGCAGTGCATAGTTGACCCTAAACAACACAATTGAGATTATATCTGGACAGAAAACTTAGAATTTCATTTAGCAGCATTGATCGACAGAGGCCCCTTCTACTCTGCTATATGAACCAGGTTATCAAAGCAGATAATCAAGATTATCTGCCTTGAATCATAGAATCATAGATTCAAAGAATTGGAAGAGACCTCATGGGCCATCCAGTCCAACCCCATTCTGCCAAGAAGCAGGAATATTGCATTCAAAGCACCCCTGACAGATAGCCCTCCAGCCTTTGTTTAAAAGCTTCCAAAGAAGGAGCCTCCACCATTGAATTATATAAGTCCACACTGCCATATAATCCAGTTCAAAGTAGATAATCTGGATTTTATATGGCAGTGTAGAAGGGGCCTGATGGATAAAAACATTTGTTTTGTCCTGGTTGGCTGGCAACGCAATGGCTCTCTTCCTTTTCAAAACAATGGGTGCATCCACACTGTGGAATTAATGCACTTTGACATCACTTTAACTCCCACAAATCCCTGGAATTGTTTGGTGAGGCACCAGCACTCTTTGGCATAAAAAATTAAGACTTTATAAAACTACAAATCCCATGATTCCATATTACTGAGCCAATGTCAAACTGCAATAAGTCAACAGTGTAGATGCACATTCTGATCATGAAATGGATTGGTGTAGTCCACATCATAGGGAATTTTTAATAAAAGGGGTTGAACAAATATTTACATTATATTGGGGACAGGTATGTAATTCATTTTCTTTTTTGGTTGAAAGGAAAGTTAAATAGCTTTGGAGGAAGCCCATGTCCTTCTGGTATTGCTCTAATGTTCGTCTGATTTGACCCGATCACTTTGCAATCCTGTCTCTGGATTACAGATCATTTCAGGCTCCATCATTGCGGTATCTTTAACCACTGATTATTATAGCGACCATCAATATATATATATATATATACATAACAGCTCTCTTTAACCTGTTGCTCCCCAAAGCTGGAGCTACTATGTGCATCAGACGCCTGGTCAAGAGTCACGGCTTTTCCATTTGCATCAGCCATTATTCCTTTGATCTGGATTCATTTCTATTTTTGCTTCATCTTGGGAAGCAACCTGGCAACAAAGACAATGCCCACTGCTGAGTCTTGCTGTGGTCCATTTGGTTCTAGGTCAACCATTTCAGACAAGAAAAAGTCAACTTTCTTCGTTCTGCAATGGCTGTTCCAAGTCGTTGTGTCCTAGTGTCGAACAGAAGATCCCCTCGTCTCCAAATCCAGCATCTCCTCCATTCCACTCATCATCCTCCACAATGTCAATATGGATGGAAGTGTGGCTTAGAGACTTTGCCAAGGCGGTGTCTACCTTGGCCAGTATGGCACGACGGATAGCAACATGGCACATTTGGAAAGAACCCAGACTGGTTGGGTTTAGAAGTGTGTGCAGCATGGCTTCGGAGGTTGTGGGCGTTGCTCAATCCACCGATTTTGGACCTTGCCCCCATTCCTTCCTCTTGCAGGGAAACCTACTAGAGGCTGAAGCTGGCAAAGGGGTGCCTCAGGAGGTCCTCCGCTGTGGGCCTCCGCTTCTCCTCCACGAAGATCAGCTTGAGGAAGTTGCGGCAGGAGTCCGACACACCGTCTGGGAGCTGTGGCTTTGTGGGCTGAGTGGCGATCTTGAAGATGGCCGCCATGGCTTCGAATTCAGCCCAAGGGGGCTTTTCGGTCAACATCTCGACCACGGTGCAGCCCACGCTCCTGAAAAAGAAGAAGAAGAAGAAAGATGAGGAAGGATCCAAACCCACAGTTGCTTTAATTTGGACATGGGCCAACTTCAGTCCTCCAGGTGTTTTGAACGACAACTTCCACCATTCCTAACAGCCTGCCTGGATGGCCGAAATTTGCTAGCGACATGTTTCTCTTCATGCTTGCAGGACTAGAACCAAATGGAAGGATGCTTCTCAAAGTGAGCCATTTCCAGAATATAACCCCCGGTGGTGCAGTGGGTTAAACCCTTGTGCCAGCAGGACTGAAGACTGACAGGTTGAAGATTCGAATCCGGGGAAAGCGCAGATGAGCTCCCTCTGTCAGCTCTGGCTTCCCATGTGGGGACATGAGAGAAGCCTCCCACAAGGATGGTAAAAACATCAAGGCATCCCCTGGGCAATGTCCTTGCAGACGGCCAATTCTCTTATACCAGAAACGACCTGTAGTTTCTCAAGTCAGACAGCTTTTTTGGGTCCTTCAGCCATTTTGGCTAATGAGCAGCCGGGCAGTGTGGGAAATGTAGTTTAACAGCAGGACCTTTTGCAATCTCTACCACTGGGTGTCTGGCCTTCACAAACTAGAGTTAAAGATGGCTGTGATTAGCCACGCAGATGGGCTCCCTCTGTCAGCTCTGGCTTCCCATATGGGGACATAAGAGCAGCCTCCCACAAGGATGGTAAAAACATCAAGGCATCCTGGCATCCCCTAGGCAACGTCCTTGCAGACGGCCAATTCTCTCATACCAGAAGCGACTTGCAGTTGCTCAAGTCAGACAGCTACTTTGGGTCCTTCAGCCATTTTGGCTAATGAGCAGCCGGGCAGTGTGGGAAATGTAGTTTAACAGCAGGACCTTTTGCAATCTACCATTGGGGACCTGGCCTTCACAAACTACAGTTAAAGATGGCTGTGATTAGCCATGCTCACAACTTCCCTCCTTGCATCGCCAGTGGAAAGCATGAGATTTTAAAAGTTTTTAGGCTTTACCAAAGTTGCTTAATGGTTGTGAAAATTAAAATAACCATGGGAGACATCTGAATATTATAGAATATTTCCGGAAAAAAAGTAAGTGGTACAAATTCAGATTACCACCACCACCACCTTTCCTGCATGGTTCAAAACTGCACTGGAAATCCAAATTCGTATGCTCTCTTCCGACTTTCAGGCTTTTCTGAATGAACCTATCCAACCCTACTCCCTATAGTAGGCCTGGTTTTTGGATTTCAGCTCCCATAATTCCTAACAGCTTATATTGGGAGAAATGTGGGATGAAAACAAAATAAATATATAAAATAAATTAAAGCCAGCTTACCATACGTCCGCCTTCCTTCCATATCCTTCCCCACTGATCACTTCAGGACTCATCCAGTATGGAGTCCCCGTGACTGATTTCATCCCCGTTCCGGACATGCAGATGGTCTGGATGCGTTTGCTGGCCCCAAAGTCTCCCAGTTTCACATTCCCAGCGGAATCCCTCAAAATGTTGGCACCTAAGAAGCAAAGCAAGATTCACTTTCCAAACTGAAAACCTAGCAGCCAGATTTTGGCCCTGATCAGTTCCATGCCGAGAGGGTCATATAATGATACCTGGCAGAAGAAGAATCACAATATCTCTTTTTAGATATTTTGCTTCTTCTTCTTCTTTTAAACTTTGATTCCACAATAATGACTTTTGGGGCCCTAATGTACAGAAACACCACACATAGAATGCAATAGGTACATTTTCTCTCCCGGGCTCCAGCTTTGTTCTTTAAGGCCAGATCGGGTATTCCTTATCCGAAATGCTTGAGGACACAAGCATTTGGGATGTAGGATTTCTTCTGGATTTTGGAATACTTATATTTCCATTAAAGAGATATCTTGGAGATGCGTCTAAAAACATAATTCATTTACATCTCGTATACACCTATATATTGCCTGAAGGTAATGCTTTTGACCATTACTGTTTTGGAATGCCTGTATTTGCATACATGCATCCTTTCCACCTTATACACTTACCCTGAAGATAATGTTATACCATGTTTTAAATGAAAACATGCAAATGTGAGTAGATCAATAGGTACCACTCTGGGAAGGTAACCACGCTCCAGGCAGTCATGCTGGCCACATGACCTTGGAGGTGTCTACGGACAACGCCGGCTCTTCGGCTTAGAAATGGAAATGAGCACCAACCTTCAGAGTTGGACACTACTGGACTTAATGTCAGGGGAAAACCTTTACTAAACAATTTTGTGCACGAAATAAAGCTAGTGTACAATGGACCCATCCGAAAACAAAGGCACCACTATCTCAGCCACTGATGTGGACCATTTTGAAGGATTTCAGGATTCTGGAGAAGTATCATGGCCAGAAGTTTGTCTGGCTTGGCTCAGCTACTGCTCGGTGCTTGGAAGGGGTTAGTCCAGTGGTTCTTAGCCTATGGGTCCCCAGGTGTTTTGGCCTACAACTCCCAGCAATCCCAGCCAGTTTACCATCTGTTAGGATTTCTGGAAGTTGAAGGCCAAAATATCTGGGAACCCACAGGTTGAGAACCACTGGGTTAGTCTGACTTGGCTGCTTCAAGGGGTCAGGCTGACCTTCCTCTTCAAAGAAACTTTGGTGAGGATCTCTACAATGATGAAATGAGCAGCAGCTGAGTTCTCTGGAGAAGAAGGGGTTTGGGGGAGATCGCTCTTAGGGATCAGATAATGTCATAATCTTCATACTTGTGTCTTGGACCTTCACTGTTTCTCCTGGTTAGAACTCTGAACCCTATCCTTCTTCTTGCAATCCTCTTTTGCCATTCCTGTAACCTTATCCTGGACCTGAATTCTTGCCTTTGAATCTTGGAGCACCTGAATGACCATAAGCCACCTGAATGTGACTTATGGTCTTGGACTTCAATTTGACCCTTGACTTTTGTTTATTTATTTATTTAGTACATTTCTACCCCACCCTTCTCCCCATAAGGGGACTCAGGGTGGCTCACAGAAGCATCAAATGATGTTAACATCTACCGTTTGTCCTCTTGATTTCTGGAACAGTATTTTAAGACAGTGAACGCTTAACATTGATTTTTGGGCTGCAGACATGGCAACTGTTGTTCTTTCTCCTAAACTGGCTTTGTAGTACTCTCAGCATTAATTGGACTCTTGACTTTGGTTACCCCACCTGTGTTTTGTATTTCTGTTTTGGTTAGTCCAGTGGTTCTCCAGATGTTTTGACCCTCAACTCCCAGAAATCTTAAGTGTTGGTAAACTGGCTGGGATTTATGGGAGTTGTAGGCCAAAACACCTGGGGAGCCCAAGGTTGAGAACCACTAGGTTAGCCAGACCTTTGAAAAACTCTAAATTTCAGTTCTCAGTTTAAGTCAATCTGGTCTTTGCTCATCCTGTGTTTGATTAAACACTACCTAGATCAGTGGTTCTCAACCTGTGGGTCCCCAGATGTTTTGGCCTTCAACTCCCAGAAATCCTAATATAGCTGGTAAACTGGCTGGGATTCTGGGAGTTGTAGGCCAAAACACCTGGGGACCACAGGTTGGGAGAACCACTGATAGATATCATATGCTTTTCTCTTCAGATCATTTGCTCCAAACCTGTTCTGTATTTCCTCTACTTAAGTGGTTCTCAACCTGGGGTCCCCAGATGTTTTTTGGCCTTCACCTCCCAGAAATCCTAACAGCTGCTCAACTGGGTGGGATTTCTGTGAATTGTAGGCTAAAAACATCTGGAGACCCCAAGTTGAGAACCACTGACTTAGGATCTACACCAGGGTTGGTGATTGTCCAATCAGCCAAAGTGTTTTCTGCCCACTTCCCATCAGAGAGGGAAAAAGAAATGGTCCAAAAATGTCCCACCTCACTTCCACGGTCTCTAGTAAGTGTGATTCTCCCATTTAAAGCTACTCCAGCCTTCACATTTGAGGTCCCAAATTGTATTCTTCATGAGCTAGGATCTTCTCCCATTCACTTCTGAAGCAAGGATTGAGCCCAGCTGAAAGCAAGTGCTAGAAAATGGATCCAGAGCACTATAAGCTGTCCACCCCATATCTACACCTACCTTTGATATCCCTGTGTACAATCATGTTGCTGTGCAGGTAGAAAACCCCTTGCAGGATCTGCCTGGTGTACTTCCGAGTCACGTTCTCTGTTAGGGCCCCGTAGGCTTTCAGTTGGTCTTTGACCGAACCCTAAAAAATACAAATGGTTAGCATAAACGGCCCTATACATTTGGAGGGTCTGACTTCTGCATTCATGGATTTTATTAAAATGGGAACAATAGAATCATAGAGTTGGAAGAGACCTTGTGGGCCATCCAGTCCAACCCCCTGCCAAGAAGCAGGAAAATAACATTCAAACACCTCCCACAGATGGCCATCCAGCCTCTGCTTAAAAGCTTCCACCACACTCCACAGCAGAGAGTTCCACTGTTGAACAGCTCTCACAGTTAGGAAGTCCTTCCTAATGTTTAGGTGGAATCTCCTTTCCTATCATTTGAGGCCATTGTTCCATTGCATCCTAGTCTCCAGGGCAGCTGAAAGGAAGCTGTCTGAGCCACCCACAAGGATAATTTTGGAGCATTTCAAATAAGGGATGCTCAAGCTGTATAAATAAAGGGTGGAAAGTTTTACAAGGGTTGAATGAAAAGTAATGCCTCCACCTTCGTAACTCCTCAACAGATGGCAGTATGGGTATGCAGCAGGTACTGGCTTGTTCAGTAGACTCTCCTCTACAGTTCCATTTTGGCAGGAAGCCTTAGCATTGAACAGTTGTGTTGTAAAAGTGTGAAGTATGGAACCCTGCTTTGGGTCAATGCGACTTAAGCAACGTGCAGTCACTGAATTCTTGACAGCAGAAGGTGTCACCTCAAAGGAGATTCATCAGAGAATGCAAGCTGTTTATGGTGATTGTGTTGATGTGAGTACTGTGCATCGTTGGGTGAGTAAGTTTAAAGATGTTGAGGTGGGAACATCTGACTTGCATGACAAACAAGAGTTGGACGTCCTGTGACAGCAACCACCGAGTTTCACAAGCAAATGTTGACAGATTGATTCAGGACTATCATTGTATCACTCAAAGAGAAATTTCAAGCATAATTGGCATTTCACAAGAACGTGTGGGTCACATTATTGCTTTGCTTGACTATTGGAAGATCTGTGCACGATGGGTTGTGGAAACAGTGTGTCGACTTCTTCTGTGACAGCTTCAGAAAACTTGTTCATTGTTGGCAGAAATGCATCCAATTGTCTGGTGATTAGTGGTATAGTGAATAGTGGTAGTTAAAGAGCACATTTTTGGATTATTTCTGCGTTTGATGTATTAAAATACTAGCCATCCCCTGCCACGCGTTGCTGTGGCCCACATGGGGTTCTGTGTGGGAGGTTTGGCCCAATTCTATCGTTGGTGGGGTTCAGAATGCTCTGTGATTGTAGGTGAACTATAAATCCCAGCAACTACAACTCCCAAATGTCAAGATTCTATTTCCCCCAAACTCCACCAGTGTTCACATTTGGGCATATTGAGTATTCGTGTAGAGTTTGGTCCAGATCCATCATTGTTTGAGTCCACAGTGATCTCTGGATGTAGGTGAACTACAACTCCAAAACCAAAGGACACTGCCCACCAAACCCTTCCAGTATTTTCTGTTGGTCATGGGAGAACTGTGCCAAGTTTGGTTCAATTCCATCGTTGGTGGGGTTCAGAATGCTCTTTGATTGTAGGTGAACTATAAATCCCAGCAACTACAACTCCCAAATGGCAAAATCATTTTTTTGAGTGAAGGACATACATTGGGTTGTTAGGTGTCTTGTGTCCAAATTTGGTGTCAATTCGTCCAGTGGTTTTTGAGTTCTGTTAATCCCACAAATGAACATATATATATATATATATACACACACACACATACATACACACACGCACACACTAGCTGTACCCACCCATGCCTTGCTGTGCATATGTTGTAATGTATTTTTTGTTTTTTGACTTTTTAAGTCTCATGTGTTGTTTTTCAGTGTTTTTTTATGAGTGATGGTCACTCGTTGGCCTGATAGGTGTATTGTGTCCAAATTTGGTGTCAATTCGCCCAGTGGTTTTTGAGTTATGTTAATCCCACAAACGAACATTACATTTTTATTTATATAGATTCCCATCCAAACCCAAGTAATGAAGGTGGAGGCGTTACTTTTCATTCAACCCATTCCCCAAGTGTAGTTGTGCATTTCTGGGGGTGCATCATGTGCCAATCCGTTTCCCTCTGGTTACAAAGCAAAACAACCCACTCCTGCCAAATGGAAACAAACTCCCGCTCGCTCGACCAAAGCACTCGTGGTTTTGCAAAAGAAAAACAAATACGACCATCTGTGTCATTCGGAAACCACTGCTGTTCAAGCCAATGTGCTTCCTGGATTGGAAAAAAGGGGGATTATTTAAACATTAACATGTTTTGTTGTCCCACACGGAATCACTCGCTCCTTGCAACCCAGACAAGGGGCCATGTATACAGCAATCTGGGTGCATCCAAATGCAAGCTTCTTCTGATCCTGGTTCACCCCAAACTGCAACTGATTGCACTAGTCTGGCCCCGGCATGTTTTGAAAAGCACAAAAAGTCTCATAGACAAAGAAAAACCTTGTTTCCGGAAGCAGGGATCGCTTCCTGTGGATTCTTCCATGAAATACTTTTTAAATGCCAAGTGATAGTAGCTGTATAGTGCGGGAGGAGAGGAACAGGCTGTTCTATGTATATGGGATAGATATAGACACACACACACACCATATTCTCCCCCAAAGTAAGACTGGGTGTGTCCAGAGGAGGGCAACTAAAATGATCAAGGGTCTGGAGAACAAGCCCTATGAGGAGCGGCTTAAAGAGCTGGGCATGTTTAGCCTGAAGAAGAGAAGGCTGAGAGGAGATATGATAGCCATGTATAAATATGTGAGAGGAAGCCACAGGGAGGAGGGAGCAAGCTTGTTTTCTGCTTCCATGGAGACTAGGACACGAAACAATGGCTCCAAACTATAAGAAAGGACATGAGGAAGAACTTCCTGACTGTGAGAGCCGTTCAGCAGTGGAACTCTCTGCCCCTGAGTGTGGTGGAGGCTCCTTCTTTGGAAGCTTTTAAACAAAGGCTGGATGGCCATCTGTCAGGGGTGATTTGAATGCAATATTCCTGCTTCTTGGCAGGGGGTTGGACTGGATGGCCCATGAGGTCTCTTCCAACTCTTTGATTCTATGATTCTATGGGTCTTATATTAATTGATGCTTATTTTCAGGGGACGAAGCCCCTAGTGGCGCAGTGGGTTAAACTGCTGAGCTAAGGAACTTGCTGACCAAAAGGACACCAGTTCAAATCCAGGGAGTGGGTGAGCTCCCGCTGTTAGCCCCAGCTTCTTCCAACCTAGGAGTTTGAAAACATGCAAATGTGAGTAGATCAATAGGTACTGCTCTGTGGAGGGGGTGCTCATCTCCATTTCTAAGCTGAAGAGTCAGCAATGTTGTAGACACCTCCAAGGTCATGTGGCCAGCGTGACTACATGGTGTGCCGTTATCTTCCCACCGAAGTGGTATCTATTGATCTACTCACATTTGCATGTTTTCAAACTGCTAGGTTGGCAGAAGCTGGGGATAACAGCGGGAGCTCATGCTGCTCCCCAGATTCTAACCTGTGACCTTTCAAACAGCAAGTTCAGCAGCTCAGCTGTTTAATAATAATAATAATAATAATAATACTTTATTTATACCCTGCCACCATCTCCCCGAACCTGACATCCGCTGGGAAATAGCAGCCAATAGTGAAAGGACCAAGGCAGAGATATCTCCAGCTCATCCCTTGTTTGGGCATCAGCCAGCATGTCAACGACTTAAATCAAGAAATAGTTTTCTAAGATCTACGGAGACACTCGCTGGAACACCCCAGCAAGTGAGAGTCCAAAAGTGGCAGGCTCAAACCCAGAACCTCAATCAATGGCTGATACCAAATGAGAGACTCCCCCCTGGGCACACAGAAAACTGGGCGACTTGGAAGGCGCTGAACAGACTGCGCTCTGGCACCACGAGATGCAGAGCCAACCTTAAGAAATGGAGCCACAAAGTGGAGTCCACAACATGCGAATGTGGAAAAGAGCAAACCACAGACCACCTATTGCAATGCAGTCTGAGCCCTGCCACATAAATAAATAAATAAATTTCCCCGAAGGGACTCAGGGCCGCTTACATGAGGCCAAGCCCGTCAAACCAAATACAACAATACATCAACAAACAAGCAAGCAAAACAATATGAATAATACAGTTGAACATATAAACAATAACACACAAAAGATTTAAAAAAATATGGTAAGGCCAGATGTAGATTAAAATTTTAAAAMCCTGGGCATGTACAGAGTAGGGTATGTCTAGGCATGGGGGKTTTTAAAGAGTGATATGGGGGGATCAATCCAACGGATAGATAAAGTGCTTCAGAGGACGTATAGAAGGAAATTGGTCAGATCAGGCATTATTTCCTTCATTCAGGGAAGGCACACTGGAACAGCCAYGTTTTCAAGCTCCTCCTAAAGACTGCCARGGTGGGGGCTTGCCTGATATCTTTAGGGAGAGATTTCCAGAGTCAGGGGGCCACCATAGAGAAGGCCCTCTCCCTYGTCCCCACCAATTGCRCCTGCGAATGGGGTGGGAGCGAGAGCAGGGCTTCCCCAGATGAATGAAGAGATTGCGTGGGTTCGTAAACAGAAATGCGGTCACACAGGTAGGCGGGTCCCAAACCATTCAGGGCTTTGTAGGTAAGAACCTGCACCTTGAGTTTGGACCGGAAGATGAACGGCAGCCAATGGAGCTCTGTAAACAGYGGTTGACCGCTCCCTGTAAGTCGCTCCTGTTAGTAACCTGGCTGCCGCCACCGTGGGCTCCTAATCTGAACTTACCCCTGGCATATATTCTACAAAGATGGACAACTTCCTCTCCTCGGCATCCCGCAAGCAGCCGTAATACTGAACAATCCTCTCATGGCGGAGGGTTTTGAGCAGCTGGATCTCACATTCTAAAGCATTCACCTCCTGCAATAAAAAGAGGAAAAAAGGAAGAGTTGTGGGCATGGGCATTTTTGTGCAAGAAGTATGGCTTGCCAAACATAGGCTACAAAAGTGGGACTCAATGCGACTTACTATTTTGAACAGAAATTATTTTGGCTACCTTTGCCAACTCTTCTGCCTTTTGGGTTGTTGTAGGTTTTTTTGGGCTATATGGCCATTTTTGGGCTATATGGCTGGAATCACTGGGTTGTCGTAGGGTTTTTTGGGCTATATGGCCACGTTCTAGAGGCATTCTCTCCTGACGTTTCGCCTGCATCTATGGCAAGCATCCTCAGAGGAAGTGAGGTCTGATCTATGGATGCTTGCCATAGATGCAGGCAAAACATCAGGAGAGAATGCCTCTAGAACGTGGCCATATAGCCCAAAAAACCCTACGACAACCCAGTGATTCCAGCCATGAAAGCCTTCGACAATACATTGAACATCTTCTGCCCTTTGCCTGTACTCACTTTGCTCGTCTCTTGGCTGTCGGGATCGAAAGGCACCTGCTTTACGGAGAGTTCCCGTCCAGTGTCAACATCATAGCAGAGGTAGACTTCTCCAAAGGCACCTCGGCCCAATAATTTCCCAAGCCTCCAATTCACAGGTGCTTGCAATGCTACGGGACAAGGAAAGACATGCTCAGCAAAAGCACAAATACACAGACCTACAAAAATCCAAAGTTCCAAAATCTCCCAAATACAGATGTTTTTTTAAAAAAAATATTCTAGTCCTCGTGGCTTTCATTTATTGGATTTATATCCTACCTTTCACTCATTTCTGATAGCATTGTCTCCCCATAATTGGGTGAGACCAAAGATGGAATCTTAAGCAGTTTGTTTACATAGCAAACGATTGCAGAAATAGATCTTTATTGTACAAGATTTGTACAAGCTTTGAAACTAAAAGCAGCAGTAAAATCATCCCCGAACCCTTTCATTGCTTTTTTGCAGTTCAATTAGAATAATCTGATAGGCTAAAAAGTGAAGTCTAACTGTGGACTTGCACAAAGGCAGTAAATTGCAATTAAAGCAGAATGATACTGTATTTGCCTTGGACTTATCAAACCAAGTTATATCTCTCCTGTTTCCGCTTTGTATTTCAATCATTAGTGAAGTGCCTCTTTTCATTGACAGGAAAAACTCATCGATTACTCCCAATATTGCTGTTTTTCCAATATTGCCTCTGGTGCAATATGTCCAATTCACTGCGGTTGTGATATTCCAGCATGCATGATTCTTCTCTTCTCCCCTTTCTATTTCTAAGCAGAGTTAAGAGGCTTCCCCCCCCCCCCAAATGTGCTTTTATTTTATATTTCTCTCCTTTTTTATTTTATTGCTTTTCCTTAATTGCGCAATCACACATATGCTGTGAAGGAAGATGGTTGAGCAATCACAGAACTAACTATACATTGCCAAAGCATTGCCATAGCGCAATTGAAGAGGTGTGATAGTGAGTTATTCTGGAATGTTTCCACTTACTTCAACAATGCTATTTCTGCAAAGCAACAGGCTGGTGTGATAAAGTCCTATATTAAGTGTGCAATGGCAACTTGGGACACTTTTAATCGTGTCCATGCAGGGACCTAAGATGGTCTTCATGGTAAACATCACATTCAATACCCCATCAAGAAGTATTTTCATATGCCAATTTGTCTGAAGAGCCCATCAGATCACCTCCCAGCCAACATCAAATTTTCTATCTCTGAATCAAACTCAAGACATACTGACTCCTATCGTAATAAAATCTCCATTCAGATCCAGACACCCAATGGAAACCCACCAGGAGGTAACCTACTGTTCCTGGTCTTGTCAGGAGAAGAGCCGAAGCCTTGGAAGATTTTGTCGCAGTTGTGCCACCACTTGTTGCCTCCGCGCTCCTCGTACCGCAAGGTGACAAGCTTGTCTCCGTTATAGCTCTTTGTTCGACTGGACGGCAGAAGCTGGAACTGGTTTTGTGGAGGAACATAACTTCTAGGAAAGGTCCTTCGGCCTTTGAAAATAGTGAAGAAAAAGGACCCGAATCAGAGATGGATGAAGTGGACTGCCTATGCTGCTAACATTGCTCTAAGTCCTCCATTTATGTTCAGACTTTCCCTAAACACACTGCTTGGAATCTTGGTGTTCTGTCGCGCGCTGGGCCTGTAACCTGTATTTTTCTATAGGACGTATACTTTAAGCCCAGCGGGAAGCCAGGGGGCCTCAAAGAGAGGTTCTCAGGGATTTTTCTGAAGTGATGGTCTTTAGAGTCTTTAATGATACAACAAAGTCTTTATTATGGAACAAACAACAAATCTTCAATGGTTCAAACCACTTCAAGCCTTTCTTAGTCTAGTCCTCAATGGACTGGTACCTGACTTTGATTAACTAAACTATCTCTGTAGGAAAAGCCCCTTTTAACCTCTCCCAGGCTGCTTTCTATCTATACCTCATCAGTGTGGGACCTACTACCAATTCCAAATGCGTCTGGGTATCGATCTACCAGCCGAGGCTTGAAGATATTTCAGCTGGAGTTCAGTGGATCTGTAATGCTGTCTTCCCTCTGAGAATTCTTTGAAACTTCAGGGCTGTTTTCCCTTTGTTGCTGTGAGGCTGAGAGGCTGTGAGCTCTCAGCCAGAGCTTTTGGGACCTTTCCCCTGGAATTTCTGTTTCTGTATCCCCGGACTAATCCCCGGAGAAAGGAAGCTTTTCTACGGGACAAGGTGGTCTACGTCCTATAGCTTAGCTACCTTGCATGAGACTGCCCAAAAAAAGGCTCCTTTCCCTCCCAGAGCCCAGAACAAGGGGCAGAACCAAAGCTTAATTATGATGGACAGGAGGCCTGCCCTATGACTGCAAAACAGATAACAGAAAGAAAATAAAGTTGGAGCTCCTGGTACAGCCGTACCAGCACATTTGGTTTAAAATCAAAAGTGGAACGAGGCTTGTGTTAATTGTTGATGGGCTGATTAACAATGGCTTTTGCTTTCACTGTGGCCTAATTCAGTTTCATGATGTCAATTACAAGCATAGTCATATAGTCCAAGGTCAGCCAATCTCAAGAAAAACAAGCTTTCAAGGAAAATCCAGTCCTGATTTAATCTAATCACCAAACTTACAACCGATAAATCTGTCCAAAACTCCAAAGAGTGTTCACAGCTCTTCAGAGCACAGAATCCAAGGTTTGGTTTCAAACGTTGCCACCAGCAATTAGATAGCATATTGCAAAGCTTTAAATGCTGCTTTCATAGCTGATGTCTATCTCTGGCCATTCTCTCATCAATTCTGATTGAATGTCTCAACTGAGATTTTTCTCTTCTCTGTTCCAGAAAAGAAGGCAGTATTGACCCTTCTTCAGCCTGCTTGGCCAGCAAGCTGAGTAGTTGTTGCTTCTGGCTATGGCTGAGGGTGTTGTTCTTGACCAGGTTCTAGTTCCACATCCAATCCCTCATCCACACTATCCGTGACACATGAACCAACTATATTTGTTCCACTGTATTAATCTTTCATTTCTCTCTAAGTGTTTCTTGCATATTTGCCCCTCTGTTGCAGCTACGATTAGAGATAACCAAAGCAGCATTGAGTTCCAAAGTTCAAAAGAATATGATAAAAGGAACCTTGTCAATCAGTTTTATCCTTTCACATCTCACCACGCTAAAACAGTGGATGTGGCTCTTAAAGAGACATGCCACATTATCACGGTGTGTCTGCGCCCTACACCACTGGAGAAATTACACTGCTTAGCCAGTATTGCACCACCTGACATCTGCCGGGAAGTAGCAGCCAATAGTGAAAGGACCAAGGCAGTGACATCTCCAGCTCATCCCTTGTTTGTGTATCAGCCAGCACGTCAACGACTTAAATCAAGAAATAGTTTTCTAAGATCTACAGAGACACTCGCTGGAACACCTCAGCAAGCGAGAGTCCAAAAGTGGCAGGCTCAAACCCAGAACCTCAATCAATGGCTGATACCAAATGAGAGACTCCCCCTGGGCACACAGAGGACTGGGCGACTTGGAAGGCGCTGAACAGACTGCGCTCTGGCACCACGAGATGCAGAGCCAACCTTAAGAAATGGGGCTACAAAGTGGAATCCCATGACATGCGAGTGTGGAGAAAAGAGCAAACCACAGACCACCTGCTGCAATGCAACCTGAGCCCTGCCACATGCACAAGGGAGGACCTTCTTGCAGCAACACCACAGGCACTCCAAGCGGCCAGATACTGGTCAAAGGACATTTAATCAACTACCAAGTTTGCAAACTTTGTGGGTTTTTTATCTGTTAGAAATGTAATACGTACCCTGACACGATAAATAAATAAGCCTGCTGAGTAGTTGTTGCTTCTGGCTATGGCTGAGGGAGTTGTTGTTCTTGACCAGGTTCTAGTTCTACATCCAATCCCTCATCCACACTATTCGTGCCACATGAACCAACTAGATTTGTTCCACATTTCTCTCCCTAAGTGTTTCTTGCATATTTGCTCCTCTGTTGCAGCTATGATTGGAGATAACCAAAGCAGCATTGAGTTCCAAAGTTCCAAAGAACATGATATCAATCGATTATATCCCTTCAAAATTGGAATCCATTGCATCCATGTGATCTACAGTGAGACAATGCACAGCTAAATCGCTCTCTCACAAATTCCTATTCAAGACACAATCTCTGTGGAAGCTTCTCCTGAAACAACAGGCTTACCGTCATTGTAGTCCTTGCGAGTCTGGGAGAGATGATACTGCCTTGGGAAGGTACCGCCTTTCCCAAATCTGTCACAGAACGGGATATCAAAATCTGGGGAAAGACAAACAAGTTAAACAACAAGGAAATAAGAAAGGAATTTTGCCTGCTTCACTGTCTACACAAAGATATGAACCACAAAATAATGATGGCAGAACCCAACCAAGGTTTAGACCAAACTTGGACCCTCCAGGTGTTTTGGACTTCAACTCCCACAATTCCTAACAGCCTACCGGCTGTTAGGAATTGTGGGAGTTGAAGTCCAAAACACCTGGAGGGTCCAAGTTTGCCCATTCTCGATTTAGACTGAAATAAATGCAGAACCACCACTTTGAAAGACAACTTTCAGAGAACTTTTTGTGGTTGTGTGTCTTTGACTCGGCCATCCCAAGAACCACAAAGTGAGCCACATGTTTGAGCTTCAGAAGAAACTCTTTTACAGAAGAGCCTGAGCATTGCAACCCCATTAAACCTCTGCACATCCACATGACCTTATTTGCAGTTCCGCTCCATGGCTTGGCCCAGCAACACTGCATCAAGCCAAACATTGTCTTTTCATCCTCTGGGCCCCTGGCCATGTATTCATTTTTTAAGAGCATAGGTCATTACAATATAACAATGATGAAATTTTCCATGATTTCACCCGCCGCACATGTATGCTTCAGCAAAAGTCTCCAAGCAGAGAAAGAGCTGCATGTTTCATATGAAGTCCTTGAATATTCATTCTTTAGTATCAACAGCCCAATACTGAAGCTTCATGCTTTACCTAAACTCTTATCACTCCTAGATGTCAGGTAACATTTGCTTCCACTGCTATGAAGTGCAAAACCATGGGATAATATACATTGTGATTGGAGATTTGGAATCGTGGAGCTGGAGGAGACCCCAAGGACCATCTGGTCCAACCCCAATCTACCAAGTAGAAGACACAATCCAAGACCTCCCAACAAATGGCAATTTTGCCTCTACTTAAAACAGTGTTTCTCAACCTGGAGGTCAGGATCCCTGGGTGGGGGGTCGTGAAAAGGAGGTGTCAGAGGGGTCACTAAAGACCATCCAAAAACACAGTATTTTCTGTTGGTCATGGGGGTTCTGTGTGGGAACTTTGTCCCAATTCTATCCTTGGTGGGGTTCGGAATGCTCTTTGATTGTAAATGAACTATAAGTCCCAGCAACTACAACTCCATAATGTCAAAGTCTATTTTCCCTCAGACTCCACATTTGAGCATATTAGGTAAAATCCATCAGCTGGTCCTAGTCTTTCAATGTTCCTGTCACCTACCTGTGTGTTATGGGTCCCTTCCACATTTGTGCCACCATAGAATCATAGAATCAAAGAGTTGGAAGAGACCTCATGGGCCATCCAGTCCAACCCCCTGCCAAGAAGCAGGAATATTGCATTCAAATCACCCCTGACAAATGGCCATCCAGCTTCTGTTAAAACCCTTCCAGTATTTTCTCTTGGTCATGGGAGTTCTGTGTGCCAAGTTTGGTTCAATTCCATTGTTGGTGGAGTTCAGAATGCTCTTTGATTGTAGGTGAACTATAAATCCCTGCAACTACAACTCCCAAATGACAAAATCAATCCCCCCCCCCAACCCCACCAGTATTAAAAATTGGGTGCATTGGGTATTTGTACCATATTTTGGTCCAACATATGAGATATTTACATTATGATTCATTAGAAAAATTATAGTTATGAAAATAATTTTCTGGTTGGTGGCCACCACAACATGTATAAATATGTGAGAGGAAGTTATAGTCATGTGAGAGGAGGGAGCAAGCTTGTTTTCTGCTTCCCTGGAGACTAGGATGCGGAACAATGGCTTCAAACTACAAGAAAGGAGATTCCATCTGAACATGAGGAATAACTTTTTGATTGTGAGAGCCGTTCAGCAGTGGAACTCTCTGCCCCGGAGTGTGGTGGAGGCTCCTTCTTTGGAAGCTTTTAAACACAGGCAGGATGGCCATCTGTCAGGGGTGCTTTGAATGCAATATTCCTGCTTTTTGGCAGGGGGTTGGACTGGATGGCCCATGAGGTCTCTTCCAACTCTATGATTCTATGATTCTATTAAGGGGCAGTGGCATTAGGAAGGTTGAGAAACACTAGTTTAAAACCGTCCGGAGAAGGAGTCTCCATCACAGTTCCATCATATTCCACTGTTGAAAAGCCCTTCCTAATGTTTAGGCATAACTACAGGACATGAGATTCCACTAAACATTAAGACATCTTATGGATATGCCATTCTCATGCATTCCAAGCTTTCAAGAAGCCTCCAAGCTTCTCTTTGGGTCTCAGTCTTACCTAGACATTCAAGGCTATCTTTGGCTTCTCTCTTCCGTCTCGAAACAGGCGTTTGGCTAAAAGGAGGGCTGCAGGAAGGAGCAGAAACAACACATAAGGTTCAGCAATAGTCTTGGTTTACTGTGCTTCCGAGAGTATGCAAAGAAATTCACATACAACAGACTTGTAAGACATATCAACATTATTATTCTCCTGTTGCAGATCTCCCACAGGCTCAGGACTCTGGCTTCGCTTACACAAATAAGTTCTGACTAGAGTTTTCTGAAATCTTCCAGTGCAATTCTATAGGATGCCTCAGTTGGAAGTTGACAATAGGGAGGATCTAGAAATACTAGGAAGATGTTCCCTCTAGACACATTGAGTTCATCCAATGAGATTATATGGTAAGCTTCAAGTAGATGTTGGCCACAGAGTCATGCTGAAAGACCTAGAAATGTTTGCTAGTATTTGATAGACCCTCCAGTGTAATTCTATGGTAGACTTCCAATAGCAGTCATTAATTTCAATACAGTTCACTGCTATATGTGTTTTTGTGTTTCCACAGTAGGCCAAGGAACTTACTCCTTGCAGATATGGGCGTTATAACATATAAGTCATCCAAACATCTCAACGTATTAGCTATGGAAGGGATGCCTGAATCCCATTTACGTTTTTTCTTCCCTTACATTTCTTCAAAGGCATATGCAAGATGTGATATTACTGGGGAAACATCATCACTTGTGGTTCTTCTACTAGACTTCGTCAAATCATGGATGAGAAGCAGGCTGGTTGTTATATGAGAATTGAACTGAAGACCTCTTGGTGTACCATTCATTTCTCTAGTGATGGATGTCACCATAATGACCATGTCCACCATCAACTTTAAGCTTCCATTGTCCATTGCAGAGCTTCAAACCGTTACTTTTTCAGATGGCACCTCTAAGAAACCCCTGACATTATAACATGAGGATTTTGGAAGCTGGAGTCCCAACAAATAACAGTTCATGGACTCTACAAGACCTTCTTTACCTGTCTACGGATCGGTCCAAGGACTGGCAGCTTCCTGAGAGGGAGCCATCTGGACTGATGAAGGATTCCAGCAACTTTGGAAAAGAAGTAGAAATGGAAAAGCTCATAAACATTTCGAAACAATTGCATCTTATTTTTGACTGCTAGAAGCACATCATAGCATTTGCCCAAATGTGGAAGGCTAATTGTATTGGTGTGACAGAGAATACAAACTATAGATTTGAATTAGATTCAAGAGGCCCATTGCTGGAAGCTGTTTATGAAGTATTTAATGATGTTCTACTTAGAAATTAAGACCTATGATTGGGTTGTTGTAGGTTTTTTCGGGCTATATGGCCATGTTCTAGAGGCATTCTCTCCTGACGTTTCGCCTGCATCTATGGCAAGCATCCTCAGAGGTAGTGAGGTCTGTTGGAACTAGGAAAATTGGGTTTATACATCTGTGGAATGACCAGGGTGTGACAAAGAACTCTTGTCTGTTGGAGCTAGGTGTGAATGTTTCAACTGACCACCTTGACTAGCATTTGATGACCTGGCAGTTTTTTCGTGTGGCCTGTTAGTGCCTGGGGGAATCTTTTGTTGAGAGGTCATAGAATCATAGAATCAAAGAGTTGGAAGAGACCTCATGGGCCATCCAGTCCAACCCCCTGCCAAGAAGCAGGAATATTGCATTCAAATCACCCCTGACAAATGGCCATCCAGGCTTTGCTTAAAAGCTTCCAAAGAAGGAGCCTCCACCACACTCCGGGGCAGAGAGTTCCACTGCTGAACGGCTCTCACAGTCAGGAAGTTCGACTGTGATTAGCTGTCCCTGATTGTTTCCCCTCTGTTGTTTTGCTGTTGTAATTTTAGAGTTTTTTAAATACTGGTAGCCAGATTTTGTTAATTTTCATGGTTTCCTCCTTAATGTTGAAGTTGTCCACATGCTTATGGATTCCACAGATATATAAACCAAATTTTCCTAGTTCCAACAGACCTCACAACCTCTGAGGATGTTTGCCATAGATACAGGTGAAACGTCAGGAGAGAATGCCTCTAGAACATGGCCATATAGCCCGAAAAAAACTACAACAACCCAGTGATTCTGGCCATGGAAGTCTTCGACAATACAAAGACCTATGATATTTAGAACCCAGTCATTTAACTCTTGCTGCCTGCTCCCCCCAAATATACCCTCATTAAGTTGTTAAGACTTACATTTTGGTCCATAGTTTCGGGAATAAACTCCCCTTCGCTATTGATACTTGTGTAGGAACCTTGTCGAGCGATCTGCTGTTGCTCTTCAGGCACGCTTCCAGGAGGTGGAGAACTTCGTCCTGTGTGCAAGGAACCTGCAAGAAGAAAAGATAGAGGAGGGATTGAGGATTTCACTGAGAAATTGAAACAAGTCTTCCAACAGTTTGCCCAAGGTGCATGGACTGCAAAGGAAATGACTCCACAAAGCGGGGGTAGGCATTATTTATTTATTTATTTGCTGTATTTGTATACCGCCTTTCTCAGCCAATCGACGACTCAAGGCGGTTTCCAACAAATCAGTACACATAAAATATAATATAAATTAAGACATTAAACAGTATAAAACACCACAAGATCAATAAAAACAACATCATTAGCATCTTATTATCAAGCTTTATCCAGTCTGACTTGGCCACGGTGGTCCATGCTCTGGTTACATCCTGTATAGACTACTGCAACGCTCTCTACATGGGGTTGCCTCTGAAGACTGCCCGGAAGCTGCAATTAGTCCAACGAGTGGCAGCCAGGAGAGGGGTACAGGGAGCATACTACTCCTCTGTTGCGTCAGCTCCACTGGCTGCCAATTAGCTTCCGAGCACAATTCAAAGTGCTGGTGTTGACTTACAAAACCCTAAACGGTTCCGGCCCAGTTTACCTGTCCAAACGGATTCTCCCCTATGGACCATCAAGGTTGTTAAGATCTTCTGGAGGGGCCCTGCTCTTGGTCCCACCACTTTCGCAAACGCGTCTGGTGGGGACAAGAGACAGGGGCTTGTCGGTGGTGGCCCCTCGATTGTGGAACTCTCTCCCGATGGAGATTAGATCTGCCCCTTCCCTCCTGACCTTCAGAAAGCTAGTGAAATCCTGGCTCTGGGACATAGCATTCTCAGAATGATTGGGAAGTTCAGCAATTAGCTAATAACTACTGACCACACTGGCGGATTGAGATGAATGTGATTTTATCTTGGCGACTTGGTTTGTGTATTTATTCTGTTGTATTTAACTTTTTGATGTGATTATGTTTTTAATTGTTTTTGTGTACTAATTTATGCTGTAAGCTGGCCTGAGTCCCTCTATAGAGGTTGAGAAGACCGGGGTATAAAGGTTTTGAATAAATAAATAAATAATAGTTCCATTGTCAAGTCATTCAATTTCCTATATTAGCTACTCTGCATTTGTGAACGCTTGCTCGAACAGCCATGTTTTTACTTGCCTATGAAACATTAAGAGTGAGGGAGCAGATCTGATCTCCCTAGGCAGGGTGTTCCATAGCCGAGGGGCCACCACTGAGAAGGCCCTGTCTCTCATCCCCACCAAACATACTTGTGACGAAGACGGGACCAAGAGCAATGCCTTCCCAGATTATCTTAAAGTTCTCGATGGTTCGTAAGGGAAGATATGTTCAGATAGGTAAATTGGGCCAGGACTGTTTAGGGCTTTATAGGCCAAAGCCAGCACTTTGAATTGGGCCCGGTAGCAAACCGGCAGCCAGTGGAGCTGGCGCAACAGGGGGGTTGTATGCTCCCTGAGTGATGCTCCTGTTAGCAACCTGGCTGCTGTTTGTTGTACTAGTTGAAGCTTCTGGACCGTCTTCAAAGGCAACCCCACGTAGAGCGCGTTGCAGTAGTCTATACAGGATGTAACCAGAGCGTGGACTACCGTGGCCATGAGACTTTGCAGAACCATACCACTCATCATCTCGACTTCATGGGAACCCCATGAATGGAAGATTTCTACGTCCCCTGACTTTCAACAGCTATGCTCAGCTTTTGCAGACTCAGGACATCCATGGCTTTCCTGGTTGAGTCTATCCATCTGCAGTGTTTTTTTTTCTTATTGCCTTGTTGTTGTTTGCCTTCCAGTCCCTTCTTTTTTATAGTGACTTTATCACCATAAAAATTTTAATTGTGGTGCTGGAGGAAAATTCTGAAAGTGCCTTGGACTGCAAGAAGATCCAACCAGTCCATACTTTAGGAAATAAAACTCAACTGCTCATTGGAGGGAAGGATAGTAGAGGCAAAAATGGCCACATCATGAGAAGACAAGAAAGCTTAGAGAAGACAATGATCCTGGGGAAAATGGAAGGAAAAAGGAAGAGGGGCCAACCAAGGGCAAGATAGATGGATGGCATCTTTGAAATGACTGGCTTGACTCTGAAGGAGCTGGGGGTGGCCACAGCTGACAAGGAGCTCTGGTGTGGGCTGGTCCATGAGGTCACGAAGAGTCGGAATTGACTGAATGAATAAACAACAAAATCACAGGACTTGTCCCCCACAATTTGGTGCATGCTGCTATAATAAACTTCAGCGATTCCATGAACTGTATGAGGAGCACTTCCCTCTTTACAGAAGAATGGGAGGCACGTGGCTTCTGCCAACAAAAAGTTCACATTCACTCCAAATTCCATGGTCTGCTGGTGCGACGACGGGAGAAGACAAGTTGGCAGTTCAAAGAAAAACAGCCAAAACCTTAAAACTTTGTTCGAGTACAAGGAGCCTCTGCAGAGACTCAATGTAACAGCAGACCGGCACATTTTGTCTCAGAAACAGTCATTCAGATCCCTCCTTCCAAATTCTGGGCACACTCTCAAGAGCAATATAAAGGAGAAAAGGTTTTCCTATATATACATACACACACACCAACGTGAGATGTATAGGCCCTTGGTGTCTGTCACCAGCTGGATGAATCATTTAGCAAAGGTCTGTGCCAGTGGAATTATTTGGATAAGAGGGACCTGCATCAAGTGTATATTTCACAAGCTGGGGAACTGCACGGGGTCAGATCTGAAGAAACTATTATTTATTTCCAATATTTATACCCTGTCCTTCTCAACCCCTGAGGGGGGACTCAGGGCGGCTTATAATGACAGCCATTAGATGCCAACAATATATAAAAACATATTACATACAACATTACACAATATATAAAACATTATGTTAAAAATCCATTTTAAAGCATTATTATTATTATTATTATTATTATTATTATTATTATTAATATCCGAATGCCTGGAGGGTTTGAGCTGACCTAATTTTGCTAGGGAGCACATTCCACAGGTGAGGGGCCACCACTGAGAAGGTCCTGCCCCTTGTCCCCACCAAACAAGTTTGCGAAGAAGGCGGGACCAAGAGCAGGGCCTCCCCGGATGATCTTAGATTCCAAGGCGGGACGTAGAGGGAGATACGTTCGGACAAGGAAGCTGGGCTGGAACCATATAGGGCTTTATAGGCCAAGACCAGCACTTTGAATTGTGCTCGGAAGTAGACTGGCAGCCAGTGGAGCTGACATAACAGAGGGGTGGTGTGCTCCCTGTATGTCGCTTCAGTGAGTAACCTGGCCACCACCCTTTGGAAGAGTTGGAGTTTCTGAACAGTCTTCAAGGGCAACCCCACATAGAGTGTGTTGCAGTAGTCTATTTGGGATGTAACCAGAGTGTGGACCACTGTGGCCAGATCAGACTTCCCAAGGTATGGGCGCAGCTGGCGCACAAGTTTTTACTGATGAGACATGATGGATTAGTTATTTAGATGTATTGATGTTGTGTTGATTTACTGATGTATTGTTGTATTGTTTTAACTGCTTTAGTGACTGTTTAAACGTTAATGCTAATGCTATGCACTTTGTATATTGACCTGTTGTAAACCGCACTGAGTCGCCTACGGGCTGAGATAGTGCGGTATACAAATAAAGTAAATAATAAATAAATAAATAACTGTGCAAAAGCTACCCTGGCTACTGCCACAATCTGGAGTTCCAGGCTCACTCCTAAACTGTGAACTTGCATCTTCAGGGGGAGTGTAACTTCATCCAACACAGGCGGTAACCCTATGCCTTATTTGGCCTTTCGACTGACCTGAGGACCACTTGTCTTCTGTTACAAACATTTGAAGAAGCACCTCTTTCCTGCTCCTCTGATCAATCTTAGTGTGCTGAACATTGGCTGTGAATAGGATCCAGCATATGGGTGCAGCTGCAGAAGGGGTGCCCATAAAGCTAAGCATAGATTTCCTGACTCCAGAGAGACACGTCCAAGCAATGGCAGAAGATCAGCTAGCATGCATAGTATAAACCTGGCATGGGCAAACTTTGGCCCTCCAGGTGTTTGGACTTTGACTCCTACCATTCTTAATAGCCAATAGGCTGTTAGGAATTGTGGGAGTTAAAGTCCAAAACACCTGGAAGGCCAAAGTTTGCCCATGCCTGGTATAAACCCTATTTAAAGCCAACCTTGCACCGGGATTGTGGCGCAGCTGGCTGAGTGTCAGCTGCATTAAGATCACTCTGACCAAAAGGTCATGAGTTCGAAGCCAGCCCGGGTTGGAGTGGGCTTTCAACCAATTGTGTAGCCTGTTGTCGACCTTTGCAACCCAAAAGGCAGTTGCATCTGTCAAGTAGGAAAATTAGGTACCACCTTGTGTGGGGAGGCTAAATTAACTAATTTATGAGGCCATAAAAAAGACTCCAGCAAAGCATTCCAGCAAAAGCATGCGGGGAATGCAGAAGTACTTCATCAGTGTCGCAGATGAACGATGAAAGCGACAGCTCCCCTGGCAGCCAGAAAAAGTTAAATAGCCTCTGTGTATGTCTGTATACGTTGTATGTCAAATTGGCATTGAATGTTTGCCAAATATGTGTACACTGTAACCTGAGTCCCCTGCGGGGTGAGAAGGGCAGAATATAAATACTGTAAATAAATAAATAAATAACCTCAAAAACGGTGGCATAGACCCTGAGAACTAGGAAGCCTAGCCGATGAGCACTCTAACTGGAGGTCAGCTGTGACCAGCAGTGCTGCAGAATTTGAAGCGGTACAAATGGAGGGCGAAAGAGAGAAATGTGCTAAGAGGAAGGCACATCAAGGCAACCGCCTTCCATCTGGAAACCAATGTCCTCACTGCGGGGGAACATGTGGATCACGAATAGGGATCCACAGCCACCTACAGACCCACTGCCAAGACACTACATCTGGAAGACCATCATCCTCGAGCTACGAGGGATCGCTTAAGAAGAAGAAATCCTATACCTCTACTTGGGGTCTTCCATCCATAACATCAATGCTGCTGCTGCATTGTGTACTTTTAGACCTGATGTGCACCACTTTTTTGCCCTTGAACTCATTCCATTGCCCATCTGTTTTGGCCACAGCTCCGAGGACAGAATCCTCACTTGCATCCTTGATGTCGATATGGGAGACTTGCAACTTGCCTCCCAGCTGCACATCACTCACCCGTTGAATGCTTCCGTGTCCTCTCCGCATCTTTGTACAGGGACCCCATTATGTCTCCCATTGACTTGGATATCCTCATCTCGTGCTGCTTGCTGTTGTTGGGTTGCAGAGGCTAGAAATGGTTGGAAAGAATAGGTCCCGTTATCTCCCATAACTGCTTATATATCCTACTAGCTGTCCCCTGCCACGTGTTGCTGTGGCCCAGTCTGTGTATAGGTGTTTTGTGTGTGTGTGTGCCCCCGGTGGCGCAGTGGGTTAAAGCACTGAGCTGCTGAGCTTGTTGATCAAAAGGTCCCAGGTTCGATTCCAGGGAGCGGCGTGAGCTTCCGCTGTCAGCCCTAGCTTCTGCCAACCTAGCAGTTCGAAAACATGCAAATGTGAGTAGATCAATAGGTACCGCTCAGGTGGGAAGGTAACGGCGCTCCATGCAGTCATACCGGCCACATGACCTTGGAGGTGTCTACGGACAACGCCGGCTCTTCGGCTTAGAAATTGAGATGAGCACCACACCCCAGAGTCAGACATGACTGGACTTAATGTCAGGGGACAACCTTTAATTTATATGTGTGTTTGCGTATATATATGTGGTTTTGCGCATGTGTTGTAATGTATTTTTTATTTTTTGGCTTTTTAAGTGTCTTCTGCTGTGTTTTTCAGTGTTTTTATGGGTGATGGTCACTCGTTGGCCTGATAGTTGTATTGTGTCCAAATTTGGTGTCAATTTGTCCAGTGCTTTTTTACTTATGTTAATCCTACAAATGAACATTACTTTTTTATTTATATAGATTCATTTCAAGGAACACAACATGCTGCCAGGAAAACTCGGTGCCAAAGTTGATGGAGAGCTTAGCTCAGTGGGTCTCAACCTGTGGGTCCCCAGGTGTTTTGCCCTACAGTTCCCAGACATCCCAGCTAACTTACCAGCTGTTAAGATTTCTGGGAGTTGAAGACCAAAACATCTGGGGTCCCGCAAGCTGGGAACCACTGATAGCTGGTATTTGAGCATCTTATTTGAGAAAGTATGACTGAACTACCAAGCAAGGTTCATCTACACTGTAGAATTAATGCAGCTTGGGACTACTTTAGCTGCCATGGCTCAATGCTATGGAATAATGGGAATATGCTCCTATCCTATTCCTGCTTGCAAAACCAAAACACCTGCCTATGTCTTATGTCAGGTTTTACAATGTATTGTAATGTAATATAGCTGAGTCATGCACTGCTAATGGGCTTCTATTGGGAATGCTGAGTCATGCATTAACTGTATATAGGGAATCATTTGGGGAATGTGTTCTGGCCTAGTCCAGGTGATTGTGAATGATGTAATCCTGGGTCTGAGTTAAGTTAATGAGTTGGGAACCAATCAGAGATTGCTATGTGTAATTGTATAGAATTGTATATAAGGAAGTCATGTACAGTGTATATTTCTCCTTGTGCTGTGATGTTGTTCGTCGAAGACTATATGTAATTAAAAGAACCTGTCTGCTAAGACAAGATATAACTGTATGCTGTGGTAAGTCTGTAATATCATCTAGACTGGGGGAAAGACAATAGTAAAACTGACAATGGCCGGGCATGTGCTCAAGTGTCTGTAAAAGGTTCCAGAGTGGCTGCAGGCTGTGGGAGCAGTTGACTGAAAATACTGTGCAGGAAGAAGCTACTGGAAAGCGCTGAAGTTGTGCAACTGATCTGCTGCTGAATTGTGGAGTTAATCTCAACATCTTGCAAATGTCATGTCTTGCTTGGTCTTCCAAAGGTTTTAAAAACTAGATTGGGATAGGTCATTTGGTGGACTCCAGGTATTGTGGGGTGTAGCTCCCACCATCCCTTGCCTACTTCATTTATGGAGGAACATGTTTTACATCATTAACGAAGTTATCTAAAGAGATCCCTCCATAATCTGAGTAATCATGTCTTGAAATACTGGGTGGACCCTAAGTGAAAGCTTCACCAAGAGAAGCTGCAAAGAGAGGACATAAAGGCAGCGATAACAGGATAGGATGCAGACATTTAGACATCAGAGACATTACATTGTGATTGAAAACTATTCTATAGATTTTACTTGAGGGCTGCTAACCGTAACATGAATAGTACCCAAGCTGCATCAATCACCAATTGCTAAACATGACAAGACAGAGAAAGGATATGGATTTGAAAGTCGAGGAGTGAATGACTAGATACAAGGGTGCATCTACACTGTTGATTTAATGCAGTTTGACACCACTTTAACTGCCATTGCTATGGAATCATGGGAGTAGTAGCTTCACAAGGTGTTGAGCCTTCCCTAACAAAGAGTGCTGGTGCCTCACTAGACTCCCAGAGCCTTTCCACACAGCCCTATATCCCAAAATATCAAGGCAGATGTTGATATTCAAAGCAGATATATCAATATCTGCTTTGAATTGGGTTATCTGAGTCCACACTGAGATAATGTGGGATTTCCTGCCTTGATATTCTGGGATATAGGGCTGTGTGGAAAGGCCCTGAGTCTTGGTAGTCAAAGTGGTGCCGAAATGCATTCATTCTCCAGTGTAGATGCACCCTTATGAGAAACTTGTCATCTGATATGTCTTTAAAGACATGCAAGTCCCTTCTACAATAGAAGGGCCGTTTGGCTTTGTGCGCAGATAAAGAAGCGAAAAAGGCCAGCGCTCACATTTGTTTTCTTTGGAGTTTTCACGAACACTCGCAGGCTCTTGAGAGAAGGGCTGAGGTCCAAGTGTTCCACGGCTCGGTCCAAGTCTTCCTGGGATTTCAGGGGAATCAGGAGCTGGAAAAAGATTGAACAAACACCGGTTGATGCAGCTGAGTTGCAAAGAAGAGCAAACAGAGGAAGCCACGGAGCAGCCGGGGGCTTGGGAACGGCAAGGATCTCGGGCGGTTGAACCCAGGACAGCAACAGAGACAAACATCTGGGAGCTTTAACCTTTTCTTCCAAGATAGCATCCCTCTAAGGACGCCTGTAAAAGTTATCCAAACAACAGCCGACAAAAGGAGAGGTGCAAAGTGTCACTGACTCAGCTGCAGGGGAGGCCGGCAAAGCAAAAATCAGGATAATAGAACATTTGGATTGAGATTGATGTCTTATCTATCCAAAGAGGGCACTGTGTAGAGACAAAAACATTCAAATATAGTTGGATTTGAGGTAGTTACTTCACTTATTCGTTCAGAGTAAGACTCTGCTACAGAAGTACAGGAGTGTATTGCGAGGGAAATTAGGAGTATTTTTCACTGAAGGATTCTTTTGATCTTTTCTTCTTTACCACCTGGCCTCTGGTTACCTGACATCCGCTGGGAAGTAGCAGGCAATAGTGAAAGGACCAAGGCAGTAACATCTCCAGCTCATCCCCTGTTTGGGTATCAGCCAGCACGTCAATGACTTAAATTAAAAAATAGTTTTCTAAGATCTACAGAGACTCGCTGGAACACCTCAGCAAGTGAGAGTCCAAAAGTGGCAGGCTCAAACCCAGAACCTCAATCAATGGCTGATACCAAATGAGAGACTCCCGCCTGAACCCACAGAAAACTGGGCAACTTGGAAGGCGCTGAACAGACTGTACTCTGGCACCACGAGATGCAGAGCCAACCTACAGAAATGGAGCTACAACGTGAAATTGAGATATATTGTTTTAAATTGAGATATATATATTTTTGGCCAACATCCTGTTAGGTAGTCATGCTGTCATAAACTGTCTTTCCATCCTGTAAAGTCAAATTGTGCAATATTTGTATTCTTGGGAGGGGAATAGAGATGCAGCCACGTCTTTGGCGTCTTAAGCCTACAGAGAGCAAGTATCCAAAAGGAAACATTGACATAAAGGAAGCAACTATAAAGCAGTCTGAGTTATGGACAGATAATCCCAGAAGACAAAAGGAAGCACGGCTTCAGATGCCATCACAGCAGCCAATAGTCAAGCTATCCAAAGCCAAAAGGGATGAGACAAGGAGTCACCAAATGCAGCCAGTCCGAGGGTCAGGAACGCCAACATGAAAAGCATGGCTAGTTGCAGAGGCGGAATGGCTGCCAAAAGCAACGATTCCTTGCAGCGCCTGAGAGATTTATAAGTGGCTAGTTCTGGATGCCAGATTAGTCAGCATCTTCTATTTACCACTGCAGTTTTCCCCTGTCTCTTTGCTGAAACTCAAAGGGCAGCAGGGTGTGTATGCTTTTTCAGTGTCAAGTCCTGTTGATAGCTGATTCAGAGAATCATAAGATAACAGAGTTGGAAGAGACCCCCAAGGGCCATCCAGTCCAACCCCTTGCTGTGCAGGAAAAGCACCCCCGACAAATGGCCATCCAGCCTTTGTTTAAAAGCCTCCAAAGAATGAGCTTCCACCAAAGCAGTGTATCTGTCCGAACGTATCTCCCTCTACGTCCCACCCCGGAATTTGAGATCATCTGGGGAGGCCCTGCTCTCGATCGCACCGCTATCACAAGTGAGGCTGGTGGGGACGAGGAGCAGGGCCTTCTCAGTGGTGGTCCCTCACCTGTGGAACTCACTCCCGAGGGAAATTAGGGCATCAACATCCCTCCTCTCCTTCAGGAGGAAGGTAAAGATGTGGTTGTGGGGCCTTTGGGCAATCTGACAACTAGATATGGACAACCAGATGGATAGGACTGAAAGGACTGACAATTGTGGAATTGGAATTTGAACTATGAGATTGCGAAACGCTGACCGTCAATGAGGAGAAATGGTTTGTATTGGTTTTATTGCTTTTATTGGTTTTATGGTTGTTTTTGCCTTACAATAATTATTGTTTTCTGTTAATTGATGTTATTGCTAGAATTGCTGTTTTCTGTTAACTGATGTTATTTGTCTTATTGCTGTTATGTGATGCGGGCATCGAATTGTGCCTTGCTTTTGTAAGCCGCCCTGAGTCCCCTCCGGGGTGAGAAGGGCGGGGTAGAAGCAACCGAAATAAATAAATAATAAATTTATTTAATAAATAAATTATATTTATTATAAATTTATATAATAAATATATTTATATATTTATAATAAATATATTTATATTTATTATAAATAAATAAATAATAAATTTATTTAATAAATAAATAAAATAAAAAATAAAGCCTTCGACAATACAAATAATAAATAAATAAGGCAGAGAGTTCCATTGCTGAACAGCTCTTCTTGCGATCAGGAAGTTCTTCCTAATGTTCAGGTGGAATCTCCTTCCCTGTAATTTAAACCCATGGCTCCACTGATTTCTAGTCTCCAGGACAGCAGAAAACAAGTCTGCTTCCTCTTCTATGTGACATCTTTTCAAATGCTTAAATATAGCATACATTTGGCCCACCCTCTGTGTCTGGTTTTATTATGCTGTTTTACATTGTTGATTTTATTTGTTATTTCATATTTTGTTATGATGTATTTTGTTATTGTGTGTTTATTATGTTGTATTATTTTGGGCTTGGCCTTATGTTAGCCGCCCCGAGTCCCCTTTGGGGAGATGGTGGCGGGTTATAAATAAAGTTTATTATATTACTATAGCTATCATGCTTCCTCTCAAATTTCTCTTCTGCAGGCTAAACATACTCGGTTTCTTAGATTCAGGATTTTATCATACAAAGTTGATAGCGCACAATTACAGAAGGATAAAGGTGCCATTGGAGGGGGCATTGTTGCTGTACTGTAGTTGCATTGCACTTGAATCATGACTGCAATGTCACTTTTCAATGACGGGGGGAAACTCACAATTAATCCAATTTAGCTCTTCTGCCACTGTTCTTTGTATGATAATGTCTATCTGCTACAATGCCAATATTGCAAAGTCTAATAAAAAGGCAAAATAAGGGAGCAAAAGGGGGGAAATAGGGGAAAAACACATTGGGTAGGGCAAATATTGTTGGAAAACTCTGGCCCTCCAGGTGTTTTGGACTTCAACTCCCACAATTCCTAACAGCCCACCAGCTGTTAGGAAGTGTGGGAGTTGAAGTCCAAAACACCTGGATGAAAGGCTGAAATTGGCTCACGCCTGGCTTAAACAATATAATTGTGATGAGAAGATGGTGTATTTCCCTCAGAGCTGCTAAGAGGCAGAGTGTCTGGAATTCTTTACTTTCAAAGACTATGTCCCTGTGAGGGAAATGAAGTAGAAACAATAGAACACGTATTATTTCAATGCCTCTCTTATACAGTGCAATGTAGCCAACTTTTTTATCCAACTGTGTCCCACATGATTAGGTATTCCCTGCAAGGGATTGTTAGATATCTTTTAGATCAACAAGTGCCACAGGATAACCCTCATAGTGGCAAAATTCCTCACAGTGGCAACAAGGCTGAGAAAGAAACTAACCTCGGATAGGGGTATTACATAAAACCATGCATATTAATCTTGGGCAATGGACTTCTGAAAATTTATTAATGACTGTTTGTTCACTGATGGCTCTATGGACCGTAAGAAAACTTTATATAATCGTGACGAGAGAAGAGCGTAGTGTGATAAAGTCCTCAGAAAGGGAGTCGCCTAGAGCAAAACACTCCTTGCAACCTGTTGGATTCCCCAAAGGCATAAATGACACATTAAAATTAACTTTCTCTTCACCTAAGTAATTAGTGTCCCCTTTTTTTCCTCTAAAAGAGAAAACTAATTTTCAAAACCTCCAAAGGTTATCTTCTCTCCTCTCTCTTGCAAGAAGCATCTCCACTCTTTCGTGAAATTATCTATTGACTTTTCTGTTCAATCCTCTTGATGTAAATTAACTTCTCAAACTGACATTAAAATAGTTAATTTGTCCATTTCTGCCTAGCTTTTCAAGGTAACGAGAAGATCACTTCTTTTGTTTTGTTTTGATTTTTTGGCTGCAAGAAGCACCACTACCTCATAGGCCAGGCATGGGCAAACTTTGGCTCTCTGTGGGTTTTGGTCTTCAACTCCCACAATTCCTAACAGCTCGTAGGCTGTTAGGAATTGTGGGAGTTGAAGTCCAACACAACCGGAGGACCAAAGTTTGCCCATGTCTGTCCTAGACGTTCCTTCTTTCAACCACGCTTTTCTTCTGGCGGAGGATCAAGCCAAATTGTATTTTTATCCCTCCTGGCAATAGTCTTCCATGATGCTGTTTTGCATTCATGACTGAGACCCCAGTTTACCTTTCTTTTGCACAATCCTTGCAAAAGGTGCAAAGCTACACTCTGTACTTGGATGTCCTTTCAATCCACTTTGCTCTGCCTTGGAATTTGGATCTAAGCTGTTGGGGCAACTCCATGGATGCCTCCAACGCCAATCCTTCCCTGCCACTTCCAAATCTACCAGTGTTTTCCAAAATCTGCCTTTCCTGGGAATGAAATGTCCCATGGCTTTGGGAGGCTCTCTTCCAGTGTCAAAATGTTCCTCAAGGCACCAAAAGGTAGGTCGAACATTGAAGTTGGCCTCTACCAGCTGATTGAATCTGGCGAGGAGATTCTGGCTCCGTCTGCAGCTTTGTCCATGGACGTTCTCTACCAGACACTCGCCTAAATATAGACACACGCAAACCAGAAAGCGAGTTGGCAAGACGCAGGCTCAGGAAACGGAGCACAGCTTTCCTGCAGATGGTGAAGCAAATAGCTACGTTCCATGATGGGGGAAAATGGAGGGGAAGGAACTTGCTGGATGCTGATTCATTGGTTTCCCAGTCCCTGTGTTTTTCAGGCTTTGAATTACTATTACTATTACTATTATTATGATTCCATTGTTCTCTCTTGATCAAGTGGCTAGTAAGTCTAAACAGATCTAATGTAATGAGGACTCGGAAGCTGTATTGGTATTTCCTTAAACCATTTTTTTCTGCCTTGCTGTGGACTACAACATACATCTACACTGCAGAATTAATGCAGTTTAACACCACTTTGGTTGCCATGGTACAATACTATGGAATCATGGAAGTTGTGGTTCTACAAGACCTTTAGCTTCCTCCACCAAATTAGTGCTAACACCCCGCTAAACTACAACATCTGTGGTGAAATAAGGGTCTTTGGACCATAATAAAATGTTGTTGTTGTTGTTGTTGTTGTACAACACCTATGGCTCTTTCCACCTCTGACCCATTGAATAGGAGATGTCAGAGATTTAATTTGGACTCTTTTGTGTACAAGAGCACATCTACACTGTAGAATTAATGCAGTTTGGCACCACTTTGGCTGCCATGGCTCAATATTATGGAATCATTGAAGTTGTGGTTCTACAAGACCTTTAGCTTCCTCCACCAAATTAGTGCTAACACCCCACTAAACTACAACACCTACGGTGCAATAAGGGTCTTTGGACCATAATAAAATGTTGTTGTTGTTGTTGTTGTTGTTTTTATACAACACCTATGGTTCTTTCCACCTCTGACCCATTGAATTGGAGATGTCAGAGATTTAATTTGGACTCTTTTGCATTCCAGAGCACATCTACACTAGAATTAACGCAGTTTGGCACCACTTTGGCTGCCATGGTACAATGGAATCCTGGAAGTTGTGGTTCTACAATACCTTTAGCTCCCTCCATCAAATTAGTGCTAACACCCCACTTAAACTACAACACCTATGGTGCAATAAGGGTCTTTGCAACATAATAAAATGTTGTTGTTGTTGTTGTACAACACCTATAGCTCTTTTCACCTCTGACCCATTGAACTGGACATGTCAGAGATTTAATTTGGACTCCTTTGCATACAAACGCACATCTACACTCTGGAATTAATGCAGTTTGGCACCACTTTGGCTGCCATGGTACAATGGAATCCTGGAAGTTGTGGTTCTACAATACCTTTAGCTCCCTCCATCAAATTAGTGCTAACACCCCGCTAAACTACAACATCTACGGTGAAATAAGGGTCTTTGGACCATAATAAAATGTTGTTGTTGTTGTTGTTGTTGTTGTTGTACAACACCCTATGGATTTTTCCACCTCTGACTCATTGAACTGGAGATATCAGAGATTTAATCTGGACTCTTTTGTGTACAATAGCACATCTACACTGTAGAATTAATGCAGTTTGGCACCACTTTAGCTGCCATGGCTCAATATTATGGAATCATTGAAGTTGTGGTTCTACAAGACCTTTAGCTTCCTCCACCAAATTAGTGCTAACACCCCACTAAACTGCAACACCTACGGTGCTATACAGGTCTTTGAACCATAACAAAATGTTGTTGTTGTTGTACAACACCTATAGTTCTTTCCAGCATTGAATTTGAGATGACAGACATTTAATCTGGACTCTTTTGCGTACAAGTGCACATCTACACTGTAGAATTAATGCAGTTTGGAACCACTTTGGCTGCCATGGCTCAATGCTATGGAATCCTAGGAGTGGTAATTTTAGTGGGAATGCTATCACTCTTTGGCAGAGCGGACGAAAGACCTTAGAAAACTAAAGCTCCCAGGATTCCATAGCATTGAGACATGTCAGTTGAAGTGGTGTCAAACTGCATTAATTCTATGGTGAAGATTTAGCCCAAGATAGATGATGTACTGCAGAACAATGACTCTTCTGTATTGTCGAAGGCTTTCATGGCTGGAATCACTGGGTTGTTGTAGGCTTTTTTGGGCTATATGGCCATGTTCTAGAGGCATTCTCTCCTGACGTTTTGCCTGCATCTATGGCAAGCATCCTCAGAGGTAGTGACTCTTCTGCCCAAGAATTTGACTCTTCTATAGAAGTCTTCAAAATGCACCTGTTAGGAGTGTGTTAGGTTGCTATTGTCCGCTATACATACCTCTGAATTTAATTATTTCCTAATCCATTTTTTAGGTATTTTAAAATTCAGTTTATTAATGCAAATTCCCTTAAAAGGAGGACAGTGTTTAAAGTACACATTCAGGGAGTCTGAATAGCAAAAGAAGAAGCAAGCAAAATACCTCGTTGTTTGCATAGTGTAAGTCCATCATCTGCCCAAAAGCATCCATGACTTTCTGTAGGACCTCTTTGAATTTAACCGGTCTCTGGAACTGCATAATCCTGCAGGGAATGAAATGTTGTATGTTATGCAAAACTCTAGTAATCTGCATTTTAATAAGAATAGTCATTTTCATAGGGGAAAAGAGGGCTAGAAGACAGATTGCTAAATTGTTTGAATGAGTGGCCCTGCTTTCTCTTACCCAAATGCAACACGCATCTCTCAGCTACGTAGCCACTATGGCCACATGAATAGCAAAACTGAATTAGTTACTTCCAAACATTAATTGCCACATGACTAGTTAAATTTAAATAGTTAGTTGAACTAGTTAATTTTCCAAGCACCGATGGTGCATTCCTAACCAATAAACCAACTCATTAAACCTCCTTTGGGAGGGAGGACAACTAACAGGAGTGGAATTTAAGTATTTATTGCCAATTTCTGCACACAATCTTTTCCTTTTGCATTTTCATAGGTATCCAGATCTAATTTTCCCTTGTCAAGCTTCAAAACAAAAGGTTTATATGGTAAACCACTATGTGTGGCTCATTGTTGCCATTTGGCCTGATGCAAATATGATTTTGCAGTTCTCTCATAGGGATACATAAAAGGGGATCATGGTTTGTAGTTGAAAAGGAGGGAAAATCTGATCAATTAAATGCCAGGGACATATTTAGCAAATGCATCTGTGCATCCTCTATTGAGATAAGGATTATGACCTGTTAGGATCATAAACTATTGGGTAACAGAGTTTCGGAAGTGATCCTTTTGGTTTATTGGTTAATGTAAGATCACTGGGCATGTAAATATCTTGTTTTTATTTGGTGCTCTCAGCAGACCAAGATTCAAGTAACATAACATGTTTGTTTTACTCACAACTTTACTTTAAAATAACATGTTTGTTTTACTCACAACTTCATATATTTAAATATTTTCCAACTGTTTTCTAACTTCCTACAGTGACTTCTGCACTCAAACTGTGCTCTCACGCGCTGGACCTATAGCAGTTGGCTTTTGAACAGGACGTGCTTTTTGTGCCCAGCAGGAAAACGGGGTGCCTCGAGTGAGAGGCCCTAAGGATTTTCCTATACAGAGTCTTTAGAAGCTTGAAAGGTTCAACAAAGTCCTTTATTATTGCTTAAGTCTTCAACAAACAATCAAATACTTCTTAGATCTTCAACAAATTAAACAAATGCTTCAAGGCTTTGAATCAACTGGTGGGCACCTTGCTTGGAGAACTATTTCTTTCTTTAACAAGGAAAACCCTTTTTGACCCCTCCCGGGCAATCTGTTTTCTAGGCTCTGCTGGTGTGAGCCCTACTCCCGGCTCCAATTGCTTCTGGTTACCCGAGTAGACCTACCAGCCAAGACATACTAGATTTTTCCAGCTAGAGTCGTTTTGGATTTTCTCCACGAATGATGTGGATCTGTATCTTTAACCCCCACAAGGGTTGTGCTGTAAAACTGTTTTCCTTAGAAGCTTTAGGGCTGTTGTGAGAAACGAAGCTTCTCTACAGATGGGGAAAGCACACGTCCTGCAAAACTGAAAGACTGCCTGAAGTCTTTCTTTTCCCTCCCAGAGCCCTGGGGAAAGGGGCAGAACTGAAGAACATAATGATGATTGACGGGTCATTGGCCCTATAATTGCAGAGGAAGAGAAACCACCTTATTGCAAAATGCATGGAACCTTGGAATACATGCAAACACTCAATAGAAAGAAAAAGAAGTAGGAGCTCCTGGTACAGCCGTACCAGCACACAAACTAACTCAAGGTTCAACTGTCATTCCTCAACTGTCGTCCTTGTAAACTGCATTCTTAACAGCCACTGAACCAGTCACATGGTCTGCAGCCCCTCCCACTGCCTCAAGTACATAGAGCTAAGGAAAACTGCAAACCAAAGAAGATGTACACTTCAGGAAATAAACAACACATTATAAACAGACAAAACATGAAATAGAGGAGGCTTGAGAAGTTTGTTATCTCCAACATCCTCAGGTGCATCCATTTGAATGCACACTGCCAGGTACGAACCTTTTCTCTCCATCATGTTCAAATTTGATCCTGGCATTTCGCAACTGGAGAAATAAAAAGAGAGAGAGAGACAAAAAAAATCATAAAATGCAGAGATATTAATATATAAATCACTGTTTCGCATAATTCCTTCTGCCATGAACTCATTAGGGGTCTTTAGGACCAGAAGAGGGAACTCTAAAGGTTACTAGATCACAACTTCCAGCATTCATTGCAATCATTTGTATTGGATAGGGATGCTGGGGCCTCCAATCCAATAACAGGCACATCCCAGCTTTGCTCTGGCTTCCTTGGACACATTTCTCTCTCTCATTTTCTACAACTGTCACCTGAGAAAAATAATAAAATTCTAAGAGTTGCTGGAAATCCCACAAGAATTGAATAGGCATTACAAGCATTGAAAACACCTTAAAGGGCCATGTCCTGCTAAGAGGGATTTGGAGACAGTGGATTCCACATTCTCCAGACAGAATGACCACGGGCTATGCCAATTTGGGAATTTTGGGAGTCACAGTAATAAATAAAACCTTAGTGGAAACGGATTCGAGTGTAAATATATATCATTAAATACCAAAGCAATTTGTATTTCCAGTTTCTGTGAATCGTTGTGGAAGTTGGGCAGTGAAGGAAGTGACTAAGCAGAGATTCGACTCTATTGACATGGGAAAATGTTTAGCAGATACATTGATGGCCAAAAGAACAAATAACTGGGTCCTGGTGAAATGGAGGCTATCATATATTTTGGACTTATTAGCAGGAGAAAAGACAATAATGCTTGTCAAAGTAGAAGGCAGTAGGAAAGGAGGGGTACAATGTTGTTGTTGTTGTTGTTTTCCACTTTCTCCTCTTAACTGAGACTCAAAGCAGTATTACAGCTGGATAGACCAGGCATGGGCAAACTTGGGCCCTCCAGGTGTTTTGGACTCCAACTCCCACAATTCCTAACAGCCGGTAGGCTGTTAGGAATTGTGGGAGTTGGAATCCAAAACACCTGGAGGGCCCAAGTTTGACCATGCCTGGGATAGACTCATAGGATCACCATAACTCAAAGCTGACTTGAAAGCACTTAACAACCTCAGCGATACAAGATGAAAAATTGTAAGTTTTCGTTGATAATGTTAACTGCTTTCATGTGAACTTCAATTTACAGTAACCCTGTGAATGAAACTCTGGACTGTGGCTACTTTCAACAAATTCTCAAGCTATTGTTTTAGGATTAACCCATATGGGAGCAATCTGGTTGGAAAGTATTTGCATCTCCAGGAGTATAGACATGTCAGCATGATAGTTGGGAGTTCTCCACTCTTAATGGGTTGGATGGGAGTTCTCCACTATTAATAGATGTGCTTTAAGCATGCAAAAATAAATTACGGGCTCATCTCTCCCTTCTTTTCTTTTCAGGGTGGAAACAAACACATCGCTTCCCCTGAAGTATGGCTTGGAAAGATCAGCCACACTCTATTTGTATCTGAAAAGGAGAATTCCTCGATGGGCGAACGAATCAAATCTCTTCCTGGAAACACATCTTATCTTTTTGCTCTAGCTTTAGCTGGAGCCATGATCGGGACTTTCCATAGTCCAATCTTTATATGACTCAGAAAATGTGGCCAAAATGAGAGGATTTGACTTGAAAGGAGAATGTGGATCCGCAGACCTATGTATGCATCTGCATTGCAGAATCGATGCAGTTTGGCAGCACTAACTGCCATAATGTAAAGCTATGGAATCCTGGGAGTTGAAGTTTGGCAGGGCATCAGCCCTATCTAGCAGAGAAGGCGCAAGACCTTGTAAAACTACAAATCCCAGGGTTCCAGAGCTTTGAACCACAGCAGTTAAAGAGGTGTCCAACTGCATTAATTCTTCACTGTTTCTCAACATGAGGGTCGGGACCCCTGGGGAGGTCATGAGAGGGTTTCAGAGGGGTCACCAAAGACCACCAGAAAACATATATTTCAGATGGTCTTAGTTACCCCTTTGGTAGAAAAGGCGGACAATCTCTCCGTCTGTCCTTCTCTTCCTTTTTGGAAACAGATGGTGAATCCTCCCACCAAAAGCCCTCCTTCGCTGTGATTGGTTGGCATCTCAGCCAACGAGAGGATCGTTCCTGAGACTCCAAGCTTGGAGGGGAGAGCAAGCGTGCTTGAGCGCATGGAAGCGTAGTGCGCGCGTGTGGGCGAGGGAGCATGTGCAAGGCTGGAGGGAGGCTCATGCCAGCGAGTCCCTTCAAGGCATGGGGGTTCAAGTTGGCCTGATTCTATCATTGCTAGGGTTCAGAATGCTTTTTGATTGTAGGTGAACTATAAATCCCAGCAACTACAACTCCCAAATGTCAAGGTCTATTTTCCCCAAACTCCACCAGTGTTCGTATTTGGGCATTTATGCCAAGTTTGGTCCTGATCCATCATTGCTTGAGTCCACAATGCTCTCTGGATGAAGGTGAACTACAATTCCAAAACTCAAAGTCAATGCCCACCAGGCCCTTCCAGTATTTTCTGTTGGTCATGGAAGTTCTGTGTGCCAAGTTTGGTTCAATTCCTTCGTTGGTAGAGTTCAGAATGCTCTTTGATTGTGGGTGAAATATAAATCCCAGCAACTACAACTCCCAAATGTCAAGGTCTTTTTTCCCCAAACTCCACCAGTGTTCATATTTATGCCAAGTTTGGTCCTGATCCATCATTGTTTGAGTCCACAGTGCTCTCTGGATGTAGGTGAACTACAATTCCAAAACTCAAGGTCAATGCCCACCAAACCCTTCCAGCATTTTCTGTTGGTCTTTGGAGTTCTGTTTGCCAAGTTTGGTTAAATTCCATTGTTGGTGGAGTTCAGAATGATCTTTGATTGTAGGTGAACTATAAATCCCAGCAACTACAACTCCCAAATGATAAGATCATCTCCCCAAACCCCAAATGTGGGCGTAACTGGTATTTGTGCCAAATTTGATCCAGTGAATGATAATACATCCTGCATCTCAGATATTTACATGATGATTCATAACAATATCATATAATAATAATAATAATAATAATAATAATAATAAATTGCAGTTATGAAGTAGCAACGAAAGTAATTTTATGGTTGGGAGTCAACACAACATGAGGAACTGTATGTATTCCCACGTTCCATAGCATTGAGCCATGAGAGCTAAAGTGGGGTCAATCTGCATTCATAACACAGTGTAGATGTCGCCCTGATCAAACTTGTTGCACAACAGGCATGGGCAAACTTTGGCCCTCCAAGTGTTTTGGACTTCAACTTCCACCATTGCCCATGCCTCCTTGAGAGCTAACTTTGATTGCATGTTTATCCCAGAATCCGCTTGTAGAAAGAAGAGTTGGCAATGCGAAATGCCCAGAATCTGCTTGGTCAGAGTCATCCCCCTATCCTCACTTTGCTCTTTCTTGGGGCCTCTTCCTCAAGCGGCTGTTTTTCTAGCAAATAATACTTGAACGCGGGGGGAAGCTTAAGCTTCACAAAGGCCTTTTTCCTCTCTCTTGAAGCATCTGGCTCACTGCTTTTTCTCCTCTCTTTGCCAGCCAAGTCTTGTTTTGCGAGGCGGCTGGTCTGTTTGCCTTGGCACCCATCCCGAGGAGGTCACTCTTGTTTTTATTGTTTCGTTCGGAAGAAGAAAAAAAGAGGATGCAGTCATTATTTTCCCCCTCTTCTGGGTCTGTTTTACACCAGGGCTTTCTGGATTTCCAGCAACACGTTGTTCCTAAACAAGTGAAAAAAATCCACTGCATCGGGTCTGGTTAGGAGAGTGGGCATTGATTGCCCAGCAAAGTGGGCAATGCATGGAGTACAAACCTTGGGTTTTTGCAAATGTGCAGATTTGGATTTAGATTTGGAAAGTGTTCTGTCTTCGTATGCACCCTTCACAGAACTTGGAAAGGCACCTCTTTGTTTTGCCAGAGCTTTCCAGGAAGGTAAATGTGATAACTCACATTTTGCAAAATGAGGATGCATCTACAACAGTGTTTCTCAACCTTCCTAATGCCATGACCTCTTAGTACAGATCCTCATGTTGTGGTGATCCCCAACCATAAAATTACTTTTATTACTACTTCATTACTATAATTTTGCTACTGTTATGAATGGTCATGTAAATAGCTGATATGCAGGATGTATTTTCATTCACTTAACCAAATATGGCACAAATACCCGATGCACCCAAATTTGAATATTGGTGGGGTTGGGGGGTATGATTTTTGTCATTTGTAGTTGCTGGGATTTATAGTTCACCTAAAATCAAAGAGCTTTCTGAAATCCATCAATGATAAAATTGGGTTTGGTGGGCATTGACCTTAAGTTTTGGAGTTGTAGTTCACCTAGATCCAGATAGTACCATGGACTCAAACAATGATGGATCAAACTTGGAATGGGTACTCAATATGCCCAAATGTGAATACTGGTGGAGTTTGGGGAAAATAGACTTGACATTAAAGAGTTGCAGTTGCTGGGATTTATAGTTCACCTACAATCAAAGAGCGTTCTGAACTCCACCAACGAAGGAATTGAACCAAACTTGGCACACAGAACTCCCATGACCAACAGAAAATACTAGAAGAGTTTGGTGGGCATTGACCTTGAGTTTTGGAATTGTAGTTCACCTACATCCAGAGAGCACTGTGGACTCAAACAATGAGTTTTGGAGTTGTAGTTCACCTAGATCCAGAGAGCACCATGGAATCAATGATGGATTAAACTTGGGATGAATACTCAATATGCCCAAATGTGAATACTGGTGGAGTTTGGGGAATATAGACTTGACATTTGGGAGTTGTAGTTGCTGGGATTTATAGTTCACTTACAATCAAAGAACATTCCATCTCCATCAACGATGGAATTGAACCACACTTGGTACACAGAACTTCCAAGACCAATAGAAAATACTGTGTTTTCTGATGATCATTGGTGACCTCCCTAACACCCTCCATGACCTCCCAGGGGTCCTGACCCCCATGTTGAGAAACACTGGTCTGAGGTCTTCTCAGCCAAACTGTTTTGATGCCTCATATTCTATACTATAGCATTGAGTTGTGAACAT